AGTCCATTGCTCCAACACTACCACAAGTGTGACGTCAGCTCGCGAGATGCGCTGGCAGCGGCTGGCAGCGTGCCTTGAAACAGGACCTCGGTCTCAGCCGGGATCCACGGATAAGCGAAACGACAGTGAATGGATCATGTGCTTGGATGCGCCCTTGCAATGCTGCTAAGTTTGCCGCTAATACAATGCACTGGCTGTGAGTCAGTGTAGATAAATGCGACGACCGTTAGTTTAGTGAATGAATGCCTTCATGTGGTACTCATGTGACCAGTGTGACCACTATCTGTGACCGGTGCGCTGTGACCGGTCCGACTGACCCCTGTGACGTCACCGGTCTGACGTCACCTGGGCGCGGCGGCAGGCAGCAGGCCGGCCGAACCTCGAGCTGAAGCGGAACGGGCCGACCGCTCCCGGCGTGTGTGGGGACGTGCCGGTCGAGTTTGCATATCGGAGCGAGCATCTCCCGCCGGTCTGCCGGGGATAGCTGGGCTGGTGGCCGGCGGCGGCGACTCGGTCAGACCCAGACAACGCGTTGTCTCTGACAAACCGAGCTCCGCCGGCCATGCCCGTTTCAGCAGGCAGACCGTTGCAACGGTCTGCCTGCTGAAACGGGCATGGCCGGTGGGGCTCGCTTTGACACGGACAGTGCTCGGTCTGCCGAATAAGACATGGCCGACGAGACAGGACTCGGGTCAGACATAGGTCTGTCTGCTAGAACGGACGTAGCTCTTGTAGTGGAAGCTAACGGAGCTAGTGGGCACGGGTCAGACACCAGTTTATAGTCGATACGATCACGCTCCTGCTGGTCGTGCGGCGGACGGAAGTAAGATGGACGGCTCGGTTGGACGGGAGGCGCTCCTGGTTTTATACAGGCCTGATGGCTCAGAATGGCAGGCGAGCGTAACCACAATCATCCGGTCGACCGGCTCCATGCGTGACTGGAAGCTTTGGACAGCCTCAATAGCAAACAAACTCGACCTGGAGTGCCCGCGAGACGGAGCTGAGTGCCCGCGAGACGGACGTCTCTGTAGGACTCGAGTGGTGACACGCACCGGCGTCTTTGGTCGTGACCGGGATGGTGGCGGGCGCAGACGAACAATTGGACTTGTGTTGACGGATGACAATGTTTTCGTTCTTGAAGACTTTAAACCGACGTCGCGCTCAGAAATATGTAGTCTCCTAAGTTGCTCTAAAATTATCAAGAGCTTTCTGAGGCCATCGTTGTTGTCCTGTATGCCTGAAGCCCTGTCTTATTCTATCTCCCTGCCTTCACCGGCAGTGATGGGGTTAGTGAAATAATGTGCCCGTTCCGCGTTGTGCGGACATGCCCAGTCTTTTCCGACCTCCATGCCTGTACTGGCAGTGTTGGGGTTGATGAAATGTTTGCTCGTTCCGCGCACCATCATTACCGTCGCGATTTGACGCCGCTGTCGTTATGGGCCGCCATCATGGAGTCTGGCCCAAACGACGGACGCGCTCTGTGCCCGCCACGACGCGTGAAGTTTGCCATTTGCCACGCTGCTGGTCAAAGTCAAAGTCAAAGTCATTTATTAGAATTCTTCCACGGGGTGGGTATTAAGAATCCGGTCAGGAATGTGACATGGTGACATAGGAGCTAAGTGAGACCCAATTAAAAATATATGATGCTGATACAATGGCAAAAGCTACGTTAAAACACATCGACGATTACATTAAAACACTCGCGAACGCATCATCCGCATGTAAGAAGTTGACATCAGCGGGTTGACATTCTAAAATCAGGTGCCTATGGCGGTGTCCTTCGCATTCCACGATGCTGCCGCTCTATATGCAAACTCCCGCTGAGTTCTTGCGAGCCGCCACTTCGGTCGGACGAAGCAGGAGGGCTGATGCGTGGATGACGTGTGGGCCAAGACGACGACACGGAGTGTGGTCGTGGTCCCGTTCTGCTATTTAAACCCACTTCTTGATGGTATGATTTTTTACCATTAGTCGATTGAAATAGTGCATTGTCAAGTTGTCTGACAAACCAGTTTAGTTTCCGGGGATGTTTATGGGGCTGGTGATGTAGATGTTAGTCAAAAGGCGGAGTCGATGCCCTTTTTATGCTTCGTTTCCTTTTTTCATGTCCCGTTTCCTTCTCGAACCCGTTTTCCGTGCCGTTCTTGACTCTGCCGCCCTGCGTCCTGTTGATGCCCCTATTGTTTGTACCCGGCTGCCGCGGCTTCCTGCGCCGTCCGGCGGCCGTCTCCGTGCCGCGTCACGTCACGTCGTTACGCTCCGTGACGGCGCGCCGCCCGTTCCGCCGTCGCCCCCTACCCCTCCGTGGCGGCGGGTCGTGCGGCCGATTCATTACCGAGCTACAGGCACGAACGGCGGGGCTAAGGAGGTAGACTGGTGGAACACGAGCTCTAACGCGCTGCCGCTGTAGGGTCCCGGGACGGGAAATCATGGATCACGGTGTTCTTCGTGTCTTTCGAATCAAATGTGGTTTCTTTGCAAGGGCAGGATTGCTTGGGGAACAGCTCTCTATGGAGATTTGATGTGCGAATTCCCGTATCCATACGCAACACAGGTCTTCATATGATTTCTGGTTACCCTGCTTGTATCCGGCAATGCTAGGTTTGGATGGTTTATTATGTTTGGTTGTTACACTGCAACATCAATGCACGATTTTACGGATAGGGCACACTGATGATATAGCTCCGGTCTTGCGACGCCCCCGGAAGGCGGTTCTGTTTTCCTCGCGTGCCGGTCGCCTGGAGCCCCGCCCTCGGCTGACGACCCGTCTCCGGTCGTTGCCAAGGTTACAGCCGTCGAACGCTCGGCCGGCGCGGCTCTGACGGTCCTCAGCCCTCGCCGTGCTGTCCGCGCACACAGCGGGCGGCGGCCGGTGACCGTCTCGCCCGTCAGCGGCTGTGCGCCGGCCGCGGTCCGCGCCCGCCGGGCCTGTGCGGTGGACGGTGGCCGGAGGCGGCTCTCACGGGTCGTCAGTACCCCGCTGGCACTCCGCCGCCGCCGCAGACGGGCCGATGGACGCCCGACGCGGCCGGAAGCGCACAGGCGGCGACACGCCCTGCGCCCCGGCTCGTCGAGCCTCCGTGACGCGAGATGGGACTCTGGGCAGGCGTGGAGCAGGGCGAGGCATGGGTGACTGGGTGCGGCGACTATTTGATCATGAGACAGCCAGATGTTTCCAGTTTGGATCAGAATCTGTTGGGAGTGGAGCGCTCCCCATATATGGTAACATTGCCACCGCCCGTCTGTCTGTCTCGCGGGGCGCTCGTTGCAGCTGCGCTCCCGGACGCTCTGTGCTCTGTCTGGAGAAACTGGTCGGCCGTGTGCCCCGCTGACCGGCCCACTGACCGGGTCAGGCGGTCGGGCGGCGTCGGACCACGCCCTCCGAGCGGCATACGGCAGACTAGGCAGTGGGACGAATCTGAGGGATATCTCCACAGGCTTCACTGAGCCTGTCTGGACGATCTTTGCATGGGGAAGCTCCCATTTATGTGTGCGAATTTTGACACACTGGCATTATTATTGACGATAAGAACTGAGTATACGAGGGGGTATCGAAAAGTTCTGATCATCACCATGGATTAGATGAGATAGAAATTTGATTTTTTTACATGATGTTCATTACTCCTTTACAAGTCACCACACACGACCGCAAACTTATTGCATCGTTTCTTGAGCTGCCTCAGGCGGTCATTGTAGGACCCTCGCACTGTCCCGTAAATCACTGCTCCACCTGATCAATGACGTCATTTCTGTCCTTAAGTCACCGGCCATACTGTGGATTCTTCATCTCCCGTAACAATCTAGAGTCAGTTAATACCCGAGCAGGTGAATTTCTTAGATGCGGTAGGATTTAATGTCCACTTCATGTTGTTTCTTCAATCGCAGCTCAGGACGACTGGGCGGGGGCGCTGTCAGTGCGGATAAAACATCTTTCTTGGGATTTTTTTTGCGGCGATTCTGCTTGAGGCCATCTCACAACGTCTTCAAAAGTGTGCAGTAGTGCTTGCTTATCATTATCCGACCATCATCAAGACAGTCGGCAATGACTATCCTACGCCAGATCCAGATCACTGATAGCATGGACCTTCCATATCGGCTTCTGCATCTTCGCCTTTTAAGAAGGACAGATTTGCCGTGCTTAAACTTCTTGATCATCTTTTTATCTCCGGATCATACACATAGATCCAGCATTCGTCACAAGTCATCAAATGATCGAAGGTGTCTTCAATTCCCTAAAAAAGGCCTAGTTTTCAGTTCGAAAGGCCAAGACGGGTTTTTCTCTTGAACAAAGTAGACACACGAACTTCTAAGCGGGCTGACTCCTTTATCGTCTGTAGTTCTTCGCCGATAATATTTTCAGGCGCTGCCAGCATTGAGACCTTTCTGTTGCACAATCATCTGAAAGGTCACACGACGATCTGTAAGGATGAGGTCCTCCATTTCCTTCACAGTCACCACCTTGTCAGTCACTGGTAGTCACTCACTTCTTGACTCCCCTGCAAGGGCCATGCAACCAAGTTGAAAATTATTTCTTCCTTTTCGGTAAGTGCATGAGATGGGCTTTCCTCGCCATAAACTAATTGCACGTTCTTGATGTATTTTCTCATTGTGATACCGTTTCAAATGCATTAGTTGGATGACGGTTCTGTCCTCAATGGGCCCAATACTAATCTTTTTTACTTCTAAGTCTCTCCTACATAAGATAAAACCACTTCTCAGGATTTTCTTTGCGGGAACATTGTTCTTAAGAACCAAATATAATACCAACCAAAAATCATCAAAATCGGTCTATATCTTCTATGTGATGATCAGATTTTTTCGATACCCCCTCGTAAGGTTACGATTAGGTCTGCGCTTTATGGGTTTGCATATTCGTATGTTTATGTTGAGGCTACCATGCGTCTCAACTCTCAAGTTATACTTGGCACACTTGTCCGTCGTGTTACCGTTTTACCCCAGTGTCCGGTTTATCCTTAACATTTATTTTCTCTCTATTGCAGGGGACAGACTCCGGCGCAGGCAGAGTCCAACTTCCTGAACATCGTCAAATGGCTGGAGATGTACGGAGTCGACATGCACACAGTGCTGGTAAGTAGCAGCGGTTATGATATGCGATGCAGTTGTGTTTTGCATTTTGTAACTCGAAGGTGACATTGGTCTTTTTTACAAAGCTTTTGTATGCGTTTTCGGTTTTTGGCCTTCCCTTTACGATTCTAAATCGTAAAAGTTTCCAGTTAATGTCTAGAAATGCAGAGTCGAGGAAAATGTAACAATGAAGCTACGAAAGCCTATGCATCACCTGTAATGTGTCATGCCTTCTTGTGCCGCGCCGTCTTTTCTTTCACCGCTTATCAGTAAATTCCTCCAAAGGTCGAGCCAGGCGACTATCGCTTGTTTGTGTCACCAATACTAGCCCAGCTGACCCGTGACCGATGGCTGTTTATGTACCATTCCGCTCACTTTGGGAGCGAACCTAGGAGTGTTTGCGTTCCCAGCCCGTATCCATCGCTTGCTCACGTCCCCCGTGCCTCTCGTGGTAACCTTCGGCCTCGCTCTCGGCGCACAGGGCAAGGACATGTCCGAGTACTCGCTCGGACTGACTCCGACCGGTATTCTGGTGTTTGAGGGTCAGCAGAAAATCGGCCTCTTCTTCTGGTGAGTGAGGAAATCCAGCGGGCGCTACTTGGTGGTCTGCTTATGACGTGTGTTGTGGTCTTTGGCATAGGCACTGGTCCGGTGTTATGTTCCTTGGATCGTGACCCTTGGATCCATGTTTCTTGATCCTTGTTCTAATTTGGCACCTACTCCTTGGTTACTGAATAGATTGTGGTCCTTCTCCGTGGACCGTGGTTCTTGGTATTTGCCGGTAGTTCGTTGGTGGGTCCTTGGTCTTTGGGCCGTGGTCCGTGGGTGGGTCCGGGAGGTGGTCCGTGGTCCTTGATCCGTGCCTGCTTGGTGTTATCGGCACCTCCATCAGCCCGGTGCCAGCAGTTCACACGGCTGTCAGGGCCCCGTAATCGTGCGGATATGATCGGATTTGCGCTGTGTATGATTGTGGCCACCCGTGTGTGAATGCCGCGCCGAAACGTATCCGTCGGCCTTGTACAGCATTCTTCACAGCACATTTAGTGTGTCGTAATCATTATGTTGCGATGCTTTTTTTTTTTTTTGCTCAAAAGTAAGGACGTAATAAGTAAATAAAAACAAAAACAAGCTCAAAACTAGGTTTATATCCGTGTTGTTCTTCACTTCGTCCCTCTAAAACTGACACCTTTGCTTGTTCCAGGCCCAAGATTAACCGGCTTGACTTCAAGAAGAAGAAGCTGACGTTGGTGGTTGTGGAGGACGATGATGAGGGACGCGAGCAGGAGCACACATTCGTCTTCAGGTCAGCCGCGCCGCCGAACAGCGGGTGGCGTCGGAGCGGGAACGGGTAGAGAGGCTGGAGCTGGGCAGTGGTGGAGTTTGGTCACTAATCTGAGACTTGGCTTGAATGGTGGTGTAACTAAAGCTTGGAGCTGTCAAACAGAGGGCAGGAGGAGTGGCTTTGATTGAGTTTTGGACCCGGCCAATGAGATCCATGCGTGACGTGTTAAAAGAGCAATTCAACGTGTCAGAGCGCGCCACTTAATTAGGAGTTACTGCAGAAGCTGCGATCTAAAACCCAATTATCGTGCCATTTGAGTTGAGCAGCTGCCGAGATGTGTTGGTGCAGGCAGGTCTGCCAAGGTTTATTGAGGGTTAGGTCAGTTTCACACAGCCAAGCTCGCTAGCTGAGCTGCCCCCTCTGATAGTGTTAGTCTCAAAGAGACTGACGAACCCAAATTTATAATAAAAGCGTAAAATAATGAGTCCCAGCCTTCCAGTTTTGAGTGTATCACTATGTATAATAATCCAACGATTTGTCTTCGACAGGCTTTACAACAAGAAAGCGACGAAGCACCTGTGGAAGTGTGCCATCGAGCATCACGCCTTCTTCCGGCTGAAGGCGTCCTCCAAGGCGCCGAGCGCGCGCCAAAACTTCTTCCGCATGGGCTCGCGCTTCCGCTACAGGTGAGTGAGGCGATGGAGCGGAGGAACGCTTACGCATCACCACTTGTACTACTTTCATGTTGTGGAAGTAATGGTCCTGTGGTGGGAAGAATCAGTACTAGGATCCATAAGACACGTGGCGGAGATTTCATTTTCAAAACTGCGTGATGCATCATGTACAAAGCTGTCTTTTCTTTGTTAGAGAGAATGAAAGCTGCCATCCATTAACCTGTGATGGAATGGTCTTGACGTAATGTCTTATCTATTGTTACTTTTTACACGGCTTAAACCATTAGCGTTCTCTGGATGATTATTGAATGTCATGGATCTATTGGCGGGCGATGTGGTTCTCGTTGCGTCAGGCAATCAATCCGTGCGTAAATGCTCAGATGGCCCTGCGTAATGACTGAGCTCACCGCCTGTGAGTGTCGTGTAATTCTGACGTGACGTAGATAGTGTGACCGGCTGAGTGACCTCTGGTGACGTAGCTGTGCCTTCTCTCCCGTCCCGGCATCGTTCACACGGCTCAGTGATGACCCTGTGGCTGGTCTGACCCCACCCCGCCCCTCCTGTCGCCAGCGGTCGCACCGAGTACCAGACCACCTACCAGAACCGGGCGCGCCGCACCGTACAGTTCGAGCGGCGACCCAGCAAACGCTACAGCGTCCGCGAGTCGCACATTATCCGGCAGAAGCTGAAGCAGGAGAAGGCAGAACAGACTGGTGCCGGCGGAGAGTCGACCGGCGCTGCCACGGCGGCGCCCCAGCGCCAGAGCAGCGTCCAGGGAGCCGCACATAAACCGGCCACCACCGCCGCGGCGGCCACGGCGGCCTCCAAACAGACCAACGGCACGGCCGGAACGCTGAGCAAGCAGACCAACGCGGTGACCGCGGGAGGCACACTGCCGAAACAGACCAACTCGGCAGCGGCGGCTGCGCAGAAGTCGGGTGAGTGGGAACGGGGAGGGTAGTTAGAGGGTAGGGCGAGCTCTAGGAACCACCGAGGGCTTTGGTCTGATTGTCTTTTGTGACATCCGTGCATAGGCGTTGTCTAGGCCGGGCGCTGCGGCAGCGGGTTTTCCCATTATTGGTGGGTCGGGTAACGGCACCGGTGGTCTATTTTCGCTGTGCCGCCGCGGCTCCGGTCCGCCGCCAGTTTCTCACTGAAAACGGCGGCCCGTTTGCGGGAGGAGTTTTACTTTCGATTGCAACACCGGCTCGGTGTGAGTGCACACACGTACGGCCGTGCCGGGCGGCTGCAGGCGGGCCGATACCGCGGCGGCCGCGCTGGCCTTGTTTTGTTCCCGTGCTATCGACGGCGGTGATCGGGGCCACGGCACGGCCGCCGAGCTGCGCCACGGCGCACCGCGCGACTGATGTTACGTCAGTCCGGCTACCGTGCGGGCGGGACCGAGGCTGCGGGTCGTATCGCTCATCGTGATGGTACCAGACCGTGGAATCGGTCGAGATCCTTTCTAAGATATCCCGAACGGATGCTCTATGATCCAGCTCTGTAACTCCTGAGCTACATACAACTTCAAGCGCTTCTTATCTATCATGGCGTGCCGTCCGAATGGACTTCTTGTGGTTAATTTCTCACGACATCGTGTTTGCATTATATCTCAAACCATGCAATACTGTAGGCAACTCTGATCAAGCTCATGGTAACCGCTGAGTCACCACATTCTATAATTATATATTAAACGCATTATCTGTTTTTCTTCCCACAGCTAGACGCCCCATCTCACCACTCACCCCTCCTCCCCACAGCCGTCGGAGTGTCTGAGCAGCGCACGACAGCCTCCTCCGATAGCTCCCATCCGGACACGACAATAACCAGTCACCAGAGCAAGTCGGAGTCGACAGCCAACTCTGCTGCCTCTGGCAGCCCGGCGGGCGGGGACGCTACCGACGCGGCGCCCACCGGCGGAGCAGGTCAGTGGACGTGTCAGCGAGAGTGTGTGGAAGGGGATAACGTGTCTCTTTGAGAGGTTACTGTTTGTTGTTTGGTTGCATTGTTGAAGGCTTCCTGGGGTGAGTTTTGTTATATTGGGATTGACTGTTTCGCAATTGCACCATGCAGTCATGCTTATTTCCTTGGCGCCCTCCCTGACGTCCCCCTGTCCGACCCTGCGCAGAAGCTGCCGCGCTGGCCAGCAAGGTGAAGGCTCTGGAGTCGCCACACGCCGGCTTCCGCTCCGGGGTACGCAACGTCAATGTCAACATCCTGGCCAACAACCAGAACAGCAAGCTGGCTGCCGGCGGCGGCGCCAAGCCCATACCGCCCGACAAGTTCAAGTCCAACATTCTGAAAGGTAAGATGTAAGGCAGGATGTTGGGATGCAAAAGAATGGGTCTGGCCAGGGTGAGAACAGCTGCAGTAATGTGATCGGTAACCGTTCAGGGCCGCATGTATTGGCGTGGAACGCGTGCTATCAATTTTTCGTGCTAAATGGTTACGTAGCCTATCAGTGTGTTGGCTCAGATAGCTCGCTTTGAGCATGTATGCGTGTGTTGCTATCGTTGACCTTGTGCAAGATCGCTCTGTTAGAGCCAAGCTTGGGACTCATTTTAGCGCACAGATTATCCCTCCGCTGCCTGTGCTCTTTCCGCCATATCACTAACATTCGCTGCCTGACCGTTTCAGCCCGTGCCGAAGAGACGGGTATGCTGGTGGACCTGTCCTCTCCGACCGACAAGGTGCCGGCCAAGTCGCCCCTACTGAACGGGTGAGTGGTTCTCTCCCTTCACCGCTGCAGTACTGTCGGCGCTGGGCTCTGCTATGTGGTGATGATATGGCGAAATTGGCCGTCTGGTTAACTGGTAAAGCGTGACAGGTGACTGTCGAGGTTTTACACAAACAGAATGATCAGAGAAGCAGAGAGGCGAGGAGTGAATAGGCGAACGAAGCGAAAAGCGCTGGTGTCAGATGTACCCTACACAGGCTACACATATTTGGTGTGCGCACTGCACATTCACGGGAGCGGCTGTATCATGATCCCCACCGCCTGTCTGGTTTGAGCAGCTGACGCCGTCGGATGAGCACCCGGTCTTGGGAAATCCATAGCGTGGCGATCACTCAGTCATGACACGTTAAGCATTTGGAAGCCGTCAGGCAATCGCGCGCGCCCCAGCTGACGTGCCGATAGAGCCGGTAAACCACCAGATTCTGATTATTTTTCACTGTTGCGGTGGCGCTGTATGCGGCTCCGTCGATGAAGTTGAACTGCTATGGGCTTGTCTGTTTGATCTACCAACACAGCTCGGTGTGCTGGAGTGGTGTCTGACCTTCGTCTCTCTTGCAGTGACTCCCGCCGTCGTCAGCTCTCGGCGGCTGAGCGGAGTGACGAGTTGAACCACACCATCGTCTCTGTGGTACGTAGCGCTCTCCACTCTCCCCCTCCCTCGCTCCTCTGCCTTCCCTTACCGAGCACCAATAGCATAGTCAGACCGGCCGTTGGATTGGCCGGGCTGTGTGCCGGTAGCTTTGGACTAGCTTGGGTCGTGTGGTCGGTTACTTTTGTTTGTCGTTTTGGGCGTCACAGTAAAGCCACTTCCTTGGAGGTGATTTGGCGTTATGGGGCTTTGTGTGAAGTCTGGGGCCGCACCTTGGTTGACGTTGGTTGGTCGGGTTTGTTTGGTTTGTTGTGTTTGCTGTTTGGTTTTGTTTGGGCGGCTGCTCCACGTGATGCGATGATTCAGCGCTATATCTCTGTTATCTTGAGTTCATGTATGCATAAGTGGCGTGGATAATTCACGAATATTCAGACAAAGATAGAACAGCGGATTATGTTTCATGAATATTCTGGTGAAAAGTGAAACGCATAATTAGCTACAAACTTCTAATCTAACTCAGCCTCAAAACGAAGGTCTCAGACCGTTTATAGTTCCCTCCGATGCATCTTCTGATGTTGCTTGGAGTTAGCGCTGAATCTGACCATCACGGAGCCGCTGGCACACCCTGTAGGTGAGATCGGTCCCGGCGCCCCGCCCCACCCTGTACGCGGTGAGCCGCAGCGGTCGCCGCCGTCTGTCTATAGGGAGGCGACCCGCTCACCCTGCCGTGTGGCGGCGGAGACGGCACCGATCTGGACGGCGGCTCGTCAGTGGCCGGGGAGACGGACCTGGACGCGCCGCCGCTGCCGCCCGACTCGCCGCCGGCCGCCCAGCAGCCGGACACCGCCACCAACCCGTTCTCGAGCGGCGGCAGCGGCTCGTCCAACCCGTTCCGCGGCTTCTCGGCCACCAATCCGTTCCGCGAGGAGGCCGGCCTGGCGCCGCTGACCCTACAGACGGCCTCCACGTCTGCCGGCTCGAGCCTCAACACCTCGCTCGGGTCGCCGCGCTCGCCGCCGGCCAATATCAACAACAACATGGTGTTGAACCTGAAGGGGGAGGCGGCCGCGCTGCTGCACAGTCGACTGACGGGCGGCGCCGGGGGCAGCGGCAGCGGCGCCGGCTCGCCGGTCGGGGGCACCAACGGAGTCGGCTCCGGTAACGCCAGCCCCGGACGGATGTCCAACTCGAGCAACGAGAGCCACTCGGAGCGCGCCGACCTGAACACAAGCGGCGCCAGCATCGGCGTGAGTAGGGGAGGGGAAGGGAGGCGGGGCAGGTGACACGGCACTGGGCTCAGCTGTGGTGTGAGTATGGGACGGGGATGGTGATGCGTGGTGAGAGTGGGACGGCAGAACACCGACGGCACCCGCTCACCACAGCCAGGTTTGGACTGCGCCTAGCGATTTAAGACGATAGTTGAGGTAAATTAAAGAAGCTTTGCATGCCTTTAGTTTGTTGTGTTGGGCGTGTTGAGTGGAATTTCAGCCGGCTTTTTGGACTCGTCATTTAACCCCTGTCACTTACAAACACCAACACAAGCTGGCGCTGTTTGTTTGCGTTTTGTTTTGGTCGTGTCCCTGTCGCTTCGTATAATGTCCTGCTTATCCGTGTGGTGTCGCTTTTTCTTCACGCCATACTTGAACTTTAAACTTATCTGCACCCATCAGCCTTCCTGGTTTACCATATTAACCTTGTTTGCATTCTTCCTTGTGATAAAATGCATTCATCGTTCCAGCTCATCGCCTAAATTATGTATGTACGAGAATTCCCACGAGTGACAGGCTGCATAGTTTGTAACTACCTCGTTCCGTCTTGGAAATTCCTAGATGTCAACCTAGCTCCTACTGCACCTATGGCCATTCGCCATTTTCTTTCCCATCACTGTTCCTAAAACGAGGAAAATAGACAGATGACCCATCTTTTACTGATTACTCTTATTTCGGTGCTATCGGCTCTGTACTGTGTACCGTTCGCCCTGCTGACGCCCCCTCCCCCGCCCCCAGTCGGACCACCAGACCAGCTCGGCGGTGACCCGAAGCCACTCGTCCGCCGCTGCCGCCGCGCGCTCGACCGCCCCCACCGGGCCCACGGCCTCAGTGATGCGCAGCAACTCGACCCTGTCACCGTGGCATGTGGGCGGCGCTGACCTGTCGGAGCCACTGCGGATCGAACGGCGTACCGTGATCACCACCGAGCTCTGAGCCGCCCCCGCCCCCGCCCCCGCCCCCGCCCCCGGAGGGGCGGTCCCGACCGGCGGGCGGCTGGCCGGTGGATGATGGCGCGCGGTGATGTGAACTCAGAGTTGTGCCGACTGACTGGTGCCGCGGCCGCTGCTGACAAGCTACCGACCAAGGTGTGTGTGTTTGGTGATGTGTAATTATGTGGCGTCACGGCAAACCCCACACACCAGGACACCTACAGCTCGGCCCGCAGGTCTGCGAGGAGTATATTTGTGTTTTAGCGTTTTTTTCCTCCTGTTTTACAAGTGAACCGCACCGCGTTTGTGTGCTGCATTTTGTTATGTGTGTGGAAACTGTCTCCCGCAGAAGTTTTATGGGAAGAGGTTTTGAAGAGGTTAGCCAGCTTCGTGCGACGTGTTTTGTGCCAATTTGTTTTGCGCGCGCCTTTGGTTGGTGGCAGCTCCCTCGCCTGGCGTCGCCTGTCGTCGCGGGCTCCGCCTTCCGCTGAACCAGTGTACTTATAACTCCGATATGATGGCTGTTCTCTATTTTATCCAGTTATTTACCCCGCGTTCGTCACCGTTAGACTGTGTGTGTCGTGCGAGCGGCTGAGGCCCCGGACCCTGGACGGTCTTCAGTTGTGGCCTAGCAAACTGGCTCGCCAGCCTCTAACCCCATCCCGTGCGTGGAACGGTGTGAGCGGATGTTCTTTTTGCTGTCTGTCTGCTGTCAGCTGTCCTACGAATGTGTCTGTTGTCTACCGTGTGTTTCATTTTCTGCTGGCTAGAACGATTGGAACTGGGTTTTATGTTACGTGGCAGCTTGTGAAGCATCTCTTTCATAGCATGCAAGCTCTCTTGCATTGATGCTCGCGTGTTTTCTGATGGTATTGCATGTGAGTCATGTTCAGCATTCCAATGGCAGCTCGGCTGGTCAGGTTTCCGGCCCCGAGGTCTTCCGCGCATCTCAGTGGGTCTGTGTGTCGCTTGTTCCGTCCATGATTATTCCAGTGGGACCGTGCCTTCCTGAGCATTACACGAATGTCACTAACATGCGCCCGTGCCTTTGTGACCCTGCCGTCAGTTGCCAACTCCATACCTGTGTGTTGCGTGATTGAACCTTTCTGCCAAGGGACCATGAATACTGAGCAGCCTATGCGATGCGTGCCTTCCACCTTTTGTGATCCTACCCTGCCGTGACTTGCATGTCGCGTGCTGGTCTATTTCTCGGTGTCTTCCCTGGGGTTTAACTCCCCAGTGCTCTCCTATCCTTACCTCCCCGTATCACAGCTCCCTGCTCTCCCTTCTCCCTCTCTCCTACAACTACATCCCATCCGCCACTCTGTCGGCCGCGGGCGTTTCCATTCGCCGAAGCCGAGTCCTGTGGGCACTGACCGGTGCCAAACTCGCGTTCATTGTGAATACCCATTGTCTGACCGTCAGTGGTAGTCATCCCCTGGGCGCGATGGAGTGTCCGAGCCGACCCATTCCAGTCTGCCGTCGCGCGGCGGTCGGCGGCGACGGCTGCGCTGTCGCGTACCTCGTGTAACCGCTCCGTCCGACCACCATTCCAGCCGGCCCGCCCCGAGAGGCCGGTCCGTGTGTGTGTGTGTGTCTGTGTGTGTCTGTATGTGCGCGGTGTGTGTACTGTACAGTGGATGTATACGGTACGTGTGTGTCTGTGTGCCTGCCAGGACAGTGGTCAATACACGCTGACCAGAGGTGAGGAACCGACGTTTTGGAGAAGTGGCGTGGGCTGATCCAGTCATAGTCAAGGAGCTAATCATATCCTCCGTGTCATTGGCAAGGTCGTTCTTCCAAGATCTTGTGGGCCCAAGTCTCTTATACGGATCTGTGGGTCGAATGTGATAATATGGCGAGACTGCGCTTCTGGCATGTAGCAAAGTGCGCTGGTGACTGACACTGGACAGTCTGAGAACGAACGAGTTTCCTCCAAAATCGGATTTAAACTTCTTGTGACATGTATTTGCATCACTTTCACATTGGTACATAATAGCCCGTACATCTCTAACGGGCGTTGGTCCCATGTCCACAATATGCTCGCACGTAACGACCGTACCCTTTCAATGCGACATACAAACACTGACCATTTCGGAATGTTACATGGAATGTCGCTGTCAATGTTCGTGAGCACTGCAGTCATCGACAAAAATAGAGCACAGGTGCATGGCAATTGGTTCACATGACGTGCAAAAATAAAACCAAAACACCACCATGCCAAACCTGATGTTATGCACAGCAGCCTCGCCTCATTTGTTAAAAATATCAATTGGTATGCATATAATCTTATAAAGTGATAGACATCGTGATCGATAAAACAGACGACCAGACTGCTCCGCTGAGGGCATCGGGGTCTCTGAACTAAACTTCCTGAACTGACATACCGGTCACGCTACCATAAGACCACCCGACCACATCACATATTACATACTTCACTCTACTTCGTCCATAGCCTTTTACCGGCCCGTTACGGTGAGATTCTTCGATTCAAAGGCTCCCGTTACGGTGAGATTCTATGATTCAGAGGCAAGCTCGTGAATCCTTCCAGGTCACCACGGAAGATAGTATACCGTGCCGTTCTATGGAATGATATTGGAATGGAATGCAGTAAATGCAGAGTCTATAGCAGCTAGGTACCAATCATGCGATAAGACACCTTCCACTAACCAGAGCACGCCATATCTGTAAAATGTGACACCGCACCTGCTCTACACCAGCAGATGTTGCGTTCATGGACATTCGAAACTAAAGGCAGCTTGGTTGGAAGGAGGGAGCAGTCGGACGGTGTTTTATGGAGTCTTGCAGTCGTAGGGTCGGTGGTCGCACCACTGCTAAGGACGCTCGTCCTCGTCGCCGGCCTCCGAGCCTCGGCACCGCCGGAAGGGCTTTGAGAAGTTCAGCACCACGGGAAAGCCGCGGAACGTCGGACTGATGGGCACGTACCGCGCCCAGTTCCAGCTGTGAAAGGGGTAACAGTCACAAGGAGGGCATGGGTGGCACAACGGGGCATAAGTGGTACGGTCACATTCAGTTAAAGATAGGCTACGGACTCTGAGACATCTAATAATCACAGAGGGAAGTTTGCTGCTCTCAGCGTGCGCTAAATCGTACACTGAAATACAAATAAGCAACTCAAGAGTATATGCAAATTGCAAGCAACATAGGTAAATTCGCAGCTCCGGATAAAACCAAACCACGTGAGGAGCGCAAGCGATCCACACTTATCGGGTCACAATTGAGAGAATGTCGTTCAATAGTCAATGAGCGCCCCCATACCTGCGTATTTTGTCCATGCCGAACGGCAGATCGTAGGTGGTGACGGACACGGTCACGTGCGACATGTTGCTCTGACTCTTCCACTTGAGTACGCCGCGCTCCTCGTCAGTGCCTGGTGGGACAGAGGGCGTCAGTGGGGTGTCGGGAAGCTGGTGAGAGCGAGCACTGACGACGATTAGTCTGGGCAGAGCTGCTGCTAACGACACCAAACTCCTGGCCAAACTTGTCAATTTTAACTGAACATCAAACGAATTACTCGTTTTTATCGTTCCTCAACCATATGAAACTTAAGCAAGTAACAGCACGATATTGAATTCAACTTCATGTTGAGTGCATTTATTTATCTCTGACCAATATCCAATCCGAAAAAAAATGACCAAAATATCGCCAAACTTCAGGCGACACAATACAGGGGAGAGCTGCTGAGCTCTCCACCAGATCCCCGTCTCCTCCATCCCATTCGATGTCGCCGGCGCCGTCCTCTGCGCCAGGCCTCTCACCCGGTATTGTGTTGTCCAGCACACAGCCCAGGAAGCCGGCCACAAACATGCTGGTAGAGAGCAGCACGTACAGGATCTGATCGAACGCAGCGCTACCCGTCTTGATCACATCCTTGTTCTCCGACATGTAGGTCGGCAGTACCTGTAGCGTGATGAAAGCATACAATGGTTGAACAAATAGGCAGGGTGTAGCATGATAACAGGATACACTGAGACGCCATGTGTTTATGTCTTGTACATACAGGACACTGAAAAATAACAAATATCAGGACAGCAGTTGGTCGAGACATGCAGGGGCCTCGCTGCTCGTAAGTTCAGTTCGGAACCTTTAAAATGCATGTTAAGACGACGACAAACAGACATTATCAGGCATGCAGTTCTGAGGGATTAGGAATGTAAAAAGACGGACCGTTTGGAAGCAGTTAACTTCCGTGTTGACCGAGCTAAAGGGTTCGTGGGTACTCACCAATGCGAAAAATATGGAAAATCCTAAGACGAACAGGTTCCTAGACGAGTTCAGGTTTACGAATTGCAGTGACGAAAGCCCTGAAACATGCAAAACACGGCAGTTTAGAATATAACTAGTTGAGACAAAAAAGTATATCGCAATCTGTACGTTTTTTTTAGGATGAAACGAGATGTACCCCATGTCGCCAAGGCCAATATAAAGAGCATGGACATATTAACTTACGATATCTGATAAATATTATTGATAACATGACAGCTATTACGCTCAGGAATGAACTTATTTAATGAAGCCTGAGAAGACTAAAGAGAAACAACGGACTACGACCGAGTCTACATACAGCCGTCTTTAACAGACTCCCACAAAACGGCACGAAGCCGGGTCGGCGACAGTTCAGTCCGGCGACACTCAGTTGGGTTCGTCTGCTCACCAACAGCAGTGATCATAGAGAACATGATGATGAACATGCCACCCACGATGGGGTCCGGCAGGGTGATGAACAGGGCGCCGAACTTGCCGATCGTGCCAAACACCATCATGATGAGGGCGCCCCACTGAAGAACTCGGCGACTGGCCACCTGTGCAGAACACCGTCATGTCATACTCAGAGCGTTCGAACACCAACACAGTCAGGGCGTACGACCACCATCAAAGTCAAGGCATACGAACATCATTGTAATAAGGGCGCACATACGACGCTACAATGATAGGGGCGCCCCACTGCAACACCCAGCTACTGGCCACCAGTTCGAATCGGTATATCATAGAGGGCGCCTTCTTAGCAGACGGCGCAAAGCAAAGCCATCTAGCCTCACCGGGGTTCAATAAAAGCTGAGCAATATAAAACTATTAACTGTTCCCACTAAACTTCCTATTTCACTAGCATGACTCGCTCTGTCCTCCCCGTCCCCTCCCCGCCGCTCCACCAGTCTCCGCCATACCTTTGTGATGCCGATGGCGCCGATGTTCTCGCTGTAGCTGGTGGTACCGTTACCGGTCCCAAACAGGCCCGCCAGGCAGCAGCCCAGACCCTCCATACCGATACCGCGGTTAATGGCATGTACCGGCGGTGGCGGCGCGCCTGTCAATGACAGGGGACGGTCACAGGGTCAGTACGGAATCGGGATGGGGTAGGGGTTACAGGCTGACCTAACGTACAGCCCGGGTCAGTTGATTGGGATTCGGATTCGAGAGGGAGGGTAGGGGTTACAGGCTGGCCTCAGGTATAGCCCACGTCAGTCGGAACTTGGGAGGTAGGTGGTACGTGCTAACCTCACTTATAATGCTGCTTTGCTATGGGGCCCACCGATGTTCAACATAACGATGTTCCGCATTTTAGATCATGGCGTAGAATAAATGAGGTTCAGAATAAGGTATCCGCAATGACAGATATTTATGAATTTGCCATGAACGCATCAAAAATATAACAGCCCACTTGGTTTTCATTGCACTCTTTTGTGAAATAGACCTTAATTATATATAATTGATCGCAAGTTCCCGACTAAAAATCCACTCTGATCCGAGAACAATGCGGTGGCACAACACTCCCACTCACCAGATATTTTAGCGCAGGCGTAGTAGTCTCCGATGGACTCAATCATTGATGCGATGACGCCTGCCAGCATGCCGAGCACGGGTCCGATGTGTACCGAGGGCACACCCCACTGACCCGGGTAGGGCAGTCGGAACCAGGCCGCCTCGCGCAGAGCCTGAACACAGAGAGGGGAGTCAATGGGAGGTGGGGGGAGGGGTGGAGGCGAGCGGGCCAGAAACGAGAGGGTATTCGGTCACACGTCTAGCGCACAAATCAACTGCTGGTAGTCCACTTAATCGTAAGAATAGAGACAATCACTGACATTACAGGCACATCCTTGATCTAGCTTATCAAATAAGCGAGTATCGTTCAGAACTTTACCTCGCTCTTCAGCAAACACCCGATACATACGATTTAAGACAGTTATTTAAATTTGGCTAAGGAACAAGCTCTACATTCTACAAGATTGCTATCTCGAGTTTAGAATCTGGATGAATTACCAATGTCCTGTCGCTGTTGTCTTCTCACCGAGATTCGGAGGTCGGTGCGTGCCGGGGAGTCGGCCGGCAGCACGTCGTGGTACGTAAGGATGGCGCACAGCAGCCAGCTCACACCGATACCAAACAGGATCTGAAGACGAAGACAGACGGGGTAAGACAGTATGTAAGGATGGCGCACAGCAACCAGCTCACACCGATACCAAACAGAATCTGAAGACAGACTGAGACAGAGAGAGCGTAAAGATGGCGCACAGCTCACATTTATACCAAACAGAATCCGACGACAGAGACGGACGGGGTGAAACAAAGCGTGAGGATGGCACACAGCAGCCAGCTTACACCTATAGCAAACAGAACCTGAAGACGGAGAGACAGACGGGATGCGACAGTCAGCATCATTTGACGGGTTTGGGAAGCTGCTGACAGCAGCTAGGTGACAGAAAGTGTCTGCCGGTATATTCAACGTGCGTCTGCCACGGTGGGCACAAACATTTGTAAAATCATTTAGTTGGAAAATGAAACCCTGACAAGACAACCAAATGCCCTTCATCTATTGTCTTCACCAACCAATAAAACCATAAAAAGCATCATAGCATAAGCAGCAAACGTTTATATTTCGTCGACGGCTTGATGGGACCTGCTGGGATCTGCTCATTCACCCTTGAGCTTCGGTAGGAGCAGAAAAACCGAATTATAGAAAGTTTAGATCACAACATAAAAATCCGCGACGCCGTCCTTGAACTTCAGCATGCACTTATCCGGGCAGTCAGCAATAACTTTCCACATTCCAGAAAACCACGAGGTATTAAGACTATGTCTCAGACTCAGCAAAGAAAAAAAATACTTCCACTCCCTTTAATACTTTCAAGCACGAACTGCGGTTTTATGTCTCAGCGGCATGAAATAAGCAACATGGATACAACACAAGTGTATGCGTGATTATCGATCATTCAGACCGGAGAAGAGTTCATGATATCAGACAGAGCCGAATACATAGTTCACAAAAGCACATCTTCACGCGATTCGCGGAGCCTTTACACCCACGCTTCACCGTCGGAGCCTCACCGGGAACAGTTTGAAGACGGGCACCCGCATCCACCGCGACTGGGTCGCGTCGGCGCCTCGCCGACAGCGGGGGATCAGAATGTTGAAATCCCGCAGGTACTGGCTGCACAGAATCACTATGGCCATCGTTCTGTGGGACACAAGGGGTCAATTACTGTGAGGAGTCGCCTTTAGTTATCCGCGATATGGAATCGACGACGCTCTCTAGCTTACACAGCCGTCGCCACGTTAGACATTATTGTACTGCAGCTGACGAAATACGATGAATGCCACGCTAACGAGCGATATTACGTTGAATAATTCGGATATGACATTGAACTGATGGACATATGGTGTGGCTAAGATCAAATTCGGCAGCCCTTTTCAACCCTGCAGAGTCGCTGCTGTATTGTGTGACATCATGTAAGCGATATAACCGTCATTTACACACTCTGATCAGCAACAATGGCAGCGACAGCAGCCGCCACGCCCCCCCCCCCCCCCATCCCCCACCCTCTCGACCCGGAGCTGGGCTGGCCGGGATGACTGCACCAATATGAAACCGCAGGCCGACCCTCGCTACTCCGTCCAAAACTGGTTTGGTGCTTGTGACCGCTGTTTGTTCGCTGCACTGAGCCTCACCGGGGAGCCGAATGAATATAGCGCAGGGCGCATATGATTAGAAATGGAAATTCACTGAACGACACCGAAATGACACTGAAGAATGAATGGCACTAGAACCGTGCCAGAGGAGCAGTATGAGTTTACATCTACTCTACCGAGACAGATATAACCACTGTTACGTAGGATGTGGTTAGGGTTGAAAATTCACACCATCATATTACCAACAGGTGGATATGCTGTATGCGCAAGGCAGGTAGTATTGCGGTATGCCTGCTCAGCAGTGAGCGTTTCCGAACATGTCGGTCGTGACTGTAACATGAGATGAAATATTACACTTTTGAATTTTTGATCATGACTACGAAAACAATCGCCTCAAATGCAGATAGGTCTGGGCACAGACCTCTGTGTACCAGTCAGAGGTCTATGGTATTGGTCTGGGACGGACCACTACTCACTGGTCAGTCCCAGAGTATCAGTCAGCCGGAAATTTATCATCCTGAGATCGCATGCCCAATAATTTAGACACGTCAGTCTCACATCAATTAGTCCAGCTCCAGGACCGATCAATTCTGAATTCAGTCGATCAGCCCACGGCCAATCTATCCAAGACCGGACAAAGTCCACTGAGTCGTCCTCTGATCTCAGAGCCGGTCTGAGAGCGGAGAGATACACATGTTACCACATATGGGGCGCAAACCGTTGAGAAATACCAGCCACGGCCAGTCCCCAGATCAAGGACACGCATACGAGTCCTATACACGGACCGCTCTGTCCAAAGGTGAGTGGTGAGTTCTTCCAAAGGCGGTAAACCGCCCATAATCGACAGCTGCTCACCGGTAGCTAAAACAACATATGAACATAAGCAGATAAAAAATGGATCGTTTATTACGCTCCGTACCGAACACCCAACGTCCTGACTTTTTTATTACGAGAGCTTATTTCGATTAAAAAAAAAAAACATATTCCAGGAGCATGGTTAATACGATAGAATTAGCCAAAGCCGGTGTTCCTAACAACTCGGGGTTCATTTTCTTTAACGTTGACCAGAATGGCCTCCAATATCAGCGAGCGGAAACGAGCTGTGAAGCATTCTCATTGTTCAGTGTTGACAATCACCAAACAGATCCGCAGGCGGAGTCATGGAACTAAAAAGTAGTGGGGCGAATCGGGAAATGACTAGTGCTGGGTGATGGGGGACTGGGAATGACTGGTGCTGGCCTTGACGTGACGATGTGACTATGGATACAGCTACGGCTCTCCCTCTCTCCTCCCTCCCTCCCTCCCTCCCCCTCCCTCTCTCTCTCTCGCTCTCTCCCCCTCTCGCTCTCCCTTAGCATCACTCACAGTATGGAGATGCCCCAGTGGGTGGCCGCCTTGTCTTTAGCCACACCAAACAGCGCCAGGCCCACCATAGAGATGGTCGGAGCGATCGTCAGCGGGGTGATAATGTTCAGCAGAAGACCCACCACGCCTGCCGATAGGGAATACAAACAAACAGTCGTCAGTCGGATGTCAGATGAAGAATTAAAATTGTAGACAACTTCCGCAATACAGTCTTCTCTGATCGGACATCAATAAGCTAACAGGGTCGTGAAGAATCAGGGCTTTGTCTATTATTCGTTTTCAGGGACATTATTCCAGCGGCCGCGCAACAGCTATGCGCACATGCAGGCCAGAGCTCCCGCACAAACGAGTAGCTTCATATCTGCGCACCACAACGGCACTTCCGCAGCACCCATGCGTTCACAGGCACGGAAGAATGAGCACGCAAAGCGAGGCAGCACGAACAACGCACACGCTAAACCAAAACAGCTGACATGAGGAGATAATATGCCAATGTTCAAACACTAGGCCTGATATGGGACCGAGAAGTTTTGGACAAATTACTAGAAATTATAATTAACCACGGAGGTAAGAAACAAGCAATATCAATGAGGCTGAGCAGGCGGAGAGCACATGCAATGTCATGCAGGCAATGTTCCGACTGGTCACGGTATACAACGCTGCTGCCAGTCGTGTCCCGCTACCGTTATTATGTCGTATTATCACTAGTTGTCGACGTTTTCCATTCGTGAAAACTTTTCGTAATTGGATAGCCAATTGTGCTGAAGTGAAAAAGCACAGAAGCTGAATGAACACGGCTGACGGAACTTATTATGTTGGTGTGTCAGCCGAGGCAAATGACAGGCATCCTATTTAGTAGCAGCGCAAATGCAGGTTACGCTAAAAAGCATTCACATACGACGTACGCGTTTAGTTTCACGTACCCCATCGTTATACGTAGTTCGGGATTATCGGCACGGTTCACTGAACTGGGAGAGGGAGAGAGAATGGAGTGGAGGACTGGAGGGAGGGAGGATCCTGCCAGCGTTCAGCGAAGCGTAGAGCCGGTGCCGTAAGCAGAAACAGGCGCATTGTGACATTGGTTTTCGTGAGCAGTGTCGTTGGAAGTGGAAAGCGCGGAATTCGACCTACTGTCTGCATCAATATTCTAACGCAAATTACCGATATATTCATACATGACGAAAAATAGGGTTAAAATTAAAGAGTAATGAGAGTAAGTTTTTGCGGAAGAGGAAGAGCAGGCGAGAGGTTAACCAGCGCCCGGCTGGGGGTCCTGGATTTCCACGCCCTGCTGGGGGGGGGGGGTGTTTGAACACCCCCCCCCCTTCTAACTCGGCTCCTGGGCCACGTAGCGATACGCGGAAGGCGGCGTTCGAAAGAGCGTCAAAAATAATGAGGAAATCACTTCCGTCAATTTTTTGGTCAGGTCAAAGGTCAGGTCACCAGAGGTCATTGAAGGCAAAATTTCGCCGATTTCCAGCTCGAATGTCGACAATTTCCAAGAAGCCAACGCATAACTCGGGAACCAATAGAGCTACAGCGCCGCGGAAAAGCGCATTCGATAGCCCAATTAACGCCCTTTCTGAGTAATTCCTCAGATTTGACCTAACGTCAACGGTTTTGCCTGCAGGGGGCAAAAACTGCAAAAATAACCGATTTTTTCGGAAACAGTTTTCTGCAATAACTTTTGACACAAGCCTTGTACGAGCTTACTTTTACCGGCATCGTGTTCCTCTCGTCAAGACGCATCGAATGAACTGTAACTTGACCTTGAAAGGTCAACTTGAAAATTTGACCTCAGGTCAAGGTCATGACCTGACCGGAAAGGGTCATGTTGCATATCAGTCGATCCGTATCGTCGAGATGAACACATCTAAGGCATTTTCATCGCTCTAGCATGCCTCTATCAAAAGTTATTTGCGAAAAACTGTTAGATACCATTCGTGACCTAAGATGACCTCAGGGCATAAACAGGGGTCACAGACACCATTTTCATGTTCAGTGTGTCTAAACCACTTGTAATTCAGTGTTTGGGAGTGTTTATAATGTCTTTCGTCCAAAAGAGGCTCATTTCAATTTTCTCCCATTGACTTATAATGGGGAGGTCGCAAAATTGACCTGACCTTAGGTCATCGATATCAAAATTCTGAGATATACATTTTGTACATGCTATTGCTCTTAGCAATCGCTGAAAGTTTCAAAGCGATCGGTCACTCGGTGTAGCTATGACAGACATTGAAACTTTTTATGAGGTGAGGTCACTCCAAGTGACCTGGTGACCTGACCTTGAATGACCTTGGTCTGAAATTTTCACAACATGTGTAGAATTGATGTATGATAAGGTGTACCAGAAACGGCGGCGCGGAGCGCCGCCGTTTTTGAGATATTCGCGAAAAACCACAAGGGGGGGGTGTTCAAACACCCCCCCAGCAGGGCGCGGGTTAAAAAGAACGGAACGTGGCATTGCTCTCAAACAATTCACGTAACGAAAGACGACTATGTATACGGTAGCCTTGCAGCAGCTGTGCTAGATGACTCGACTGTCACTACTTTTCCCTATCATTTACGTAGAATCATGGTATGATCATGCCGATGACTCTGTGTTTTGTCACGATAATGCGACATTTACAGGACTATTTTTGGGGCATACCGGATATCAGAGATCTCCTGCAGATAATTCTAAAATCAAAACCACAACAAACAATACTAAAACGAAAACGGGCACCAAACACAGCGTTCACTTAATCTTAGCTCGCGATTATTCATCACGACAAAAGGTCATTAGAGACCGTCATGCGACTTTCTCCAAACAAGCAGTCTCCCGTCACGAAATCAGGTGCAGCCCAGACAGTCCAATCTCAGCACCCACCTCCAAACGAGAGTATGATCTGGAACAGGGACGACACGGCGATGGCACCCTGCACCTCCCGCATGCGCGACATCCACAGCTCCTGCTTTTCGTCATCGGAGAGCAGCGCCATGGCGTCCGGGTTGGGGCACTTCCACTCCGGCAGGCTGAGCAGCGTGAACGTCGGCGTCAGGAAGGAGAAGTTGCCGCCCTGCACGATCGATAACCTGTGGAGACGACGGATGTCACATGGCAGCCACTGCTTACGCGAAGGAAGGCTTAATCAGTACGTTTTTTGTTACGAAATAACTACCCTCGCTCTAGATGCCGTTCGTCAATTTGTATCCAAATAATACACCTATCAGAGTTAAATGTGACGACAAAAAGTCGATCTTCGTGACTTCGGAGCTACAGTGTGTCGACAATCAGTGCTCAACTAGTTTCCCTCAGTGCGCGACGGAGAAGAGAGGCGAAATAATCGAAAACGGGCAATGTCGAGCACCTTACAGCAGTACCGCCGTCTGGAAGCTGACCTGCGCCCTCAGTCCTCACCTGACGCCGAAGGTGACCTGCAGCAGTGTGACGATCCCGGAGACGAAGAGGATGGTGCCGATGACGTAGCCGCGCGCCGGGTCACTCTCCTCCATACACATGGCGGGCGTGACGATCAGAGGGATGGAGACGGTGCTACCGAACATCGTCAGGTATTGCTGAAAATGACGGGAGATCAGGGAGTCAGTGGACAACATATCGCTGCCGTGAGCAAGAAAATGTTTAGAGCATCGCGATTTCTCTTTGATAAAACGCAAATACTGAGTGAAATGCCGTAACCACTCTTTGAAAAGCCGCAATTAACCAGCGACAAAAGCCCGACTCGGGAATCGCCACTAAATAAAAATAGCACAGCACGAATCTATGCCGCCTTGAGTCCACAAACGATTAATAAGCAATGAATTATCAGTCATCCCTCCTAAAATTTTGCCTACTGAATTCCCAAGCAATGAGACCAGCTTGATCGAGTGAGTTTGGCATAAAAAAATCCGAAATGACAAACTGGTCTGTTCTACTGAGCTACCTACAGTCACCGCACCTGCTAAAAATAATCCCCGGTACGGGATTTCCCATCGCAATCATATGTGACGTGAAGGTCAGCCGGCAAAGCCTAGTGTCGTTGGCCGTAGCATGCATCGAAAGAATATGCTTGGTAACTCCAATGCGTCACAAGACACTACCCCGCCTAGCTCGGCCCACTGGCGGCCTATAGCGCTCTCAGCCTTTCCACCATCCTGCCAGACGGTCACAGGGCCGCACCTGAAACCCGAGCACTATGCAGTAGTACCAGGGAGGTGTGTCGTCCACCTCATACAGCATCTCGGGCCGCGGCACGTAGTCGTCGTCCTTGGGCCCGGCGCCGCCGGCGGCGGCCGGGCCGTCCGCTGCCACGCGCTGCCGCAGCTCAATGGAGGCATCGCCGTGGTGGTGCGAGCCGTTGGTAGGCTTCGCAGGCAGCTGTGGAAAGGAGGAAAGGTGAAAGGGGCAGGATCAGCCGCTGTGCTAGCGAACTTATAAAAGTACTGCAACACTGCCGTAATGTGAACGATTCGTAAGGTCTAAGAGAGAAAAGGAATGACCCACAAGACTTTCTAACTTTCCAACTGCATTCCAGACTTTGCCATTTCATGCTTCAAACTCCCGTCGGAGAATGAAGCAATGTTTAACTAATTGGCAAAGCCAGAGTGTTTATTGCTACAATCCTGACTTAACTCTTATTAAATAATGCCGTAACTTTATCGCTGTAGGTATCGATTCATGGATAATTATCACAGGCTCACCAAATAAACCGGGAACTAAAAAAACGGTAAATTGGCACAATAACCGCAAAAGCCTCAGCCCCGTGAAGAAAGTCCTATAAACTTAGGCATAGAACCTTACAACGACAGGCATATCATTCTTCACTACACGAGCCCGACCTTGGGTAATGATTCATGAGTTAGCCGTATGCAAGGTCAGGTTTTACCGGCGACCGGTATGCACTGTCAGGCGTCATGTACCAAACAGAAATCCCGGCCGATTTGACCGGGTTTTCAGAAATACATCAATGACAGACGACTGTATTTACCTCGTCCTCGGTTATATCCAGAGCGGCGTTGTCCATTGCGGAGGCGGGGGCTGAAAAAGGCGAGTACCGTGATAAGACGGGTCATGTGCCTACAAGTTCAATAGTGGGAAATGCCACAAGATCCCAACTATTAGCTACAAGGGAGAAATAGGGACGACGTGGTAACTCAGCGCCATGCAGAGAAGGGTGGTGAGGCAAAAGCCGTACTAGAAGGACAATACGGTTTGACAACAGTATGCCACAGGGTTGGGTCAGGCATGTAACATTCCTGCACAAAACAGACAAGAGGGCAGGCAGACCACGTGGATAAATGCATGACTGAGACGTCAAATGATGGATCGAATGGCTGACTACTCCAAGGTTCAGAACACTCTGGTCAAACAGGATACAAGACTTCACTTTTAGAGTGATGAAAGTTCTTAGGTCAACCTAAGCGAAACAAACATGCGGTACCGTTCATTACTTCATACCGCAAAGCAGTGAAAACAGTGATTGGGTCACGTACAACCCTCACAGCACGTTCTCAACACGGCCTGCACGAGCACCGCACGGGCCAGACAGGGAGCGGTGGTCACGGCCGGCGGCCCGTGCACGATGCACGGCTAAATCACGGCCCGTGCACGGTACAGTCACGGCCGGTGTGCAAACGTCGCGACCCGTGTACAGTCATATGACTAACAATACGGCTGAGGGCCAAACGGCAGGCGTTTCCAGAGGACGAAGCTGTACTACGTGTAGTCGTATAGTGGTTGGAACTGGGACTTGAGTTCCTGTTTACTATCCACATCGGGCAGACAGGATACGGGCGATTGCACCAAATGATGATAATCGGTCGTCACTGATTTAGCCCGACCAAACACTGGAAAGCGACGACTGCTAAAAGAATCGGTGACTATCAACCTCGTGGGGGTGACAACACGTTTCAGTGAGTGGGATACCAAAAGCCGTGCGACAAGAACCCATGAACTATTTCTATAAAGATCTCAAGTTGTGCCCTGTCACCATAAGTCAAGTTTGAAGCGAACAGATGACTATTTCAGAAACGTGCCATTCAAATAGTGTGTGCATTCATATCCAAATTTCCATTCACAGAAACAGTCGAAAGCCAAAGTCATTGTTTGGTAATCACTTACAAGGACGACATGGCCTCGTGACACGGAATCTATGGCCGGAGCTGTAGCGTTTCCGTATTGTCCACGTGGTGTGTGTGTGAGGTTGGAGTTCTGTAGCCTTGGTGAGGTCGGGAGGGTGGCGGGCTGAAGGTCGAAATACGTGATCGGAATAAAACGGACGCATCAGGAAGGCGAGAAACTCGGAAAGAGAAAGTGCCATGGCTGCAAGAGAGGGCACAGAGAGTGCAAGAGGGTAAGGCTTCATGATACCTGGTCGAATTAATACCCCTAGGCACTTGAACGTAAGGTCAAGGTCGTGATACGAGACTTTCCAGTTAACGAACAATGTAATAGACTAAAAAAAACGTAAAAAATACCGTTGTCGGTTCGGTTCTAACATTTCGATTGGAAGGATGAAGCACGAGACGCAACGATACGCCAAGCCCAACTTTTTTACGAAGCTTTTTACGCAGTTTGCAGTTCAGGGTCACCGTCCCATCGGGAAACCATGCACAACTGGCAGAGTTCTAAAGGCAAAGCGTTGAATCATCTGAGCATTAGGCACGCTCACAGCAACAGGTTCCACTCCACAATAACCACATCCACATAAAATCGTTAGCATAGATACCATTTCACACACGACTACCATACCGCTACCTGCTAGTTGCTACCTATTCCTATACCTTTTACACTGCTACCTCTATCCACACGGACACCTGGGGTGCACATGACCGACTGACACAGCCGTTTGAACAGCAGTTTCGACTGGCGATACACAAAAGTACTCCGTCTATAGGATGCTGATGACGGCCTTGGTCAGGCTTTGCCAGCTGTAGTTATCACAGCTACCCCCTTTGACTTACTGATGGAAGAACGTTAGCCCTCGGACGAAACCGAAACTGGTGCCGCCTCTAACGCACTCTTTTCGTTTCTCCAACGATCCACAGCCCGGCCAGAATCGTCTTCTCACACCAACACTAAACACATGTCCCTATATCACTAGTGGTTGCTGGACACGGCGTACATCCACGCGTACTTTCTCCGACTGCGGCGGCCCACTCACTGCGCGCCGGGCTGTCGACTGGCGGCTCGCAGCGCTCACACACGGGCTCCGCCAGCGGTCGGCGCCGCCGCGGGGCACGCTCGAGAGGCGACGCGTTGCCGCGGGACTGTGCCGTCAGCGAGGGTGAAAGCCGCAGTCGCAGCGCGATTCGTCGAATTTGGACGAGCGCGCATCCGGCCCGGTGAGACGAGCTCATAAATGAGGGGTGCTGATTCTGCAGCGGCGTTCGTTTTTGTGTGGGCGGTATTGTGCGCCGTATCCGGGAAACATTCATTTCCAGATTGTAAAATATCAAACAAAAATGTCATAAAAAGAATCGAGTAGCTCCTACACTTTACGTCAACAGTATGAGTTGGCAACCCGCTTCAGTCTGCTAACGAGCTGACCATGACTTTCCAACGATCTACGTCAATGTTCGGCTCGGCCAGCCATCAATCACTGGCTGGTTTCCACCACTAAATGAATCTCAACACTGCATTCCGTGAGTAAAATGACCTTTAAAACATTGGTCGCAAAAAAACTATTGGTGACCTGCAGTGACCTGGCCTTGACTCGGTCGTCTCATGGTCTCGCAATACCTTTACCGGTTACCTAGGTGTACTATCTAAAGATGTGAAATGAGCAGGTAAATGATTAAGCCAAATAACTGCATACACGTAAGCATGGTATTGCGGAAACGTATATTGTATCGAAAGGCGTCCTAATTCAAGTCGATTTAGGTGCGTAACGTATCAAAAACAAGTCAAAGTGAGTTATAGCGTTGGTCTTTATTCACAACTTTGAAGAGCAACAAAAGTCGTGAAGCCGTGAATCGCACTAAATGTATGAGCCGGCAAAATCAAATTGTTGCTACGCCCCCGCGGGCTTATGCACCAACAGCAATAAGAAGACGAAAGGTTTCACGAAAAACAACAACATTTTGACATGACTGAATGTTTAAGAATAACAGGTGTCAGACATAACATGACCGATTCCCATAAAAATATAAAACTTGTGTTGGCAAAATGAAGCTAAGGATTGTGTTGGTTGTTTAAAACGCAAACATTTCCGACCTATGTATTATTCATTTTAAACGGGGGAGTAATCAAAATAACTGAAACTCGTGAGCTGCACTGTCCTTGGCTCAACAATAAGGTATTGCGAGACGACTTTTTTGACAACTCGAAACACCTTCCTTCACTCTAAGACTGTCGTAAAGGAACTGCAGCATCCGTTTTAACATATATCACTGATACTACTATAGCTCCGATATTTGATCATGAAAGTGTAATTGTGATGCGACTTGAAAACACTCACTAACAAGCATATCATCACTGGCAACAATATCATCACTTGACCGTCTGTGTGTGTGTGGGGGGGGGGGGGGGGGGAGACGCGAATTATAAGCTCACGCATCATCAAAGACCGGCTTGCTGATTAATCCTTCCCCACTTGAGCACCTCCCCTTCACCCCACCGCCCCACTACATCGGCCAAAGCACCCCTCGCACTACCCCGCCCACCGAGGCCTCGTGACCCGTCACCTCAGTGGGCAGGCGCGGCGGCCTCCGGCGGCGCCTCTGTCGCCGGCTGCTGCTTCTGTGCCGTCCGGAGGAGGTCGGGAGGCGGCGGCACACCGAGTTCCTGGCGCAGCTCGGCCAGCGGCTGCTCCCAGCGCCGCTCCCAGTACACGGAGAGCAGGAAGCGCGCGTCGCGGCCGGCCCGCAGAGCCCAGGGCAGACACTCGGTACGGAACCGCTGACGGTGTCTGGGGGGCAGAGTCGTCAGAGGTCAGAGGGGTCAGTGGAGGGGTTCAGTGGACAGTTAAAGGTCAGAGGAAAAGAGGAGAGTCAGAGGTCAGACTAGAGAAAAGGGGTGGATAGCTAAAAGGTCGGGGCAAGTTTCAAAGGGTCAGGAGAGTTTCAAAGGTCACGAGGTCAAAGGACAATGAAGGTAGGATCAGATTTGTGGATGGTCAGAAGCTGTGAGGCAACAATACCAATAAATTTAAATTTATGCGACAATATACGATAAACGACCAAATGATCTCGTAATAGCCCGGCATAGATGCCAGTAGTCTCGACATGGCAATGGTCGTCTATAATTGTTCCAACTCACTTTGGTTTGAGTCTGAGGGGCGCCAGCAGGCCACCTCCGACGCACATGGGCAGACCGGTCTGCAGACCTTCCACCCACTTCACAGTGACCTCGCCTGTGGGTACGGGGCGGAGAGGGAGAGGAACCGTTACATACTTCCTCCGTTCCCGTCCACACAGTCGGACACGCGCGTCTCGCACAAAGACCATTAGAATTTAGGGGGCCACAACAGTAAAGTTTATGAAGTTTCAGACTCCATATACCACGACGTAATAAGATCACTAGCAATTACCGCGGTCCATATAGCTCAGCGCGCTCAAACTGCTCGAACCGAGCAAAACAACTTGCCACAGCAGCTCGCCAACGCAGCAAAACGTCCTCACAGCTGATCAACTGAGGCGATTCTCACAGCAGTCGACCTTAAACACATGGAAGTAGGAGCTTCATCTTTTCCAATAGCTATAAGTAAGTGAACAGAACACATTTTTGCGTCAATTTATTCACAACTTTCTAAAAGTGGTGTGCGGTGTGCCCACTCCCTTGCATGATCTAAGACCATGACAATTAAACACAGGATTGATGTGCTCCGACCCGCGCCCCTCTGATGTCGTACCGAGCAGGTTGGTCGGCATGCCGAGCAGGGTGTGCACCAGGTCGTGCGACTCGCGGTACCGCTGCATCACGTACGCCTGGTCGGCATCATCCACGAACCGCACCGGGTCGCGGCTGTCCGGTGTCACTTTCTGACGGCATGGGGAGAAATTATGTGATGACAGCACTATGGGGAGGGAGAGGTCACATTTTGTCGGTGGGAGTGACGTCACGTTCTGCTCAGAAACAAATTTTCCATTACATTATGCATCACTTTTTGGCAGCGGTGATCCATGAAATAGTTTTTTTTTTTTTTTGCATTTACCGGTGGCGATAACAAAATCACCCAATGAGTTAGTTATATTAAACATTACATCTGGCACCGTGACCGCCCATCATACTCCCACCGTAACCGACTTTCACCCCCATTAGCGCGCATAGAAAGCAAAAATTGATAACCCCGATCGTTGATAGTCAGAACCCCCCCCCCCCCCAATGTCACTCTGGCTTTCCCAGGGGACCGACCTGCTGCTCCAGGAAGCGGATATACTCCCGGCCCAGGGTGTCGTCCGGCAGACGCGAGAGTGCAGCCAGGTCCACCGTGCCCGAGTTGATGACCGGTCGATCCCTGTAAAACAGGCACCATGCTACATATAGACAATCACAGACCGAATACGTGTACAGCTACAGGAGACACTGATCTACAAACTGACGCTGTTGCGGGCTGCCAGCTGAAGTTGTTTGCATTAGGTAACACCTAATAAAAAAACAGTAAATTGCATGTTATGTTTATAATGTTATTGTACAAATCACAGCAATAAATTAAAGTGATGAATACATACCGAAGTATTTCTCTGCCCTCTGGGTGCTGCTGCATTTTGCTTAGCAGACATGGCAGAACTAGAGCTCCTGTTGTCTCTCCAGAAACAGCAACCATATCTGAAATAAAACGGTTTCACAGCTTTGCAAATATTAATTGGTGGCAAGCAAAAGAAGCTAAAACTTGATTAGCTTGGTAGGTAAGTGGTAACTAAGAAAGGTTGCACGCTTTTACCGAATGGTAAATGAACATTGTTCTGAAGTTATACCAAACATACTGTGAATGAATTGACAGGCATTGACATGTAAAGAGAGAAAAAAGTAAAACAAATTATGTAGCTTTGCATAATTACCAGCTCTAGTTGGATCTAGTAATCCAACAACAGATGATCCAAGGCCCAAAATCACTTTTTGAGCAAATGATGTCGGAACATGTGAAGGGTACAGATCGAAATTCGGTTCAGCGTCCTCTGCCTCTCCCAAACTGTCATGCTGGGGGCTTTCGTCCTGATGGTTTAATCTTGTGATCTGATGCCGGGCACTGCATTTTTGTTTTGATCTGAGGCACCTGAACCCTCTTAGACATACCACTTTTCCATTTAGCATGATCTGCAATCAAACTATTACTGAGCTTCTCAGTAGTTTCACCTGAAATGCAATGCAATGATTAGTTTGGTACATGTAGGTTGCCATAGCTTTGATTTAAACCAAACCATGGTGGGCCTCTCAGCTAACATTGCCATGGCAGGGTGGGGGTGGGACTTGGGAGTATTCTGCCATACCAGGTTATCTCGAAAACTAAGACATCTAGAAAGAATAGATGCAGTCATTTCCCACTTTTGCACTCTTTTTGCACTTTAGCCCTTGTCTGCCGTGAAAGGCGCCTCCATTTCGTCAAGAGAAGTGGAGGTAAGATGCACCACGGTTCCCGACACTAATCCTTCACATTCCTAATTTCCCCACAATAACCACCGTTATGTCCCATCACGCTACACACATGTTCGTCATTGCTTTTTGGCTTGTCTTGCTGCGCGTTTGGCGCTGCTTGTTTGTCTCGTCCAACTTTTGAACACTGTAAATACGCCAGCACATCTGTATTGCAGACGCACGCCTCCGGCTCACAAACAACTTGAAACAAATGACATGTATTTATTTATTGAGCCGGCGCGTCTATATCCAAAATGGGTTTCCCTTTCACTTCCGTCCATCTACCCGTCCAATTCATATGGCTGGGGCGGGAAACCTACCAGGTGAGTTGACCAGGTGAGTTGACTCATTAACCCGCGCATGACTGGGGGGGGGAGGGGGCTCTACAGAGCCCCCCTCCCGTTTTTCAGCAATATCTTCTGAACCGTTTGACGGATCAACACGAAACTTGCAGTACCTTCAGCGGCATCAATTTGACACCTTGAATAAATTTTTAACTTTCTAGCTACCATAGTTTGGCCGGAAATGACGTCAGAGTGACGTCATGTCGCCCGATTTTGATGCAAAATATTGAATTACGACAAACGCTCTCAAGAGCTCAGTTTTAAAGCTAGATCCATTTTCTTTGCATGAGTGGACTACAAATACACTTAGCTATCAAACTGATATCTCGAATTTTCAAAATTTTGATAATTTTGGAAAAAAATGTGTTTACAATTACAAAAAAAAATCAAAAAGTTTTCGATTTTTTGCAAAAAACCGGAATATAAGCGATAGAATGCACTCTGATGAACTACACTAGCAATTTTCAGTCCAATATCTTCAAAAATAGCCACGTTATTCGCATTATTGCCTCAATTTTACAATAACATATTTTTCAAATCCATTTTTCAGTACGTTTTTGACATCGTACAGCAATATAAATGGCACCATCGTGTTGCTGAGCTCAAACTGCATCCGATAGGCATAGGCACCTTTTTGTTGAAAAATTTCATTTTCAAAATTTGACCTTTTCTGACCTGAAAGTGATCTGACCTCCAGTAAATTCAGCTGACAATGACCTCAAACGACACAGACGACACTATTTTCGAAATCTACGAGTAAAATGGACCATTAAACATGCGTCACGTGACTGATACATGATATACAATTTTTGTAACCTAGGATGACCTAACCTTGACCTTAACCCTCGCCCGTATAGGGGGGGGGGGTCGAACGGACCCCCCCCCTCGGTTTTTCGCGAATAACTCGCGTAAAAAGCGGCCGATCGCGACGAAACTTTCGATACCCTCGCGTTAATCAATTTCACACCTACCCTGAAATTTTCATGACCCTGACCCTAATGACCTTTGACCTGTGACCTACTTTTCGAGACCATGTTTGGCCGGAATCGCGATTCGGCGTATGTCGGCTCGCATTAGCCGCGCGTTTGCAGTCTTTTCGTGGTTTCAAGCGTTCAAACATGGGATATGATGTTGCTCCCATGCATTAGGGTGGGTGTCAAGGTCACCGGAAGGTCAGGTCAGGTCATTGACCTTTGATGACCTCGGTTCACTTTTTTTTCTAAATAGTCCGCCATCCATTAACAGATGGCCAGGAGTGCCCCCACCGCAGTCCCAGCGACGCACAGAACCTTACGTTAACCCAGAGAACATAAAAAGAACTAGTCGCGGCACTCCCTGCTAAGAAAGTGAAATAAACACAAAAAACAGAATGATATCATGATACCATGCAAACAGATAAGTAGTCACGCCAAATCCAGCAATGATTTTCCCGACTTTTGGGTCATTTTTGGGTCAAACAGGTCCCGATTTCCCCGACTTTTGGGTCATTGACCTGACCTGGAAGGTCAACCGATGACCTAGGACCTTAAAATTGGGTATCATCGGCTTCCTCTCGTCACGGGCAACACGCTCGTTTTTTCCGCGAAGCTCTAGCTCGATCAGGGGCGAAACGGCAAGGAGGGGTCCAACGGACCCCCCCCCCCCCCCCTTATACGTTCGCGGCTGGAAAAACACCAATACGGGCGAGGGTTAAAAATTCAAATTAAAAGTTTGTTACTCTCAGGGTATCTAGGGCATCTATCAAGGAGTGTGTAAACCAAAAATGAGCCTGATTGGACTTGTAAGCCGACAGTCAGAGCCCAAATTGTGAACTAGCAAAAATGTCAATAATTTTTACTTTGACCTGACTTGTGGCGTCATCAGTGACCTCGAGGTCAATGAAAATAGGTTTCGCTCGACAGTTTTTCCAGGGCCATCAGACGCCGTTTGAATTTTGACGATCGGCCCAGTAGTTTCGGAGATAGGAGGGGGCTCTGGAGAGCCCCCCCCCCCCCCGTCACTCGCATTATGGAAAATACCCCAGTCATGCGCGGGTTGTCAGGTAAGGTTCTGTGGTATATAAGTAGATTTAGGTTGTAAATTTGGTTGTAGGTAGTAGGTTGGTAGATGAAGGTTGTAGGTTGGTAGGTGAAGGTTGTAGGTTGGTAGGTTGTAGGTTAGTACCACACATAGATACTGATGATACTTTTACACAAAACATTTATAAGTTACATTCAACCACTCATTCAGTCAGGTAAGGTTATGTGGTATATAAGTAGATTTAGGTTGTAAATTAGGTTGTAGGTAGTAGGTTGGTAGGTTGTAGGTGGTAGGTTGTAGGTATATCTAGACTTGGTTAGTACATAGGTAAGCTTAGGTCAGGTTAGATTAGGTTTTTACGGAGCGAGCGAAGCGAGCGTAGTCTTTCCTTAGATTAACGGAAATTTCTGAGTATGAGCGGCCGGCCGGCCGGCCGGCCGGCCGTGGTCACACTTTTGCGAGGCTTATATCTCAGCAACCACTTGACCGATTTACACGCGGTAATTTTTGTAGGGTAGCTTCATTCCTTCTACCAAGTATTGGACTATTCCCGATGCATGTGGGTGACCCCTTATGCACGTGCCACGTGCAAAACGAAGAGGTGTCAGTTTTGCAATTGTTGCAATATCTCGGTAACTACTTGGCCGATTGCGCTGAAAGTTGGCATGTAGGTAGGCACCCACTAGGCACTGCATATACATGTGCCAGAGTTGGGGTGCTGCTGCACGTGCGCACGTGCAGGGGTCGTTTCCAGATGTCGGGAACGGCTGGACCGATTGCGCTCAAATTTGGTACACGGTTAGGGACCGGTTAATAGGGTGCCGTGCACAAGTCAGTTGGGACCCATTTTGCACGTGCGCACGTGCAGGGTGCCGCTTCCAGATCTCGAGAACGGCTGGGCCGATTGTGCCCAAATTTGGCACATCGCTAGAGACCAATTAGTAGGGTGCCGTGCACAAGTCAGTTGGAGGTACCCCCTCACAATTTCGCACGTTCAAGGCCCACCCTCTCGCTCGCTCCGTTAGTCGCCCCAAAAGGCGTTATACTGGTTTTAAATCTGCTAGTACCTATTGTACCTGATTTTTTTAGCATTAAATAATTGTATGAACAATTTTCTAGGTTGATAAATGGTTTGTGACAATATGATGTGGTTATTATTCAATTTTGAGCCCAGGGTGCAAAAGACAAAGAGGGATGAGATTTGACCAAAGACAAAGGAATGAATAACTTGAACTCCTATTAGGCCTTTAAATATTTACGGTAATTTTTTGTCTTTTCGATCAGATCATTGCTGCAGCTAAGGTCAACATAAGTCAAGGTCATCAAAAGTAAATTTATCCAAAAAAACATTTTCCCGATAGGCGATATTGACAGCATCTAATTACAATCAATAAGCGCATAACTCAGGTAGGTACGAATCAAAGCGATGCAGAAAAGCGCATACGATAGCACTTTCAAAGCTTTTACTGAATTATGTCCACAGATTTAACCTAGAGTCGACGGTTTAAGCTCCAAAGGATAAGAATCTCCTCAATCTTTGACTTTTACGCGGATACCACCAGGCCCATGTCACTCCACTTTTGATGACATCATATGGGGGCCTCAGGACAATAATGGCGCGGCGCGCCACAATCGCTTCAAAGCTACTTGCCAACAGTTGCCATTTTTGAAAATATTATTTTGAAATAAAGTTCCAAGTAATAAAAATATTGTAATAAAGTTGTTGAATAAATCGATACCATATCTAAAAACTTACTGAAAAATGATTTATTCATAGTAAAAATATAAGCTCGATGCGTTTCTACGCTGCTTTCCTGCAACTGCAGAGGGTTTTTAAATCGTCTATATCTTCAAAACTGGCCATTTCTTAGCATATTGCTGCTCTTTTTTATCGCTAGAAAATAAGTTGTACTTTCCAGTGACATCAATGGTTGAGCGATATGTGTAAAGTGTCACCAACAATCGTCAAATGAAGTTAGTCATTTTTACGTTGTAAAGGAATGGAGTACCCCTTTCGAGCATCAGGGGTGACGTCACTCAGGATCTGTCTCTGATTGGTCGGCGGGGGAGTGACTGTACCTTCTATAGATGGCCTTGGATACCACTGGCGGATACGGAGCACACACGGACACGGAGGAAAGACACTTGGGAAACACGAAGGGGGAGGGGGGGGAGATTACATAATTGAAACTGTTGCGTCACATTTGAAAAGTTTGGTAGCTGACGCTACCAAATTTATGGAAAGGAACTCCCTTTCATGACGGACAGTCGTAAAAATCAACTTTCTCCAAGAATTTCTCGAAAACTAGTAGACAGCTGCCAGTGAAAAAGCAGATATACAAAATTGAGCTCATAAACGTACAAACAACACCGTCAACCTGACTCAATGACTGTGTAGGGTGGAATAACCCATAGGCGGCGGAACGAGGGGGCACCGCAGTGGTCGATAAAACTTCCAACGTGCCAACGCTCGTTGGAGCAAGATATTAGCAATGCTTCGAAGAGCTGGAGACAGTCCGCCCGTCTACATGGATGCTTCCTTACGGCTAAAATACAGCATTGACTTATGACTTTCTAATCGTCCGGTGCTGTTATCGGCTGCTCGGTAAGTACCGCGTGTATGTTCCCTCATTCACTCCTGGTCACCCTTCGGTCACCCCTCGCTGGGTCGGGCCAGTCGGCTATCTTTATCCTCTTTCCGGCTAGGCCACCCGCTGAGCTCCCGCTGTGCCGCGCCGTCTGCGAGGGACCTGACCCTTCTGCCGGGACAGGTTTCTCCAGGTGTCTCCAAGGAGCCATCATAGCGCTAAGGGTGTGCTCCGCATACACATACATTGATTTTCGCCCCTACTAGCAGGGCCGCTGGCACGCGTTGGCAGCGCCCTGCGGGCATTTTTTCGCTTAGGGTCATTTTGTGGTAAGGAGGATCAGAAAATCGCCCTTCCAACTTTCTCCAGGCCTGGGTGTTTTATCGAGCGCGCCTAAAAACGCACAGTGGACCGAAATCACACTTCGATTGCGTTACTTCGTATTAGGTAATACGATAAAAAGTCCGCTCTTTCCTCAATCAATAAGGACAAGTGCGTTAAAGCACACATATAAACTTTTGAATTAGAAGCTTTAAAATGCTAAATTTCAACATCTCTAAGCTGATGATAATCGTTAGTTTGGCGCGAAAACGAAGGCATTCAGATCCACTGTGCGACCGGTCACCGTATGCGATGGTGTCACCGTAGTGTGTTGGTGTGAGTTGGGGAGTCAAGGCCGTGTGTGGAGAAGGTGAGGAGATACCGGTGTGCCGACGCGGCGGATGGCAGTGAGTTTTCAGGATAGGTAGCAAAAGGCTCATTCCCAGACGTTGTGCCAAATTTTGCGGCGCTACGCGACACCAACTTTTACGCTATTCGCGAAAAAAAAACTTAAGGAGGCTGCTCCCCCCCCCCCCCGCCAGGCGAGGGCTAAGTTGGAGACAGTGGTGGCACTAAGATGTTCGTTGGAGCAACTCCAAGCATTTTATCGACCTCTGGGGCACCGGGGCAACGTGCCCCCCCATTGATTTTGACATTCTAACATTAGCCCTATGGGCGTTGCATGGAAAGAATGGGAATAAGAGTCGGCAGTGCCCCCTCCTCCTCGGCACACCTCCTCGGCAGTGAAGGTGTTCTGCCGCCACTGGAATGACCCCTTCAAACAAAAAGGAAGCCAAGAAACCTTCAACCAGGACAGGACATATTCTCTTATCTCTTTTTGACATCTTCCTCCAGGGATCTTCAGACAAAAATGCCATTTATTTTTAACTTTGATACAATGCCAACATTTTATTGCAAAGCATTGCTCACAATCCACAAGTTTCAACAATAATTTCTTGACACCAAAATGCTCACTATCAGACATCTTACTTCATATTTGGGCAATTTTTCACACTAGCTGGTATGCTCCGAAATGCCTTCTGAAACATCATCCCTGACAAAACACCAATTCACAATCAAATAAGCTGACAACTTGGCCCAAAGTGCTCATCAAAGCTGGTCAGTGAGACAGTCAATGGCCAGCTCTGGGTCATACTGACAAGTCAAAGTCACAGGCCACAACTCATCACAAACACACAGGATTCTGGTATAAAAACCAGTGACACTCTCACAATCAGTTCATGCAACAGCTTATCTCCAGCATGTGCAGTGTGCACAAAACTATTCAACCACACAGACGGCACCTGCCTTCTCCAACAGCTCCTTCAGTTTTTCAGCCTCATCCTTCGGCACATCTGCCTTCACCACCGCCGGTGCTGACTCAACAAACTTCTTTGCCTGTACCAAATTCATGCCTTCAACACATGCTTTTAGCTCCTTAATAAGTGCCACCTTCTTTGCTGCATCAAATGAATTCAGCTTGACCGTAAAGCTGGTTTGCACCTTCTGCGAGACCTGCTGCTCATCCTCCTCCTCCTCCACCTGTGCTGGTGCTGCCACTGCAGGTCCAGCCATCATCATTGGTGTGTCGGCGATATTGAGGCGCTTCTTCAGACATTCATTCAGTTCGGCCACCTCCAGCAGTGTCATCTGAGATATTTGGCTAACAATATTTTCCACATGTTCTGGATACACCTTCTGCTGACCATCAGATGGGGGAGTTGATAACTCTGCGGCCTCTGTACTCATGAATTTTGAGACAACAGGCAAACTGACACGCACATATCTTGATCTATGAATATTGCAGAGGCACTTCTGCAGAGAAGCCAGTCGCATCACGCTCTGCATTTTCTTGAAGTTCAGATCTGGTTCAGATATTGGCTTCACAGGATCCTCAATTCGACTTTATAAAATTGTTATATCCTGGCGATATATCCGAAGATCCGGTAGATCGGGTAGATCGAAAACTATCGAAAACGGGCGAAATAGAAATTGGTGCCAGATCAGTGTTGCCGCGGCCAGATTTTACAGCGTACCAGGATCGCATCCAAATCGTACCAGATTGGCTGTGTCTGGCTGCGTACCGTACCAGATCGTAGTAGGTCAAATTGTTATTAATTCATTACTTTAAAAATAGCCAAAATTTTGGTTTGTTCATGCCAGCGAGTAATTTATGACTCATTTGACCCAGTAGTTCACCCATTCGTCTCCCTGCGTCGCCCCTTGAAAGGCAGAAAGGCGCTCTTCTGAAAGCTCCCGAATTGTATACCTACTTAAAATTGGCCAAAAAATAGAGAAATCGAAATCCTGCCTTCGAGAGGGGGCACAGCAGTTGAGACTGTCGATTGCACCCAGGATCCTAGCTTGCATCCAGAATCCGAAAATTGCCACAGTATGCCAAATGCCAGTGAGAATGGAAAATTATCTGTTTGATTGTTTTTTAGTTTTCCAACGAAATCGCACAATTTTGGGACACTGATTCAAACTAGCCTCTTTCCTTAGCCCTTCGACCGTCGACGGAACGATCACATTTCACTGTTTACAATAATACAACTTACAATTCCCAACTATTAAGGTTATTGGCATCTCAGCTTACGAGCCAGCACAAATCAAAATCGTTGCATTTGGGCCCAGTGAATTCCGAACTCACGACACAACCTCTTATATTGCCTTGGACACAACTGCCTCAGCCTGCAGCCGGCGGACCGTCCTTGGCAGCCGGCGTGGCGCGCGAATTTTCCACTTGTTAACTTCTACTTGCACACAACAGGAATAGGTATCACTAATTCCGAATCCGATGCATGACACATTATGATGAGAAAGTTAGAAACACCATCCCTCCTGAATAAAAGAATTGTGTTTTCTTTTTACTTAGATTGAAAGAAATATTAAAATGCCAAAAAATGCATTTCGGCGAAAAAGTACCAGATTTCGTTCAGGCGTACCTCCGTACCAGAAAGGTCGAAAAAGTACCAGATCTGGTACTATAGTACCAGGACGGCAACACTGTGCCAGATACAACTCTAGTGGCTTTTTCCAAAGTCTCCAGATTATGTGAGTCTCTAGTTATAAAGTCTCTAGATTATAAAGTCTCTAGAAAGGGACTCTTGAATATTATTGAGAGTTGAAAGCATATAATTAGCACCACTTCATGGATATACATGAAAATTAAATTGTTTTTTAGTTAACAAGATACTAAGGCAATATAGATCGTTCAGATGTACATTTTGAAAAATCTTTGATAAGAAATTTGTCTCGAGATGCGGCGAAAACTCTAGTGAAATCTAAAAATCACTGAAGAGAGTATCTGGAATCTTCATTCCATTCCACTTTTGCATCATTTCTGAATTTCCATAATATTAATAAAAACTGATAATTTTATGAAACGTGTTCTTAATAAAACCACTATATATTTTTATAAACAATCAAAAATTCAAATAGGCATACACTAGTAATATATATTTTGATATAATACAATTTACTAGCCGCATCCAAACGAATGATGAAGTGAAATTTGCGCGTTTGTTACAAACTTACTTAGGGCCTGTTCCAGCGCCTCCAGAAACCTCCAGAAAGCTCCAGAAAGCTCTAGAATCCTCCAGAGAGCGTTCCAGCGCCTCCAGAAAGCTCCAGAAAGCTCTCGCCAAAGCTCCAGAAACCTCCAGTAGCCTCCAGAGAGTTGAGAGGTCCAAATTTCTCTGGAGGCTCTGGTCTACAATTATGGTGCACATGTGACAATCACGAATGTAAACAAAGGACATTTGACTGATTATTTTACAACTTGAATGTAAAGAAAATTACATTGCTATAATTTTATTTATCTGTTTAACTAAAATTGAAAACAAATTTTGCGTTTCAAGAGAGAACAATCGTCATTCTTTTGGTATATATGACGCTAATCTCCAGAAATCTCCAGATTGCGTTCCAGCGCCTCCAGTAAAACCTCTGGTAGAGCCTCCAGTCAAGAATTTCTTCTGGAGGCGCTGGAACAGGCCCATAGGACTAGCCACTGAACTCTATGACTAGCTCACACTGCCTTCTTCAAAGGCGAAAAGGCTGAAAGATTTGTATTAATTTTATCGTCTACTTCTTGGTGAATGCGGTAAGTCGCTCCTTTTTTGGCAATAGGCTTACATAGGCTTATAATGTAAAAAATGCAAAATTGAATTTTTTTCATCAAGCTGTACTCTAAATGAGGGAAGTGTCTAGATTTGGTTAAGATAGTTAGAATGATGTGAACTGAACTAATGTATTTAGCGAAGATAATTCGGAGAGAAATGGGTGGGTGTGTATTATCGTGGAGAGTAGTGTTGGTGGGTCACGGGTGTGTTTATAGGTTGTTTTGTTGGAAGAAAGATGAATATTGGAATATATTGCTGCCTTTTGCATTCTTGGTAGGAAGTTTAACCCTCGCATGTGTAGGGGGGGTGGGGTCGGATGGACCCCCCCCCATGGTTTTTCGCGAATAACTCGCGTAAAAAGCGGCCGATCGCGACGAAACTTTCAGTACCCTCGCATTGATCAATTTTACACCTACCCTGAAAATTTCATGACCCTGACCCAAATGACCTTTGACCTGTGACCTCTTTTCCGAGACCATGTTTGGCCGGAATCGCGATTTCGCGTATGTCGGCTCGCACTAGCCGCGTGTTTGCAAGCTTTTCGTGGTTTCAAACGTTCAAACATGTGATTTGATGTTACTCCCGTGTGTGTCAAGGTCACCTGAAGGTCAGGTCAGGTCATTGACCTTTGGTGACCTCGGGTGACCTCGGGTCACTTTTTCGAGTTTTACATGTTTCTAGGCTAGTTTTTGGAGCTGAATTCGAATTTAGCAACCATTTGAACATTTACGAAGTAGTTTTGGTGACTTCGTAACATGTTACGAAGCTGTCAGAGGCGGTTGACACGTATTACGAATACCCGTCACGACGCCTACTGGTTGACCTGACCTGACCTGACCCGACCTGGTCTAAATGCTTCAAGACATCATCTGTGATCAAAACTAACACGATATTCGTGATCAGCACCCCGAAAAACCCCTTAGCAGCCACACTTTACGACTTTCTAACAGGTCCCGATTTTACCGACTTTGGGTCATTGACCTGACCTGGAAGGTCAACCAATGACCTAGGACCTTAAAATTGGGTATCATCGGCTTCCTCTCGTCACGGGCAACACGCTCGTTTTTTTCCGCGAAGCTCTAGCTCGATCAGGGGCCAAACGGCAAGGGGGGGTCCAACCGACCCCCCCCCTACACATTAGAAGCTGGCAAACGCCGCACACATGCGAGGGTTAAGGCTCAAAAAGTGTATATTCAAAAAGGGAACCTCCTTTTTTTAACAATGCCTATGCCTGCATTACCATGCAGTGAGTGAGACAGGAGACTGAGACCAGGGATATGCCTGCATCATATATTCTGAATTTTTTTAGCATTTGTTCCCATTTTTTATTTTCATTGTTATTCTTATGTCCGGTGGCTATTATGAATTACCAAAATAGGTGGTGAAGTGGTCCTTTTGCACCCTAGGCTCAACGTTGAATAAAATTGACACCATGCTGTCACAAACCATATATCAACCTGGAAGATTAGATAATAATTGATAGATAATCTTATAAATTATAGATTATCAATAGATGCTGCCACCCATTTGTGAAAAGCTGCTAGACTCCAGTTCTTGAGATATTGACACAAATTCCAGGTTAGTCGTAAGGCAGGCAGCACGCTTGTTTTTTCAACCAAGGAGAGGCGCTACGCCCAGAGATGCTTTCTAATCAAACCAAATTGAACCAAACCTAACCAAAGCTGACCTAACCTTGCCTAGAACCTAGAACCTAAAACCTACCTGCAACCTAAAACATAAAACCTGCCTATGACAATGACCTGAAACCTAAAACCTACAACCTACAACCTACAACCTACAACCTAAAAGCCCATAGCATCTCTCCTTGGTTGCAAAAAAAAAAAAAACAAGTATGCTGCCTGCTTTACTACTACCATTCCAGGTAGGTTGTGGTCACTTGTGACTGTAGGTTTGTAGGTTGTAGGTTATTAGGTAAGGTTAGTTCAGTTTAGATTGTTTTGTTCTGTAACTTTTTTTGAGTAGAGACTTTTATAAGCAAAGTTCATATATTCCTAAACTTAAATGTCATGTGTGGTTGGATGTTACTTGTTAGTCATAAATGTATTGTGTAAAACTATTTGAAGCATCAATGTGTGGTCTCATTTTTCAACCTTAGAAGGATGTGTTCTTTCTTTTTAAGTTTTTGTTTTGTGAATTTCTTCAGTTTTTGAAGGGTACAAAAGGGGGAAATCACCAAATAGTTATTCTTCCTTGTTGATAAGCTTAGATCAATATCAACATCTATATTTTAGTCAGATTTGCTTATGTTATGTGGTAAGTTAATGTCCTTGTTTTTATTTCAGGATAATGTTGATGTTTAGGAGAGTGTAAGTCTCATTTGACTGCCACCATGCTGGAAAGTCTAGCAGCATGGGTGCTCAACAATTACTTGGGCCAGTACCTGGAAAACCTGAACACAGACCAGCTGTCTGTGGGCCTCCTGCAAGGTGAGTCAAAGTAGCATGGCAAAATACATTCTGGAGCAGAACCACACATAGTGTTGCTGCTCCAGAGTTTGTTGATAATTGTGAGTTTTGGCTGATGCAGATCTACTATTTGCTAAATTGTCCAACTTTAATGTTTCAAAGTTAACAAGATCTTAGCTTCTCTCAAAAAGTAAGAATTTCAAGCTAATATTGGGTAAGCTGTGCTTGCTGGCATGAAAATACTTCTCATCAAGTGTTAACTTGATGTATCTTTCCATTGTTCTCTGATCTAGTTATATATATTGCAGACTTATTTATATCTTATGATATCTTTTGTTAGTTAGCCCTATGTATTGGTCATCTGTGTGCTGCTTACTGCTTAGTTAGTGACTTTACAAGGATGACTATCATGAGCTGACATAGTGACTCTCGACGACTACAAGAGTGACTGGCGACGAGTGTCGGGAGTCACGATAAGCTGATATCAATACCACGACGAAAGTCGTGAGCCGCAATTGCAACTCGCGACGACAATTGTGGGATGACAGCATAACTCACGACATCCATCGTGAGCTCACAGCGTGGCTCCGACACTATTGTGAGCCAACAGCAGGACTCACGATTTGTATTGTGAGCCGACAGCATGGCTCCGAGCCTCCGACGACTGCCGTAAGATAACAGTCTGACTTACGACGACTCTCTTGAGTCGACGGTGCGACTCGCGACGACTATCGTAGGCCAACAGCATGACTCACGACATCGATCGTGAGATGGCAGTGCGACTCATGACTTCTATCGTGAGCCCGACCCGACAGCGCGACCGATGACGACTATGTACGGTGGGCTGCCGGCTGGTGCGATGGCTCTGTTGGGAATGAGAATGTTAATAGTGTGTCCCTCGGTACAGCGAAAAGAACACGACACTTTTTGGTGTCATTTGCTGATTTGGGTGGTTGGTTCAAACGTTAAGGTGCGTTCGTGAAATGTAGAAATGCGTGAATAAAAATCCGACGTCAAAAACTGTTTTCGGTCCATCAGTGCAAAGTTTGATCTATCTTGCCTTGCACGACTTTTTATCGAGTATAGCGTCGAGCTTTTCGGGTTTATCCCAGCAATACCTGCAAGCGCATCCCTGCTATCAGTACGTACCATGGTTTGCCTGGATGACCGTTGCGAATTTTTCATGTTACATCTGACATTAAATGAACCTTTGGCCCTCCCCTTTTCTGCTTTCATCCTTTGTTCTGCGGACGAGAAATATTTTATCATATTGATGCAGGCTGCGATCTGCCCCAAAACACGATTTTTTATTAGAAAGACAGGTCATTGGAAGTCATGTGGCTTGTGCCTGTCCATTACTTAGTGGCGGGGCCTGTCATTCCCTGCATCGCTTAGGAATCAACGCCTGTCCTTTCCCGACGTATCTGTACGTGTGTTGAGCGTTCGTGTCGCCACGGATGAATCTGTCGCCGCCCTTTGCTCCGTGCCGTCACACCGCCTGAACGGATGAGGTTGGGTCTGGACGGACGCCAGCACCTTGCCGCGGCGAATGGGTGCGTCCCTGAGCAGACGGCTGGCTGTGACCGGTGGCGGCGTGCCACATGTGAATCTGTCACACATCAAAGTACCGAGCCAGGCCGGACGGATCGCCGCCGATTGTCCGCGTTCAGGGACGAGTAGAGGGGGCAAGGTCGACTGCGATAATGCCGACTGGGTCGTCTGTTTACGTTGGGCCTAGCATTCAGGCAAGGGCTTCTGCAGTGAGGTTCGCTCGGCGCAAAGAAAAAACAGGGCATCCAGGCAATTGGTTCAGATGTGGCACTCTTTGTCGTCGACCTTATGATGAGTGAGCCTCCGCTGGGCAGCAATTTGGCGCGCTGGGACAGAGAATTGAAGCGAATGAGTGTTATAATCAAATGAAACGCGGCTCCAAAAAAGTAACGTCGTGCATTTTGAATGTCTTGATATGCACATTCTATCTTACGTTTTTTTTTTTGTATTTTCCAATAGTTATTTTTAGGATGTTCTATTTATTAAAATACTCGTAAAAAACTATGATTTTTATAGCCTTTTCCTCGGATATCGCACTTTTACCGGTCTCTCCGTTTCTAGCTGCCCAATCTCTCACACTCGTAACCACCCGGTTTTGATTCCAGGTGATTTTAAATGTAGAACGTTACGCTACACCGCTAGCCTATCACACCCTGTCTCTGCCCGTCCGGTGTCGCTAACTCCAACCGCCCGGTCTCGGTTTCAGGTGCTGTGGAAATGGAGAACGTGCCTCTGCGCAAGGACGCCCTCTCCAGCCTGGACCTGCCGGTGCGCGTGACGGCCGGCTTCGTCGGCAAGATCCGTCTCTCGATCCCGGTGCGCCGGCTGAGCAGCGAGCCGTGGTCCATCTCCATCGAGCAGCTGTACGTGGTACTGGGACCCGTCCGGCCCGAGGAGGTGAGATACGCGCGTGACGCCGACAGGGAATCGTGAGAAGAAGGGAACGGTGGATCACCGATTCCAGAACTTTAATGAATGTCGGTGGTGGAACACTTGACACCCGACAGTTGACGCTTGACCGTTAAGACACTAACACAGATATGGGATTTGTTTGCATTATCCGCGAAAAGAATTTAATTGAAATTATCTGGGGCTGAGTTTGTCTTCAAGAAACCCAAGGACCTCTAGTAGATCGTTAACTTTTTATTCCCTTAGGCCTTGAGGCCTTATTAGATGCCTGGTTGTCAATCGTTTTCCTCCTACATGCCTCCCATCCTCACGGTGTCCCCTCTGTCCCGGCCAGATGGACGCGGACGCGGAGGAGGCGGCCGCTCGGCAGCGCCAGCTGTGGCAGCTGGACGCCGTCGAGGCCACCTGGCGCGCCGAACACGAGGCCAAACAGGAGACCTCCTACTACGCGGCCAGCTACAGCTCCTGGGTCAACTACGGCAGCAGCATCGTCGGAAACATCGTCGCCAACCTGCAGGTAACGGACGGCTCCAGGCCTGCAAGGCGCTGGTCCATGTGATATCTGATTCTGCTCTAAGTGGCATCGCTAAAGAATAATGATTAATTCTTCTGCTGGTGACTACTGAGTCTGGTTACTTTGTGGTTGTTCTATTTATGGTATCATCGACATTGTAAATGAATGTCAGTTTAGACTGAAGTGACTGGTGACGCTTCGTTCAATACGTATATCCGGTCACTAATCACTACATGTGTAAAGCTGATCACTATGCCCCCCCCCCCCCACAGCTGAAGATCCGCGACGTTCACGTGCGGTACGAGGAGCCCGGTTTCGCTGTCGGTCTCACAGTCGGCGCGCTGACAGCTCAGAGCTGCGACGAACGATGGGTGCCCGGTTTCGTGGCCGAGTGTCGCGACAACATGCGCTTCAAGCTGCTGGACCTGCAGCAGCTGGACGTCTACTGGGACACGCAGGCGCAGATGTATTCGGATATGACCATCGGACAACTGGCCGTAAGTGGGCGATGTAATTTAGTACAATATTAATAAAATGCCAGCACAATATTAGAACGATGTTAGCACATTTATTTGAGTACGATGTCAGTGTGACTTGCTGTTAGGTCGATTTAATGCGTCGATTTTGAACGCTTGATTTAGTGCGTATCTATATCGAAACGGCGGTTAAGTGGGACTTGACGTTTTCTTTTGTCGATGCTGGTCATCCTGTAGCGAAGGTGCCGTCCTGTCGTATATTTCGGTATATTTCCGTGCAGTTCCCGCACTAATCCCGTCCGTCTGTCCGCGGCAGGAGGTGATGATCGCCGGCGCGCACCACGAGTTCCTGCTCTCCCCGGTGACCGTCCAGGCCCGGCTGAAGCGCGACTGTTCCGAGCGCCCGCTGCGCTCCCGGGCCCGGCCGCGACACGTGCTGGACCTCCAGTGCGAGCGTCTGTCGCTCTCCCTGGCAGACAAGCAGTTCCAGCAGGCGGTCGGCTGGGCGCGCAGTATGGAGGTGCTGGACCGACGGCGCCGCTGTCTGCGCCACCGCGCCGACCGGCCGCCGCGCGAGGCGCCCGCCGCCTGGTGGCGGTTCGCCATCCTGACCCACCTGGATCGGATCGGCCGGCGGCGCCGCCACTGCACCTGGGAGGCGGCCTGCGAGCGCGCCGCGCTCGTCGTCCGGTATGCTGCAGTCTACCGCGAGCACCTCCGCTGTCCGGCCACACTCACCGCCGAGCAGCGCGCGCTCAAACTCCGCTGCGAGTCAGAGTTTGAGTTCGAGGCGCTGGCCGCGCTCCGCGAGTGGTGTATGCTGCAGGAGGAGCGCGAGGCGGCGCTGCGGCGCGAGCAGGGCGCGGCGGCGGCCGGCGCCAGCGGCAGCGGCCGCGGCCTGCTGCAGTCGTGGTTCCCGGCCTGGGGCGGCTGGTACGGAGGCGCCGGTGAGGAGCCGGAGCGGCAGCGCCCGGAGCTCGAGGCGGCGCTCGATCAGATGGCCGACACGCTGGAGAACAGCTCGGCGCTGAAACGGGACGCCGTGTTCGGCCAGCTCAACTTCAGTCTCAAACAAGCCGAGATGAAATTGGTCCGCGCAGAGGCCGGAGGCGAGAGGTAAGCTTCGGACCCGCTTTAATTTATTATGATTCTCAGTGGCAAATGTTGTTTTTGCCTTTAATGAACGCGAATATTTGTTTACTCATTTGCTAGACCTGTTTCCTATTTCAAGTGTCTCCAATCATGGTGATTACTGTGGTTCTGTCCTCATTTTTCGTCAAACGTGACAGTCATAATCATACATCAATCATCGTTTTTCCCGGGCTGACCTCGTCTGTCCTTTCGGCAGGCGGCCCCTGTTCGACCTGGCCTTCGAGAAGGTGGAGGTGGCTGCCGAGTCGCGGCCCCGCAGCGGCTCTCACCTGCTGCAGACCTCTCTGGGTGCCCTGTACCTGCACGACCACGCCACGGCCGGCTCGGCGTTCCCGCGTCTGGTGGCGCCTCAGCCGCGCGCCGCGCCGGCCGCGCCACTGCGCCAGCTCAGCCGCCTGCCGGGGCTGAGCAGTCTACTGGCGCCGGCCGCCGAGCCGCCCCTGTTCGAGCTGCACTACGAGCGCCGGCCGCCCGGCAGTCGCGCCGACTACAAACTGCACGTCACGTCTCGATCGCTGGATGTGGTGTATAACCCCGAGGCACTGCGACTGATGAGACAGTTCTTCACGGCCCGACGCTCGGACGCTGATGCAGAGCGGTTAGCGCGACTGGAGAACGCGGCGCGGGTCAGGTACGAGTCGCTGAAGAGACAGACCAGGGAGGAGCTCATGCAGACCTGGGAGCAGATGGTCGAGGGAGACAACATCGCCAGGAAGACGTGGGACGTCATGTTTAACATCTCGGCGCCGCACATCATCCTGCCGGAAACACTGCAGGATCCGTCTGGCCTCCTGCTCGTGCTCGACTTTGGACACCTGAAGCTGCACAACGACATGTTTTGGGAGGAAGAGGCTCGACGTCAGGCGGCGGCCGCTGCGGCTGGCCTGGACGACGACGACGCTGACGACGAGGATTTCTGCACGCCGTGTTCGACGCCGCAGGAGACAGAGCTGGAGTCGGGTGCGACAGCGGGGTCGGCAGTGCCCGAGTCACCGTCAACTGATACAATCTCGATGGCGACAGCGCCGGAGATGTCACCAGCTCAGGCAGCGCGCTGCGAACTCCAGAAGAAAATGTACGACAAGTTTTCTCTCAACTTCAGCGACTTACAAGTGCTAGTGGGTCGTGTGAGGGACAACTGGCGTCAGGCGTTAGCCAAGGGCAGCAGTCCGATGCATGTGTTGGACCGGTTCACCATCTCCCTACAACTGGAGCGGCGTCGTTTGGCTGCGGCTGATCCCGAGTGGCCGCTGGTACACATCAACGGCAACCTCAGCCACCTGATGGTGCATGTCAGCGAACAGAAGGTGCACGCGCTGCGCACTCTCGCCAGTCGACTCTTGCTAGATGAGGAAGAGCCGGTAGACTCTCCGACGGCCGACGAGGACGATCTCTCTGAGATGAGTGGTGAAGAGGACGGCGCGGGAGGGGATCACTCGCAGCCGGCGGAGGATGAGGACGGCGGCGCCGGGCCGTCGGAACCCGCCTCAGACTCGGCCCGGCTACTGGTGGTACAGTTCGCCACCGGACAGATGTCACTGGCGGTACAGTCGCGCGGCCGCGCCGTGGCTGAACTGCAGGTATGTGGTGCGCGCGGTCAGCTGACGCGTCGCCGCCGCCGACTGCAGTTAGCGCTCTCTGTGCATAGTCTTCTCCTGGTGGATGCGCTACAGACATACGGAGCGGATTTCGAAATCCTGGTGGCCAGCCACCGCGGTGTGGGTGTGGATAGTGTGAGTGGCTCTCTGCTCGACTCCGAACCGTGCAGTCCGTGCAGTCCCGCCTCGCCGACGGGTGTGGACCGCTCGACCTCGCCCGTCTCTCTCACGCAGGCGGTCAATCAGAAACTACAGTCGACTAGTCTGCGGGTGGTGTCGCCCGACCCGGGAGGGGGAGGTGCTGACCCGCCGCAGCCGACCGCCGCTGCTGCCCCCGCCGCCGGCGCCGCGCCCGAGCCGGGTCTGAGCCACACACACGACGCGCTTATTACGCTGGATGTGACTATCGTACTACCCACACCCGGGCAAACACCGAGTCAGACCCTCCGTACCGTCTCCATGAGATTCAACACGCTGGACGTCATAGCCAACCAGGAGACCATTGTCGAGCTGGCAGGGTTTCTGAACCGAATCAGCACTCCGCCGGACCCTGTCAGCGCAGGGAAGCCGCTCTTACGGCCCGCGGAGTCGGACGGTCGCGCCGCTAGTCCCCTGGGCGACTGGCTGTCCGGCGGTGCCTCCTCCCCGCCGCCGCCAGCCGAGCCAGAGACAGAAAACTCCTCCAGCAGTCGTACCGAGCTCACCTTCGACTTTCACAAACTAAACGTACTACTACTGCGCTCCGTCAGCGACCGGTTCGGACTGACGGGCCGTAAGGTGGCCACGGCGACGGTGAGCGGCGCGCGGATCCAGGCCACCCTGTCCGACCAGCTGGCGGTGAGCGGAGCTCTGGGAGGTCTCCAGGTCCGGGAACTCAGCCCGGCCGCACACCGACATCCCTGTGTGCTGTCGGTCGGCTTCGACCCCGTCGTGGAGCAGTCGCAGGTTAGATCGAATGGCGGGTCGTGTTCGTATTATTGAACTCTCGTTCTTTTGTGTAATTTGTAATGGCGAGTCTCTGCATGTGCTAATTGCTTAATTTTGGTGGAAAGATGCGAAGAGAATATTTCAACTTCTGTATTTCATACAAAGGTTGGATTAACTGTTGTGCGATGTTGTATTAAATATTTCACATGTACTGATATTCTCGGCGCTAATTATCCCCGTGTGTCTCGTCAGGACCTGCTGCGCCGTCTGAACGCCGATCTGTACCGGGACAGCGAGCAGTGTCCGCGCGCGCTGCAGTTCACGGCCCGCCGGCCGGCCGGCGCCGAGGGCGCGGCCCAGCTCGAGGTGCGTCTCGCCTCCGTCTGCTACACCCACAGCGCGCCGTTCCTGGTCGAGCTGGGCGGCTGTGTGGACGAGTTCAAACAGTACGTGACGGAGCTGGCGCGCTCGGTGGGTGCCGCCGCGGCGGAAATGGCCAGGGAGATGGTGCACATCAGGTCGGACTCGGTCAGTGACGCCGGCTCGCTGGTGACGGGCTCGGACGCGGCGCGGAGTACCCTGAGCCCTCCTCCGGCGGCCGGGCGCGGCGAGCCGTCCCCTCAGCCGGCAGCCGGGCAGTCGCTGGCAGGGATCGAACTCAGTGTGGTGCTGGAGACGCCTATTGTGGTTGTACCGGAGAGTGCCGGGAGTTCGCGTGTGCTGGTGGCTCACCTGGGCAGGATCGCGCTCAACTGCCGGCCGGAGGACAAACATCGGCTTCACGTGACCGATATGAACCTCTACTCGCTGGATCTGGACAAAGTGATGCTCACCAAGAGTCTCAGGTATGTAATGGGGCACGGCTAATGAGCGGACTTCTTAAACGGATATAACTGAAAAAGCGCGTCAAACTGTAACAGCTTTCTCTAATTTATGGAGTCACTAAGAATTTTTTATGAGACTGCAGCTTTCTAACGAGTTTATTTTCCTCCGAAGTAGATTAATTACAACCTACATAGGAAATATTAGTGAATGGTAGATTGTTACAATAAACCGTATTAAAAAAAAAACATGCAATGTCTTCTAACGCTCCCTCCGTACTTCTCCAGTCCTGGCCGTGCGTTCAGCACGTTGCGCGCCGACCAGCTGTACGACGCCCGTCTGTGTGGAGACCCGATCCTCTACGACACCGCTCTGGAGGTCACCCTGCAGTCGGTGGAGGTGCCGCCGCCGGGGCAGACGGGCACCGCTGCCGGGCGCGCTCAGCAGACACTTCAGGTGGGTGACCCGGCTTCGACCTGGTCCGGCTAGATCTAGCCGGACAAGGCTGCCCTTGTCATTATCTATAATGACAAGGGCAGCCTAATTGTGCCCAGAATAACACCGTGTGTTTTGCACTTTTCATTCATATCAGCGTGCTGAGGTCGTGTAATGCCTGCGTGTCGTGCTACGGCTAGGTAGAAGGAAAATTGGCCAGAATCGAAGTGTAACGAACATCAACGTGGCGGGATTATGCGATCGTGGTGCGTCGCGCATTTCGCTCCTAACTAGGGGGCCGATTATGGGGCCGACGACCTCCGATTAAGTCTGAGTGCCTAAAACCCCAGTCCATGGTCACCAACGCTGACGATATAATCATGTGTTCTGCCAGGTGGACGGTCAGTTTGTCACGCCGGTCCGTCTCTCGGTGCTCAAGTCTCAGTATGAGCAGATCATGCGCACCATGAACAACCTGACGGTGCCGAGCGCCGCCGGGGCAGGGGACGTGGAGACGGAGACGACGCAGGAAGGTATGTGTGTGGGAAACTAATTGTGATGGGGATTTTGGTCAAAAGTCAAGTGCTGGGAAGACAGTAGAGTACGTGACTCAGTCTGCGTGGTTCCTTTTTATTTACGACAATATTGATGTCTGGCACGCTCATCCTGTTGAATGTTTGCTTCATATTTTGCACCGGACGCAAGCAGGTCTCTCCCAAGAGGTTTCCCTGGTAGTGCATATGTTCATATAGTCCTTCCGACTTGTATCATTTTAGGCTCGGCTAACCTGTCTTTCTCGTTTGTGTCCAACAGATGACGTGACGGCTGAGGAACCGGGGAAAGAGCCGTTGGAGAGGAAGATATCTGCACCAGCTCAGAGCCATGGAATACCGATACATGGTATGCCTTAGGGTTAGACCGTGTTGTGCATGTGATAAAATGAATTGCTTCCTATGAATAGCCATAAATCGCTCATGGCAAGATTTCGTGAAGTCGATGTGCTATATTTCCACTTCAAAGGTCATCTGTTGTCGCTCGGTTATGCTTTTGCAGAATGCAGATGCAGCCAGAGCGACCCGTTTTCCGCAGCTAACCGCGCCCCTCCGTCCCGCGTCTCTCTCCCAGGCTCGTTCCAGCTGTCTGAGTTTGAGATGGAGCTGCGCAGCGACATGAGCCGCGGCGGGCCGTGCGGCCTGGTCACCCTGACCTTCAGCGACCTGTCGGTGGCCTACGAGCGGCGCCAGCCGGACCTGACCGAGCTGAGCGTCACACTACAGGGTGTCACCATGGAGGACCTGCTGCAGCTGCCGGACGCGCCGCACCGCTACCTGCTGCACTCGCACAACACGTGAGTTGTATAACTGCAAATACGTGCTGCACTCGCACAACACGTGAGCTACAGAATAATCAGGATGGGTAGTGAAACTAACTATCTGCTCTGCATTCAACTCGTAAACCGGAGTATCACCAGAACAATGAGTGAATCGCAAAATAAAATTCGCTCAGTCGTCTCCAGCACCTGCAAAACACGTGAATTTCAATGCGACCTCCACCGAATCATGCGATACTTGCAGATGTCCCCTTGAGTCGTAAACATAACCGCACAAAACGTAAGCCGGCGTCCCCTGAAGCTCTCCCCCGCCGTGTTTCAGTGTGAGCGAGCGCCGTCCATCGGCGGTGGGTCCGTTCCTGTCTGCCTCGTGTCCGGATATTGCCGCCGGGCTCTCCTGTGACGATGACCTATCGCTGTCGGCGCCCACCTCCGCTGAGGTTCTGTGTGGCAGCCTGCCCGACCGACTGAACGGAGGGGGATTCCTGGCGCCGCGGCCGGCCGCACCGCGCAGCACATACGGTGAGCTGAAACATTCATAATTGAAATAAGTTAGCGGAGACATTTGTTATTTCGTTTGGCTAGCAGAGCCTTGAATACACAACAAAAACCCGGTTACCGTCAAATTTGGACCGTTTCTTTCGTCTGAGGTAGCCCATGGTTGTAACCTTGTCTGCCCCCTCCCCTCCCCTAGATATCGTTGTGCACTGAGTCTGACCACGCCCCTCCCGTGCCCTCCCTGCAGACCGCGGCGCGCGTTCGACGGGCTGCCGCAGTCCGCCCAGCTCCCCGACTCGCCCGGCGCCCGACCCGGAGAAGGCGCTCATCCAGTGCACGGTGACGCTGCGCTCTGGCGCGCGCGCCGCCGCCGTCAGCCGCACGGTCGACCTCAACTTCAACTGTCTGGACGTGGTGGTCAGCCCGCAGTCGTGGGTGATGGTACTGGACTTCTTCAACGGACAGCCGCACCCGCCGACCGCGGTCAGTGAGAGGCAACTGACGACTGGTGCTCGGCGCATGGGGCAGTCATGGGTTTATTGGAGAACGGTGGTTGCATTGGGCACTGTTATTACATCCATATAAATACTAACCACTTGACTGACGAGACGTGTGCGTATTCATGTGGGAAAACGACTTTCAAGGGTGCGAGGTAGTGATTACTGATTCCATCGGGTTGTATGTTCATATTTTGGTTTGTCAGGTGTATTTAGGTTTCCCACATCGTCACACCACGCCTCGACTTTACCAGCCGCCCCACTGCTCACCTCCCCTGCCCCTTCCACCCCCAGCCGGCGCCGGAGTCTGGCGTGCCCCGGAGCAGCTCTCGCGCGGCGCCTCTCTCGGCCGCCGCCGCCGGTGGGGCCGTCACCGAGACCTTGGTGCGGGTCCGCTCCCTGAGCCTCCTGCTGAACCAGCCGGGCAGCGGTCCGCTGGCACGCGCCACCGTCACCGACTACAGCAGTCGGACTCTGTCGGGTACCGAGCGAGCGACCACCTCCGGCCGACTCGGCGCACTGGCTATGGTCGATCTCACCTCGCACGGCGCTCTGTACAAGGAGAGATTCGTCACCGCCGGACCCGAGGCCGTCCACTTCGACTTCGTCAAGTGGGTGATGGTGGCGTGCAGGTTTAGAACGGATGGATTAAGAATACACTTTTTACTAAGCAAGGGATTACTTTTTTGGTTCAGTGTACGCTTTTGTTATTGTTTTACCGGTACTTACACAGTATTTTCACATTTGTTCTTCGCTGTCTAGGTTTTTGTGTAATCGCGGCAGTGTAAATTGTATCTGCTTATTTATTGCTGCTGCTTCATGCTGCTTAAATTCGGCATGTATCCGTCTCACGATGGGAGCCGTTGTCTTTCTGACCAGTCAATATCGTTTTGTCGCGCCGTCAGGTTCCAGTCGCCGGACCCGTCTCTGCGCCGCGAGTTCGACACCCAGCTGCGACTACGGATGGCCTCCGTTCAGTACGTGCACACGGCCCGCTTCCTGGCCGAGCTGCAGCAGTTCTTTGCACACTTCACTGAGCTGCAGGACCTGCTCAACCGGCTCCAGTCCGAGGTGCGTCAGATCGTGTGGGTCTGGGTGCGCGCTGGGATGGGTAGGACAGACGCCGGGGCAGGGGAGTGAGTAAATGTGAAATGGGCCAATGGGAATAGGAATCTAAAATGATCTAAAAAAAAAAAAGTGGGTTAACTGAGCCCAATCGGAGAATGTCGCTGATTATTGGGGTGCTGGGATCTGAGGCCTTAGGCCTCAGACCATAGATTTGTGTTGTCATTTACTGGTCTGCAACTTCCACTTACGCGCTGCAGTGGTTGACGGACGACGGTGATTGTTAACTGATCTTTACCCCTCCCTCTCTCCAGGAGGAGGTGAGCAGCCGCGGCTCTCGTGTCTCTCTGGACGTCCAGGCCGGCTCTCCCGTCCTCCTGCTACCCCTGTCTGCCACCTCTCGTCAACTGCTGGTCGCTGACCTGGGCAGGCTGCGTGTCACAAACGCGTTCCGTCTGTCGGGCTCGGAGCCGCCGGACGCCGCCACCGCCAGGGATATACCCTTCTCCAGACGGTGAGTTGGCATTGTCCGGCTATACTTATGGAGGCAAGGATGAACTCTGTCTGCTTAGACGCGGACGTGGGGATGGGGCATTTGATCGTTTGTGAATGTTGTCGAATATTTTACATTAAGGCGTGACTGTTTCAGCACAAATATTGAGCTTTCGTTATCAATCGTCAAGTCTGGCGGGTCGCATTTCGGTGGTACGGCATTTGTCTTATGAAGACCGCCGCCGCTGCGGTGTGTGCTGATACCTCACTCTCTTCCTGTCAGGGCGGCGCCTCGGGGCCGCGTGTCGCCCGTGCTGCGCGCAGGCCGCGTCGACCGTCCGGCCACACCGGACCCGGTGCCCTGTCTGCTGGATGTTATGGAGGTGAGTGACGGCGCCGGTGGAGCACGCTCAGTGTATTTTGTTTGTAATGTATTAGGTCTATGTAAACGCAGACGGACTACTAAGCTAGCTTGATAACTTCTTTAGCTGAAGCGCTTAAAAGCGTCTAATTTATCATCTGCTTTTATTACCAACAGCTAAGACCAACATGCTGTCAGAACAACCTGACGCTGTGACATAATTTTCTCAATTCTCATTGATCTTTCATCACAACAGTTGCCCCTCTCTACCTGCCAGCTCGATCGCTCTGACTCCTTTCCCACACCCACAGGTCAGTCTGTCGGACATGGACGTGTACTCTGCCGAGCGGCTGGACGTGCTGTCGGCGGCGGCCGAGCGGCCCGGGCCGTCCGACCTCCACCTACACTCGTACCTGGTGCGGCCCACGCCCGGCGGACGAGTGCTCAAACGGAAGGCCGGACTCAAACTGGTGGTCGAGCGGAACCTGGACGCCGCACTCAACCACGACGGTGAGCTCAGCTGGGGTGTGTGTATGTGTGTGTGGGGGGGGGGGGCAGCGTAACCTGGACGCCGCGCTCAACCATGACGGTGAGTTGTTGGGGAGTGTGTGAGGGGGGGGGGGGGGTCAGCGTAACCTGGGTAGCGCGCTCAACACCACGGCTATAGGAGGGATGAGCGTACATGCCGCGCTCAGTCACGACGGTGAGCTGCTGGGGAGTGGGGGAGGGCGGCGAGTGGGAGCAGACGTGCCGGGAGTTGCTGAGAGAGAAGCAGCGCGTCCGAGAAAAGAGTTCGCTTTAAGTTCTCAGACAAATAGCAATTCTAATAAATGAACGACTGACTGTCTGAAATTGAGTAGTAGGTGTTTTATTTACATTCAACTTCTAAAATTATCTACCGTTTTTTTGCGTGATTGAGTTCTTTCACTGGCATTGCTTTTTTCTTGTGCTACTCTAGTGTATTCCAATTTTGTTCAATTGAGTAGGCTGCGACAAAAGAAATCCACCCATTTCCATAGAGTATTTATCAGTCATTTTTGTTGTGCTGCCTGCGACCAATAAATGCTGATGTTCTTCGAGTCGATGGAAGCTACATGTGAAGATAAGACATGAATGCAGTGGCAACATGGAAAGTGGTTGGTACAATGCTAGTCAATTTGCGTTTGCCTTCTCCCAAAACCAGAATAGCCTTATTTTTCATGTTGTATTTACTTCCATCTGCTCAATTACGGCGGATGTGTGCATTTACCCCACGTTCGATGTCTCTCGGACGACGAAGATTCTACGTCATCCGGCCAATCCCGTCCAAGGTCAGCGGGGGCTCGACTGCAGTTCTGGAACGTGATTGGCCGGACGGCGTAGAATCTTCGCCGTCCGAGAGACATCGAACGTGGGGTTACCCCACGTTCGATGTCTCTCGGACGACAAAGATTCTACGTCGTCCGGCCAATCACGTTCCATAACCGCAGCCAAGGCCCCGCTGACCTTGAACGGGATTGGCCGGACGACGAAAAATCTTCGTCGTCCGAGAGCCATCGAACGCGGGGTTAATGTCATGTCCCCTTTCTCCCGACCGCTAAGGATGTGTTCAGCGGCTCCGTAACGATGATGTGATATTGTGGTTCTGAACTTCCGAAGTAAGGTCTGAATATTATTTGACTTACGATCTACGTTTCGCTGTGGTCAAAAATATTTTGATCTCCAGCCCTTTTTTATTTTGAAGCTCCAATGTGAGTGCTGAGTATTGTTTTCATTTAGCTCAAGTGATAGTTGCTGGTGATAACAGCCATCAGAGTTGCAACCATTTGTGGGTGATAAGTGTAATGTTGGAAATAGTTTTGTGTGTGCCATGTCTCCAAGTGTTCAATGGTGGATCTCTGTGCATTGTTTGTCTGTCCACCTTTCTCTGCGCGACACATCAGAATTCGCCCCTATCCCAGAGCAGAGATTGCTTCACGGCTTACATTTATTGTTGACAATGACACATTTGTTCCATCACAATACGCTGAACAGAACTGACATACAGCTCATGGTGACATGTTACAGGACAATTATGCAACAGTCTTTCTTTACACATAGTTAATGCACACCCACTAAGCTAAGCACCATGTGTCAACCATGTCCACAAACCACACACAGCACTCACAGAAGTCACCCAGTGGCCTCAGATCAGTGGCCTTGTATGCAAAGTTTGCACCCACTGTTACACATGCAGGCACATCAGCGGCATTCAGGCCCAGTCATACACTGTTGAACAAACCCAGCATACTGAGTCACAGACACACAAACTCAGTGAGACACTGTCTCTGTTGTACAAGAATCAGCCAACACAGCTGGGTGGACTGATCCATCACCTGCATCTTTGACACTGCTGGATAAGAAGCTCCCAACAAACATACCACTCACTTTTGAGAGTTACCATTCAGTTAAACAGGGGATTGTATGTGACCCAGTGGGCTGTCTGCCTGGTCTTGGCAGACTCGTGAGAGGTGAACAGGGATTTGTACACCTCTGTCTTCTGGCTGTCTTTGGCAACACTGTACGAGGCAGATGCCTTAGCGAAGGCAGGATCCACCAGCTTGCCGTTGTTGGGGAGATTGATGGAGGGACCTGCAAGAGTCTTTGCTTGTTTTTCTGTGCCAGACTTTTTCTTCTTTGCAGCTGGCTCAGTACTCATGGATGCACTTTCCTCTGCTTCCTTTGACCTTTTAGATTTTTTCAAGGCCTTTGCTTTGGCCCGCCTCTCTTCCATCCTGGCCCTCATCTGCGTCAGCTCATCATCATCAGGATTGAGAACTATAACATCATGATCAGTAAAAGGAGTGTTGCATTTGTGGCAGGTTTCAGACTTTACCATCTTAATGGCACGTTCCGAGAACACACATCCGCAGGACCAGAGGAACACAAACTTATACTTGCCATTCATCTCAAGACCAGTAACATTGCAGATGTACTCTGAGGCTTCCTCATCCACCATACTGTCGCCCTTGGATGGCCCAACAGAAGCAGCTGTGTTCTCAGACAAGTTCAAGACTTTCACGTCCTTCAGGCCTTTGATGTGCTCAGCCAAGATGGGCTTGCTGTCTTTATCTAGCAGCACTTCAAGCACTGAGGACTTACTGTACAAATTTCCCAGTTCACAAGCCACGATGGGCTTCTCCAATTTGCTCTGACTAATGCTGCAATTCTGCCACTTGAACTTCCTCACAGAGTCCTTGTCCTTCTGTTCCCCCTGTTTCTTGGTCCTCACCAGCTCATCTCTCCGGGGAATAGTGCCACCATCACAACCCATTTTCAATTGATTGGCACACGGGTTCAATAAACCAAGCTGTAATATTCGTTAAACCTGAGCAGGCGCAACCTCCTCGCACGGAACTCGCTTGTCAATGAATTTTTCGATAAACAATAAAAAGAAAGCTTCGTAGTAGGCGAATGCGGCGCACACTCGTTGGAGTTAAATTGCTGCTGCATTATTTATTGACGAGTTTTGGCAGCTAAATCGCTGCCGTTGTGCATATTTTTTTTTAGTGATAAATTATGCAATGTTTTTTTTTAACAATTCTAGGAACTGGTTAGTGCAGCTCTGAACGAGGAAAATCAAGCTTATAAAAATATATAACTTCCTCAACAAGTAATATCTTTTTGCAAAATGATGGTATGATATATCCAGCCCTGCTCAGCGTGGATTTACGTGTTTACCTGTCGGAACGCAGATCTTGTCCTGGGTTTAAAGGGACCCTCCCACCTTCAAAAAAGTTAATGAATTGGCACGAAAAAGATGTCGCTCGGTTCAGAAAGAGCGAAAACGAATATCTACCAAATTTCATCGAAAAATATTCACCGGTTTTCAAGATATTAGACTTTTACTTTTGTTTACTTTTTGGGATCTCCGCTGTTCCTAGCGACTTTATTTGAAAGTGCGGCATTTGTTGCGCGCAAAGCAGCATATACCACCGCGTGCTACCAAACGTTTTAGTAAAAGATTTAAAAATCGTTAGATCTCCGCTGACGTCACAAATTCTAAGGGGGCATACCAATGCACTAGCCCCTTAGAATCCGAAAACTGCAAGTTTGAAATTCCATATCTCCGAATTAAAGCATTTGTCGATGTTGTGAGTGCCCAAACCGGTATTTGCAGGCCATGGCCACCAATTTGGCTATCTCAACTCAAAACTAATGTTAAGGTGGGAGTGTCCCTTTAAATTCTGATACTTAACCTGGCAGTTGCTGGGGTATTTCGCCACCCACCGTTTGCTGGGGGGGGGGGGGCGTTAAAGCCCCCAGCCGATAACTCGAGAACCAATAGGCGCAGCGAAACGCACGAGGCGGCAAACGAAAGAACGCGACGAGACGCTTCAGATGAGTACTTTAAAGTTGAATTTTGAGGTCACAGGTCGGGTCAATGTCAGGTCAAACACCTGAAATCGGGCTTTCAGTAGCATGGACTTCAGGACCTCGCAATGGGCGCCTCTCGTCATTAACTCTGTCAAAACGATGCACAATCCATCATATAAGGCCTACAAGAGTGTCAGCTCCATGTAGGGGTCAGTCAAGCATAGGTCAGGGTCAAGGTCAGGTCAACCGGATAGGCAAATATCCCCGAAAATCAAAACTGATATTCGCAGCCTGTGACACATGTTTTATGGGTAATTTGGGGCGTAGAACACGATAGTGGCATTCATTTTATCATATGAGTACGTGTTTGGCTCAAAAAGTTCAATTTAAGAAATGCATGTATCATGGTCGTGAAGTAGTCACGAGAAATTGCCAAGATTCAGTTCAAGATTTTGGAAAATGCGGAACGATAATCAATAATCAAAGATAGCCATTTGATTGTTCATGGTATTGGCAGTCTAATGGCGTTTACGGCATGTCTGTATGTCTATTCTGTGATTTTATATGATTTTTTGAACATTGCCGTTTTTGGTCGAAAACTCAGAAATCATGACGTCACCAAAACCTCGATATCTCAAAAATTTTCCGACCGATTTTTTTGAAACTTTGTCACAATAAACTTCAATCAATTCCCTACAGGTACCCAAAATGCCGTTTTTGCACCAGCCTATGGCCCGGCAAAAAAAGTGGGGGCGTTTAACGCCCCCCCCCCCCCAGCAACTCGCGGGTTAACAAATTTTAATGATACGGATATTTGATCTCTTTTAATAGTTACTCACCTACTACGTTTAGTCTTGGAACGCTGCTTTCGTTCGTTACCATTCTCATTTACTACACCTTTTTGCGTTAGCTTTTGACCATTGGGCAAAACATTTGTACACATTATTCACCATAAAGGTGGCGCTACAAATGGGCGGTTGGTCACAAATAGAGATTGCAATCCCGGGATCGGGATCCCGGGATCCCGGCAGGATTTTAATCCCGATCCCGATCCCGAAAATCCGCCAATCCCGGGATCCCGAAAAAATCAGTTTTTCACCATAAAAAGAATGCAGCCGCTGCACGAGTCTTATTTACACTGTTCATGGTGCTGCGTGACATAAAGCAGAGAAACTATTTAGCTGGCACCCCGTAGCGGCCGTCCACAATCGACCGTGTTGATAGCTCTCGGGTATCACCCACAGCGGATAAGCCGCTTAAATGTGTACGAAAAAGGGCCCCGAACGCCAAAAAATTGCAGCATCAGTGCTGCAACATCTTTATCAGGATCACGGATCGTTCAACGATTCTGACTTGTCCGTCCGTGGCCGGAACAAAAGAGGTCATCAAGACAGTCTTTGAGCTCGTGTCGCAGAAAGATGTCACAGATGTCACGCAAGTGACGGCAGAGCTCACTGATTCAAACGTTGAAGACGGTAGAGTGGAGCTCTCCCAGTCAGTGACTCTGCCCTCAAAGCGACTTCGGGGCAAAGTCTGAGAGACATTAGTGATCAAAGCGGAACCGGAAGGAGGTGAAGTGACCAAGCGACGTCTTGAAAACATTGTGAAATAGGGAGCTGCCAAATTTGGCGTACACTGGTCGCGAGTTTTAAAATAGACAGACCTACCAGCAATGGCTTAAGACTGTCGCGCTATATAACTACGAGTAGCGTAGACGAAGAGTGAGTGAGGCGTGGATGTGCTGGAACCCATCTTAATGACGAGATAGTAAACGCACTGGTCGACGCACAGATTTATAAAGGCCAATTGGGAATAAATGGTAATCAAATCGAAACGTTTCCTTCGCAAATTCAATCGCTTTTAATGCAAATGACATGGTCTAAGGATGGCTTTTGGTTGTGGTAAGCTAAAAGACGCAAAATATATATGTCAGTAGGAAATCATTCTTACGACCTTTAGTGACAAGACCGGGATCCCGGGATCCCGGGATCCCGAAATAAAAACTTTCGGGATCCCGGGATTGGCAAAACGTTCCGGGATTGCAATCTCTAGTCACAAAGAATCACCATTGTGCAAAACTATTCGGCGATCTTCCTCTACAACTCGACATTGAACGAATGGTTCAACAGTGTGTAAACAAATCGTCAATAGTCGAAACTATTCGTCACATGCAGAGCTGGCTCGCTCTATGCCGAAGTCTGGCGAACTGTTAAACTGTTTTGCAGATCGCTCATTTCAGTGTTCAATCTGTTTTGCTGAATGGCTGAAATGAAACACACCACGCCGGAATAGTTGTGCTCAATGCCGATTGTCGAAATGGCTCCTCAAACAGTTATGGCGAATGGTTGAATTCAAATGCAAAAAGGTGTACTCCTCCTGTTCGCACAATGTACCTACTACCTAGGTATTCATGTGTAAGTTTGCGGAGGTAAGTGGCGACACATTTTTGCATGTTAGACTCGGAAACGATTGCTGACGTCGCCTGCTTCAAAACACCTCAAGAGGGAAATACTGTAGCGAACCTGGTCCAATAAGCATAGTTTTCACGCTCTATGTGTATGTACCTCGCCCTCAGTTTTCTGGCAGTACAATCAGCGTGTGTACTGCCCGATTTAACCTCTCTCACCCGTTGCAGTGCCAGACATGAGCGTGCGCGGCAGCCTGTCGACGCTGGACCTGTCGGTGGACCTGCCGCAGTACAAGCTGGTGCGCGGCCTGCTGGTGCACAACCTGGGCGAGCCGCTGGGCATGGAGCCCACCGACCTCATCCAGCCGCACCACGTGCCGGTGAGCGGTGGTCCGATGCAGCCAACCTGAAACTGTTTGGGGGCGGGAGGGGAAGGGACCGAGAGCCTGACCGGAATCGAGCATCCGGTCCTATTCTGTGGTTGATTGATGTCGTGGCTGGAGATACAAAACTTGGGTGCCAGAAATGAATAAGATGACGACACGGTAAATATGACTGTTAAATCAGACGGAAAATATTCCGGACTGTTGTCACATGCAGTAGCCGAGCGCTACATCCCTAACCCACACGGCCCTCTCCCCCGCCGGCCAGGTGCTGGCGCCGGAGACGGTGTGGCTCACCATGTCGGTCAGGCTGGACCTGCAGAACGTCTCCCTCGAGCTGGTGACCGACGACGCCGCCGCCCTGGCCCGCGTCGACTTCATCCGTTCACAGCTGCTCTTCGAGAGCTTCTCAGACTCCTCCAAGGACGTGGATCTGATGTCCAGGGAGATCCGGCTACATGACACACGCTTCACCGGTGGGTTCTGGGTCGGACTGTCGTTTTTTTTTGCAGTTGCATCTTGTACTCCCTTGGTAGGTGCTAATAAATTACCATTGATTGGAACGCTTGCGGAAGCTAGCAATCTCAACTTTGATTATGGTATGCTCACAGACTTCACTGCCTAGACTCTCCGAGTTTCTTAACGAATTTCTGACTTTGCCCTTCTCTCCATTAGATTTTCCGGCCAACAAGCGTTCGAACGTGTTCAGCCTGATTCTGCAGCCGCTGTTTGCCAAGACGGAGCGCAGCCTGCAGGCGGAGCTGCATTACCGAGCGTCGGCCGAACACGCCCAGTTCACAGTGCTGCTCAACAGCATGCGGCTCATGGGTGTGCTCGATTGGTGAGTGACATACGGCTTGGCGGGGAAAGAGTAGAGTAGAGTGGATACTGGGCCTCGTTTCATAAAGCTCTGCCGTAACTTACACCTTTCCGTAATTCACACCCTTTCAAACTACGGAGCGCAAATAAAGCCGTTTCACAAAGCCACAACTGGAATTGTTTACTTCTCCGTAACTAAGCACATTTGCGTAGTTACCGTAATTTATCAAGCGTCCTACAAATTACAAATTCATGTCAACACTTATTTTTTTGCGAGAAATTATAAAACAATTATATTGAATTTAAATCTTAAAAATTATTTATGAAAAAAAAAACAAAATTGATATTGATGACCATCCTTTATTAAAACAATATATTAAAAACAGCAGAAAGCCAGCTAAGCAGAAGTGCCTACATGCTTTTCAGACCCCATGAGACCCTAATTTTCGGCGATAATTTATTTACTATTTGTCCAATTTGCTTCAAATTTTCACAATGCACATTTCAGCTCAAGCGCCAATTTTCGCCAATATGGTCTCTTAACAAAATATCAAATTTTAGGGTAGGTACTTGTCATTGCCTCGTAATGTTAAAATCGGCTCCGTAAATTCGTCAGTGGAGTAGAGGCTACCCGTGCGTAGGTGTGACGTCACAAACACGTGACCATTAAGCTCCGCCCTCCCGGCGGACGGGGTAGTGACCTTGGCCGGTCAGTCGGCTGCGTGGAGCGGGCGGGGCGGTAGCTGTCGCACCGGGGCGGCTCGCATGGACCATAGCTGCCGTGCAGTTGTCGTTGCAGCCGTAATTTCATCGAATGAGCTAAATAGCGCGCATAAGTAACGCACCAGCTGAAGCCCTCGACTAATTGTATCTATCACAAATGTACGTACACCTTGTTCAGTCACAAAAAAATATATATATTTCCACACAAGATTCGGGGCTTATGAAAAAACGCGCATAATAGACGCTGTTGATTTCAAATGATTGCGTAAGATTAAATATCGCGTCAGACTACTTCAAAATTGCAAAACAGAATCACCATTAACATGATGCAATTTATGTGTTTGATATATGAAATTTGATTAGGAATGTATGCCGGCGTGATCGATTTATATCATCCCGGTGCAACTAAGCATTGAACACCTTCAGGACTAATCCATTTGATCATCGACTTAGGTTGAGGAGGTCGCCAGACTAACTTTGCCCCCAGAGCTTGTGTGTTGAAATGCAAACATGAAAAGTAAAAGCCTAGAGATAGTTTCCTCACCATTGAGGGCATGCCTACTGTTACTTAAGTTTTACAAAAAAGATACGAGTTTATTGATGATCGTTCTCGTGTATAAGTGCCCAAGGTCCGCCTGCCACATTGCTATTTCTTTTTGTGCACGTCTTAACAATATAACACACACATGACACCGCGATAAAGGCCATTTCTACCATACGACACATTACGCTTCTGCCCCACCCGGCGCCCCGCACCGCTTCACGAATCACGAATACGGTCGTTTCGCTGGAGCGATGCCCCAGGCAATCGGCCGTGCCCGAGACTCTTCAGTCTTCATCCTACTTTGTTGCTTTCTGCGCCTTCCTCAGAAACATTGATTGGCACTGCCAAATATATCAATATTTTTGGGTTAAGCACAGGCTTACACATGATCTTATACATAGGTAATCGGGTAGTGACCTGACCCAACCTGACGATGAGATAGGTGCAACTCCGGCTTAAATAAATGTTCAGAGTCCAAGAGTCTATCTATCTTTCCTTCTACGGCCGGGTCCGTTCCAATAGATCCTACCTTGATTCTGATCATCCTGAATATTCTGAGGTGGTTCGACGTTTAAATACCAAAATAAGGTGAAGAGGATACCAAATGCCCTCAAACGGATAACTTTTTTGGCTTTCGTCCCGAAACAACTTTGCCAGCTTCACTTGTCTCCAGTATGTGGTCCCGCTCCGACCTCTCCGCGGTGCTGACACCGACTGAAGCGGCATAGACCCATCGCGGTCACGGCCAGTGGGCGGAGTTTAGTTGGGCCCGGCGCAACGTGATTGGCCAGCGCTCCTATCCAATCCGGTGCGGTAGCGAGCGAGCCTCTATCCGGGTGCAAAAACTGATTAACATTACGAGCCAACGACAAGTGCTCTAAATTTTGATATTTTGTTAAGAGACCATATTGACAAAAATTGGCGCTTGAGCTGAAATATCGTTTGCCAAAATTTCAAGCTAATTGGACAAAAATTGAAGAAATTATCGCCGAAAAGCAGGGTCTCATGGGGTCTGAAATGCATAGTAACTTCGAAAGTGGCGCGGCGCGGCGAATAAACAAAATTCCGATAGCGGGGCACAAAAAGCGACTGGTACAGAAGATTTGCAGTTTATTTTTCTCATTTTGGCTGTTCTTTCTTCCTCACCGGGCTCAACATTATAAAATATATTAAAAATTAGCTTCGAATCTTCACATTAATTCAAAATCACGCAACATTTTTGTGCGTAGTTTACACCACTGATATCAAGAGCTTGATAAAATATTTGGCGTTAATTACGTCGTTTTATGAAACCCAAATGGCATCAATTGGTCCGGAATCGAGCATTTGCCGTAAATGAAGCTCCGTACTTTCGATGGCGTGAATTACTCCGGTCTCCGGCTTTATGAAACCGAATTGGCATCAAATACGCCAAATCTGGCATAATTGACGGAACGCCGTAAGTAATTCCTTTTATGAAACGAGGCCCTGGATAGTAGTAGCGGAGAAGAACAAAATGCCCTGATGATGGACAGCAGGATATGATGTCAACGCGCAAACGTGCAACTAGTGAGGGCACAGTAGTTCGATAAAGTAAGGCAAGTAAAGAAGTTAATAAATTTCCTTGTTGTTCTTTTTTTGCAACTATCACTGGTTCCGGTACTGGAATTATACATGCTTGGAATTACACCTGTAATCATACACCTCACCAATTCCCCTCCTTTCATTCTATCGCAGGTGGCGGGAGGTGAACGAATTCATTAACGCCAGTCCTGACGGCGCCTCGCCGCCGGAGGACCCGTCAGCGCCGTCCACAGTCGTCCCTGCCAACCCGTCAGCCGCGCCCACCGCCGGCATGGCCGTCGGCGCCGGTAAGACATTGGCTATCGGTGTCTTGGGGATTCGCAGCTGTTTTTTTTAAGCTGTTGAAAGGAACGGCGCAAGATTTCGATGAGGTAGAATAAATGCTGCTAGAACTCCATCTTCTTGTTATATTTCTCTAGCAACGCGCAATTTCAACTATGTTCTTTTGCAAAACGTTGCACAATCATCGTCTGTGCCAACGTTGCTTGTACTATTTACATTTCTCTGTCGCAACGTCGTGTTGTCGCAAATATTCCGTTTCTCGTCAAATCGTTGTGTCTCATGTTCACACTTCACTCATTTCTGGTCAGGCGTGGTGACTCGCCGGGCGGCCGTGCTGGGTCAGCCGCAGCAGAGTCTGGAGCTGAAGCTGAACGTCTCCGATTGTGAGCTGGTGCTGGTCGAGAATCCCACCCTCTCCGACTCAGCCGCCGTCATACTCAAGGTAAGATCAGGCCTCTGAAGACGCGAGTTGATATTGTGAACCCCACCCTCTCCGACTCGGCCGCCGTCATACTCAAGGTGAGGTCGTAGGACCGGTGAAGCTGCCGGCTGAATGTGTGACTGTGAACCCCACTCTCTCCGACTCGGCCGCCGTCATACTCAAAGTGAGGTCGCGAAGGCTGTTCAATGCTTACTACTCAGGCTTGTGGGTGTGATCTCTCCGGCTGCTGCGTTCGGAATCTTTCCTTTCTAAAGTTCAGCTGACCATCCTGTTGATTCTCGATCTGTGTGTCTGCTGCTGTCGGGTCACGTACACATTATTTACTTATTAAGGATTACCGCGGCCGATGATGCGTGATATGTTTTGTTATGTCTATCATTTTCCCTAGCTGTGTGTCCACTGACTCCGTCCGTCTCCTCTCTGCCGCAGACCACTGCGTGCGTGCAGTACCGCCCTCAGAGCCGCGAGAAGCCTCTCAGCTGCGAACTGCAGAACTGCGAGCTGTTCAGCTGTCTCCTGGGCGGAGCTGAGCAGGAGACCGCGCTCTCCATCGTCGACCCGGCCACTGTCAACATCGAGATAGCCGGCAAGCAGCCTCCGGACGCCGCGCGGGGCATCCTGGACGCCACGGATACCGAGGTTCACTTCCACATGGAGGTGCTGATGCAGCAGCTGAACGTGCGGGTCAGCTACCACGACATGAAGATGTTTGTGGCCATCATGGAGAGCCTGCCCAAACAGACGGGAGCGGTGGCGCAGACCGGCGATCGTCTCTCGGCGCAACCCGTCAACCTGCAAGGTGCGTGATGAATGCGTATCTTTTGGCTCTGTCGGGATTTCGGCGATCTACAGGGATATCGCGGGTGAATAGTTGGTGACTGAGGGACAGAAGAAAGGGTTGCTGCTCATGCTCTGTATCAATGAATGGGTATCTAATTGTTTTGTTGATATTCTTATTTTCATTGTTAACCTGTATCATATCTACGTGGTGTTGCGAGAATAATGTCTTACTCTGACTCGTCTCGTTTCAGCCCCGCTGCGTCAGCTGCAGCGTCTCGGGTTCGCGGAGGAGGACTGTGAGAGGGCTCTGGCCGCCTGTCAGGGACGGCTGGACGACGCTGCCATCTGGCTCACACAGGTCAGAACAACACCCGCCGACAAGCTTCAGCTAGTTTGGATAGTGAGACACTGACTAGTGTCGAGCTGTGACATTGTGTGTAACATTGCTGGCGAAGATATTGATGTTTGTTTCTATTTCCTGCTTTCATATACCCCGTCGTAGATCTTTTATACAGTAAAACTGTGTTCAGCTTTACATATGTATTTTTCCGGTTAGACTGTCTACTTTTACATCGGTGTACCTGCTGCATGATAAGGTTAGCACGTCTTGCAGTGCCACTGACGTTGATTATTATTTCAGCACGCGTCTCCGACGACGGAGGCTGCGCCGCCGGACCCGCCGCCCAGTCAGCCGCTCTTCGACCTACGCAAAATCAACGTGAGTTGTGCCTCATGAATCACACCATGCCAGCGGAGGATGGGAGAACGGCGTCCTATGGACATAAGACTGTAGGTCGAAAAGGAGAGAGAGCTCAGTAGGCTGTTGTAAAATGTTGTCGGTGCTCTTGTCTTTGTTTACGTAACATGTTTTACCAGGCGCCGATATGATCGGACTGACTTGCTGCCATCTTTTCCAGCTGCACACGTCATCGTTCTCAATGTGTGTGATCGACGACTGCGGCGACGCGGACGTACCCCTGGTGGAACTGTGCATGAACCACTTGTTGGTGTCCCACTCGAGAGATGGCGCTGGCGAGGCCACCTGTGAGCTCTCCTGCGACTACTACAACCGAGCTCTCTCCGGCTGGGAGCCGTGCATCGAACCGTTCAAGTGAGCATCGAATGGCAAACGGACATACTGAATATTTTCTGAAGTTCGCAGCGAATGCCCGGTACCACTTTGTGAAGTGGGCTCATTTTTTATGTGAATGGGCTCCTTCACCCTGTGGGCTTGAGTCTCGCGGCGGCATGCTGGGTTGAATGAGCCTATTCTTGAATCAAAAAGCAAAAGTTTGATGTCTTATCTAAGCCTCTGAGAATATCCACACATTATTCCTCTCCGTTCCAGGTGTGAGCTGGACTGGCGCCGGGAGTCGACCGCTGCTGCCGCCTCCAGCGGGGGCACCTCACCGTCCCCCACCTCTAACGATCGGCTCACCGTCAACATCCGCTCCAAGCACCAGGCCAACGTGAACGTGACGACTACTCTGCTAGAGCTGTACTCGATGGTTCGCACCAACTGGACGGAGGACTACTATAATCGACACAGGTACAGGCGGCTGGAGTTCTAGCCTGAATACAGGCGCCAGGACTGGACGATGCGACTGAGGGGGTGTTCGCGGCGTGGTAGGGATTGCAGCTACGAGGAGTGCTGACGTGGTGAAGCGGTTTGAAATGGCCAGAGTTACATTGTCGCGCATATGAGTGTTGGTGTGATGTTGGTTGACTTTCCTCCGTTTCTGACCTCCCAGCTGATTATCTTGTTCCGAGGCTTGCCAGGCTGCGCGTTATCTCACTCGCTCTCTGACTGACCTTTCGTCTCCTCTTCTCCAGACTGGGCGGGCCGAGGGTGGCCATCTGTCTCTTATCTGCTGACCCCACGCTGGGCCGGCGCTGCGCTATCTCCACCTTCCTCCCTGACTGACCTCCCACCTACCCTGTCCGCAGGCTGGGCGGGCCGCGGGTGGCCAGCCGCCGCCGCAGTCCGTTCGTCCCCTTCAGCCTGAAGAACGACACCGGATCGCGACTCAAGTTCCGCACGGTGCTGACTTCGTTCAGCGGGTCAGTTGCAAATATTAAGTTGTTTTTTTTTTTTTACATTTTCTTGGACGTGTTAGTGTCTGGCGGATTTATACCGTTCGTAACCTCCTAGGCATGCTTATTTTTGTTACATTCATACGTTCACTTTTGTTTCGAACTGAATTTCATCGTGTCTGTGCTCCTTGTCCTGCAGAGGCCAGGACGCGGCGGCGGCGGGCCCGGCGGGCGGCCCCGGTGGCTGGACCGAGGTGGGCGTCGACGAGGCCGTGCCCTTCACCTTCGGCGGACGCGGTACGTAACCGGGTTGAAGGAAAACCATCTTACTAACGACGTACGTTATTTTTGTCTGTTGAACGCAATATGAAGCATTATTTCATGACGTGGGATGCTAACTGTCGCAATATTAGAAATCAAATAATTATCGAATTGGTATGACCCGTTCATGAGTGTTGTTTTTTGTTTGCCCTCACCGTTATAAACGATATTGGAAGTCCGATATTGGGAGATCGATCGATATTGGAAATATTGGAAGTCCATCCTACGTCCATACCTGCGTGTGTATGTCGCTCACGGTCCGCTCTCCGTCTCCAGGGAAGCTGCGCCACCAGGACACGCACACCACCCGACAACACCAGCTGGTGGTGTGGGTGGAGGGCTGGCAGCCCGCCTCTCCCGTCTCCGTGGACAGGGTCGGCGTGTACTTCCGACAGACGGCGCCCGTGCCCGGCCGGCACCCCAGCGGGGTCAGTGTGGAGGGAGGCTGATAGGCGAGGGAAACTAAAAGGATGAACTGAAGAAATATCGTTAGGAATATCCCCGTATGGTATGATGGTATGCGTCAAAGATCGTGTTTGATGTTGGAATTTACAAACATTTTTAGTATTTTCGTTTTCTTGTTGGCATGCGTGTGAATTAATTCATTTCTGAGTCAGCGACGATAAAATTGCTCAAAGAAACATTCCTGGTTGAAAACTATGTAGACTTTTTCAGAGCATCTCATGATCTAAGGCCAATGTTCCCCCGCATTACCACTTATTTGCACGAGCTTGTCGCGCGCCTGTCGCTGAGCCGGCCGGTCTTCCCGCCGTCCCCAGATGGAGCAGCCGCCGGCCCGGGTGGTGTTCGCCGTCACCCTGCAGGGCACCGCCCGCAAACTGGTCACCGTTCGCTCGGCACTGATGGTCGCCAACCGACTGCCCGACCCGGTCGAAATCAAGATGGAGGGCGCCGTGCCACGCATCGGAGGTAGGTGGCGGCATCTGAAGATGGTGGGATGGAATGGGACGGATGGAGACAGGTCCGAAATGCTTGTGATTATCGAAAGTTGACCTGGGGCCTTTTTGGGATTCATGGTAGGCAGCAGGGACTTGTTGTGCACTCGCGATAACATTACGATTGCGGTAAGATTTGTTGTTAATTTTTAGTGAAGTGTTTACTGTGCATCGTCGCATTATATTCAAATATATTGCTGATTAAGTATTTTGGTAACGAAGGAACGAACGATCCATGCCCGTCCTTGGGAAATTAGCTTACGATCTGTCTGTGAAGCGCCTTGTCGTTACGTGCCGTGTCAGTGTCCCAAAATTGCATTCTGGCTTGGGTGCCGGAGGGGAAAATTTATCAGCAAAAAGGTGGATGTGAGTGGAAAATTGCTGGTCAGATAAGGCCCAAAAAGAGTGATAAAAGGATAGGTAACATAAATTTCTATATACGAGTGTGGTAAAATGTGCGATGCAAAATGGCCATCCTCATAATGCTTTTCTCGGTAAAGTTGAGAGTAGAAAATTGTTCTGAAAAGTTGGAGGTGAGAGTGGAAAATGACTTTCAGCTGGATGTCATTTCGCACCCAAATCAACAAATTTTGGGACGCTGTATAAGTTACAACTTGTACAACCGTGTACAACCGTGTAGTTACAACTTGTAACTACACGGCAGCCGTGTAGTTACAAGTTGTGTCTGTGAGTCGCCGTGTCGTTATACGCTGCCGAGTCTGTGAGTGGCCGTGTCGTTACAAGCTGCCGTGACGTGTCGCCGGCTGGAGCCGCTCGGCCGGCTGTCGGTACCTCTGCGCTGCGTGGGCGCGCTGCTCTGGTGGCGCCCCACGCCGCCGCCGCACCGCCTCACACACGGCTACGCGGGCCGGCCGCTGCGTGCGTCCGACTTGGGCCGGCCCGGGCACTCGGCGGCGGCTAGTCACCTGGCCGGCCGGACCGACTACAGGTCAGACGGGTCACCGGGGGCCGGGAGGGACCCGGACCGCGGGAGGCGCCGCTCAGCCCGCCTCGCCAGCGAACACTGATTGCAGAATGTTATCACGGTTATCGTTACAGCTTGTAAGCTGTCAATGATCAGCCCTCTCGTCGTATTCCGTGTATGGCTGTCGGTGTTCGCTGAGGCGGTCTGACCTGGCTCCGCCGGGCGCAGTAGGCAGTAGTTCGGCCGCCGCAGTCCGCCGCCGCGGCCGTCCCCGGGCTCTGCGCAGTGTGTCAGCGGGCAGTGCGCGCCGGTGTGTTGCAGGGCCGGAGCGGGTGCTGCAGGTGTCCCCCGGGGCGCGGCGCCCCGTGCCGCTGGCGCTGGTGCACTGTCAGCAGCTGGGTCGGCCGCTGTCGGCCGCCGGCGGAGGCTGGAGCCTGACCGCCCAGCCGTGGCGCTGGTGGGCCGGAGAGTCGGGCCGTCGGCGCTGCCGCAGCTGGCAGAACGCCGCCGATGTCTACAGGTCACTATGGGACGGACTGACGGTTCACTAACGGTGCCCCGAGTCCTGATCCGGCCGGTCCTGCACGCTCCGACTGACGGTCTTCGTCGCAGACCCCTCCGCTCACCCGTCCGGCCTCTCACCGTCCTCTATTAACAGATGCTGATGGGACTCACCACCACTAACAGCACCTACATTAAGCTTTCTTTCCTCATTATGTTTCATTTTGAACCTCGGCCTCACCATTTGGTGCATGATTTAATCACATTTTGGCTTGGTTTCGGCACAACCCTTTTCCTTTTTGCGTGTGTTGAGATCGTTGATTTCGTTTTGTTTCTTTTTGTTTGCTTTTTTTCTTGGAATGCGCCTTGTGTTGTTTTCATTTTCACTTGAGTTTTGATTAAACATGATTTGCTATAACTTTATTTTTATCAGTTTCGGTTCGCCTTCACACCGTTTCAACATAAACCCACCAGCAGTTATTTACGGTGTATCCTGCCTATCGACCAGGAACTGCTGCAGCTTCTGCCTTCGTTACCCGACCGTCAACGTTTCGCGGTGTGCTCGCTCTTCCCTGCAGCCTTCTAACCAACCCCATCGTGTGCCGTGCTCAGGTTTTGCGTCAACATCGAGCGGGACAGCTACCCAGAGGATCCGGCGCCGTACACCCGACAGGTGGCCACCGGTCAGTTATGTTGGAACGGGATGGGAGATGTTTGTGCTTTGTCAGCATGTGAGTGATGACAGTGTTATGTGAGCGGAGAACTAGGCCGCTTCAGGAGTAATCCTTCAGAAATCTTAAATGGTCAGCGGATTTCCCCTCGGGTCGTTGGATTTTTGCCTCGTTTTTATTAAAGGTTTTGGTAACATTTAGCATAAGGTTTTGTCTGACCGTGGGAAAGATACGAGTAATCAATATTGTAATAGCTGCTCGCTTCACATGTATTGTGTACTAACTGCAATATTGTCCCTCTCTGCTCTGTCAGGCCGTCTGGGCGTTGGCCAGCAGCCGGGCCACACCATCACCCTCCTCCCACCGGTGACCATTGTGAACCTGTTGCCGTGCGAGTTGCGCTACTCGGTCTCCTGCGGCGCCAGCAGCGCCGATCCGCCGCCAGAGGCCACCCGGCGCATCGACGCTGGCAAACAGGCCGCCCTGGTGGATGTGAGTAGGGTTGGGGACTGTTTGGAGTATGATAGGTGTGTGCATGGCTCATGAAAGACATTGATAGTGATGTTTGACCGACTGTCGTCAAGAGTGAGTACAGCTACATTAATCACACTGACATTTAGCAGTAATAGGGAAAGAGGCCATCGTTTTATCCTTGGCAGCTTAAAGTACCTACCTTGCGTTCGGCTTTCCTCTGTCCATCTCCACCGTTCGCTGTTCACTATTTCGTATCGTCCGTCCCGCAGGTGGACCTGGAGCAGGAGCTGCTGCTCTCGCTCAGCGTGGAGGGCTGCCGGCCGGACCGGGCCCTGGACATCACCGCCGCGCGCGTGGCCGGCCTCGACTGGGCGCCGGTGGCGCTGCGCGACTCGCGCGGCCGGCTGCTGCAGCTGCGCGCGCGGCTGCGGCACGGCGCCGCCGGCTGGCTGCGACTGTCGGTCAGCGCTCCGTACTGGCTGGTGAACCGCACCGGTCTGCCGCTGGTGGTGGCCCAGGAGCAGACCGAGCAGACCGAGGCGGCCGGACAGGAGGCCGACCACGAGCGCGCCCGCTCCGTGGCGCCGCTCATGTTCTCACTGAGCGACCCCGAGGCGCCGCACATGATGGTGGCGCGACTGGGGCGCGGACAGCACCCGGACGGCCTGCCGCGGGTGAGTAGCCGATGGGAGCCTCAGTGCGACTCCGGATTAGGCGTGGACACTGACAGAATCACCCTAATTTGTGGAGTTTGTCGGATTTCTGCCTTGGGTACCGGGATGGTGTAATCTGACAAGCATTGTGCATAATATTTCGTCGATATTTTAACATAATGTGCGATTTTATTCTTGTTGTTTGTCTGTTATTAAAGAAATTATTGATCAATTAACACATGCCTTGTTTGGTTGTCGTTCCTTCCTGTGCTGCCACGTCCCCCTACAATAAGCTGCGTCTGACCGCCCTTCCCTTCCCCCCTCTCCAGTGGTGTCATCACTTCCACCTGCAGCCCGGTCTCAGTTTCCGTCGTCTGCGTGTCTCGCCCCGCGACACCCGGCGGCCAGACATCGTCTACGTGGTCGGTGAGTTTTAATTACGTGAAAGACCGGCCGGTGGAAGTGCGGAAGTTGCTACCGCGCGGCGCGCATTGACTGGCGGCTGGAGTGTATGCCTCCTGGGACCGTGGACTGAACTGACGTCCCCGCACGAGAAGTTAATCTTACGAATGGATTCGGCAACGGTCTCATAGCAATTACAATATAACATACGTTCCTTACCTTCCCAGCTGTCCATGGACGTTCCCCTTTGACCGCCTGGCGTTGTCGCTTCCGCCAGGTATCGAGACTCGCCCGGGCCGCGGTCGGTACGGCGACACCCACATCATCACCGTATCGCCGCGCTTCCAGGTCGACAACAGGTCGTCACATCGACTGCTACTCTCGCAGCTGCACTTTGCCGAGTCGTTTGTGAGTGGAATGTGGATGGCAGGGTGGTTGGGGCTGGGAGCGGAAAGAAGAGGGAACAAGGGACTGGGTGAGGCTATAGAAGTGGTCAATGATTAAGGGTTGGGTTTGGGTAGCGCATAGGCTCGTGAGTGTTGTGTATTGACATAAGCTGCTCAGCATGCACTCAGGCCAGGGGTCATAAATGATACTGAGTCTTCAAATCTCTTTGATGTGGTTCGCTTGGATCAGGGATGTACTGTGTCTAGTCGACCGGGAAAGGGGCTAATTTCTTTGAGGACTGCTTATCATATTGACCCCCGCTGCGTCCGTCCGTCTATCGCAGGTGAACCCTGCGGCGCAGCAGCAGTGGGTGCTGGCCGTGCCCGACTCCCAGATGGCGTTCCACTGGCCGCGCCACGACTGCGACCACCTGCTCTGTGTCAAACTGGCTGACGTGGCCGACTGTCACTGGTCGGGCGGCTTCCTCATCGACCGCACCGACAGCTTCCACATCAACGTCAGGTGAGTGGATTTTTTCAATGTCTGCATTAATCTTAGGTCGGATCGAACACTCATGAAGTTAGGTCAGAGTGTGTTTCTGGTGTTATACCAAGTACAGTATTTAAACGTCTCTGGCCAAAATGTGTTCGATGGCCTAAGTCAGGGATTGTTATTGTCTAAGTTTAACTAGCTAATCGTTATGTCAAGGACGTGGTATGTATGTCATTTTTGCTTCAGATCATGCACATGCTTACCAATCGAAAAAACAGCTGCGCTTGTATTTTCATTGTTCCCTCCAGCATACCGAATTCCGGTTTACTGCCCTAAGTTTTGAAGTCCTAGTCATCATCCTGATGTTCCCACCATACAAATCTCTGGCCCTCACGGCCCATGTATCTCCCTCTCATAACCATCCGCTCCTCTATGTGACAGGGACAAGGACGGCCTAAGTCGCTTCCTGCGCGTCGAGGTGGTCCTCCAGAGCGCCACCTACTACGTCGTGTTCATGGACGCGGACGCCATGCCGCCCCCGTTCCGGGTCGATAACTTCTCCGAGGTCAACATCACTTACTACCAGGTCAGAGAGCAGTTTGATTGTTCGGAAGAGTCGCGTCGACCCTGCGAAGTCATGTGCGTATTATCATGCAGCAGTCATAAGGCTCAATGTTGGAATATGCACAACCTTACGGTCAATGACCCTTCTTTGTTTGATGCATTTGGCGTATTTCTTTCAAACGATAGCTCAGCTTTCGCTGGTTTCCATTTTTTGTATTGTTCAATGCCTCTTCTCAATGTGCCCCGCAGGGGGCTGACCGTGGTCAGAGCCGTTGCTTGGCCGGGACCATTGGGCTCTGGCCTCGCGGCGGCTGTGACTTCGGCCAGTAAGGGGAGTAGCGCCCCCTCGGCCCCAGCTTGACTTGCGTTTGACCTCGGCTCTGATTTGATTGTCGGATGGATTTTCTGCAAGATTGGCCCCGCAGGGGGCTGGCGGTGGCCTGGGTTCCTTGGGCCCGCGTCCTGCGGCGGCCCTGACCTCCGCCAGCAAGGGGAGTAGCGCCCCCTCGGCCCCAGCTTGACTCATGCTCGATTACAACCGGACTCGACCCTGGATTGATAGACGACAAGTCAGACCTTTCTTGGTTTCTTTTTTTCCCTTTGTGTCTGATGAGTGTCTTTTTTGCGCCCGGTTCCGCTCCTTCCGGGTGTTTCTCCTCACTGCCAGCTTATACTGCCTTGCCGTCTTCTCACGTGGTTTGCACTAAGTTTTTGCACTTGTCTGTTGCCCAGCTTTCTTGCGAGCATTTTCATTGGTTGCCTTTTCTGCATTCTCACGCACCGCACGGACACACTCGGGTGAAGTGGAATAGCGCCCCCCCCCCCCCCCCCTCAGCCCTAGATACACATATGTGTAATCTTGACCTTGCCCACATTTGCTGGATTTGATGTTTGCACAATGCCACTGCCAGTCGGCCGCGTTGCCGTCTTCTCACGCGAATTTCTCCTGGCTGGTTTGCACTCATTTGGTTGCCTACCTCATCGGTTTCGCACGCTTCCCAGTTTTTTTTTTAACACTTGCTCATCTTCTCTGTGCACGATTCCATTGCATAATGCGATTCCAGTCTCTAATCGTGCCATCTTCTCACGTGAATTGCTCTTGGTCGTCTTGTACCCGTTTGTTGCCCATATTTCTTTTGCGGTCACCGGCATTGGCTGCGTTTTCAGTCTTCTTGCGCTGTACCGGTCTTGCAGGCTGCTTGCCTCACCGGTTCCGCACGCTTCCCCAGTTTCTTTTTTTTACACTTGCTTATTTTCCTTGTGCACGATTCCATTGCCAGTTTGCTGCATTGCACTCTTTTCACGTGAATTGCTCTTGGTTGTTTTGTACCTGTCTGTTGCCTTTTTTGCGGATACTCGCGTTGATTGCCATATGTGTGATCTTGACTTTGCCCACATTTGCTGGATTTGATGTTTGCCCAATGCCATTGCCAGTCGGCCTCGTTGCCGTCTTCTCACCTGGCTGGTTTGCACTCATTTGGTTGCTTACCTCATCGGTTTCGCACGCTTCCCAGGTTTTTTTTTAACACTTGCTCATCTTCTCTGTGCACGATTCCATTGCATAATGCGATTCCAGTCTCTAATCGTGCCATCTTCTCACGCGAATTGCTCTTGGTCGTCTTGTACCCGTTTGTTGCCCATATTTCTTTTGCGGTCACTGGCATTGGCTGCGTTTTCAGTCTTCTTGCGCTGTACCGGTCTTGCAGGCTGCTTGCCTCACCGGTTCCGCACGCTTCCCCAGTTTTCTTTTGTTTTTTTTTTACACTTGCTTATCTTCCTTGTGCACGATTCCATTGCCAGTTTGCTGCATTGCACTCTTTTCACGTGAATTGCTCTTGGTTGTTTTGTACCTGTCTGTTGCCTTTTTTGCGGATACTCGCGTTGATTGCGTTTTCAGTTTTCCTACGCTGTACCGGTCTTGCAGGCTGCTTGCCTCATCGGTTTCGCACGCTTCCCCCAGTTTTTTTTTTTGCACTCGCTCATCTTCTTTGTTCTCTGGTTCCCCTGGTTTTATCGGTCTAGCCGTACCTTCGGCCCAAAGACCGGGGAGAGGATGTCTGGGCGTTGAGGGGGCTGCCCTGCGGGTTAGTCGGGGCAGCCTTCCAACACATGCCTTTGGCGCCAATCCCCGGATCTGCGGGATGCCCCATGTTGGCCTCGCATGAGGGAAATCGGCCGGTCAGGCGTCGCCCTGTGCAGCACTGGCTAATCGGGGTCAAGGGGGCTGGGCGACGGGTATGCGGGGGGCTGCCGCCGGGTGCAGGGGCCGCCTGATTCCTTCAGCGCGGGGCTTAGCGCCACCGTATCCATGTCCGCGCGCGGGATCAGGTCCGGTCCCGTGCCGCATGGCTCTGCGGCGGCCGCGGCTCACGCGGCCCCGTACCCGGCGGCTTCGTCTTGCTGCTTTTGGCGTCCCGGCCCCCGTATAGTCCTGCAGTACTCCTGGCGGACCACCACCCTACGGGGGAGTGTGGCCGTCCCCCAGTTGGGCTCCGAGGTGGGTGGGAGGCTGCGGGACCGAAACAATTACACTTTCCATGGATTCTCACTTGGCACCCCCACGGACCACAGCCTCGGCTGAACCCCTTGCACCTAGTGCAGTCGGTGGAGCACGACCAAAAGTTCTTATATTCACATCCGACGAACGAAAACTCGCGTCGCTGTCTCCCTTTCAGAGACGAGAGGGCTGTGACAGATTTGGTAAGATTGCGAGGTGTGAAAAACTTAGAGACGGAGGCATCGAAGTAGAGTTTGTTGACGATAGAGAGGCGGAAAGGGCCCTGAAAGCTACTCACTTCACATACACAGTTAAGGATCAGCAGGGCAGAAAGGAAGTAAACCTTTCGGTCAGCGTTTCGCCGCATCGCACGAAAAATTCCAGCCGAGGGGTCATTTTTTGCGACGATCTGGAGGGCATGCAAAACGACGAGATCGCCGAAGGCCTGTCACAGTTTGGGGTCTCCGCCGCCCGCCGCATCTACACCAAGAGAAGTGGCGCTCTCGCACCCACGCACAGTATCATTTTGACTTTCAACTCGCTGGAACTGCCGAGGGAGGTGATGATAGGATATCTGTCCGTGAAAGTTCGACCATATGTCCCGAGTCCCATGCGTTGTTTTCAGTGTCTCCGATTCGGTCACACTCGAGACAGCTGTCGGAACAGACCAGCATGCGGGAGCTGTGCGGCAAATGACCATAGCAGTGCCGAATGTTCGTCGTCCGAGTTGAGATGCGTCAATTGTGACGACTCTCAGACTCCACATTCCTCGTTTGATGGGCGATGCCCGGCCCTCCAGAGAGAAAAAGAAATAATGTCCCTGAAGGTCACCGAAAGGCTGTCATTTCGTCAGGCCCGAGACCGCTTTGCTGCCCTCCATCCCAAGCGGTCTTATGCTAGTGTGGCCAACGGTTCTAGACAGCGCTGCCCCACTGAAACTGATACCAACAACAGCATCGGTCAGTTAATAGCGATTCTGAAGTCATTCGGCTTCTGCTTTGTCCCAGATGCCAACAGTCACAGCAACTCATCAGTTCAACAGGAGCCCCCTAAAGCGTTGTCGTGCTCCGCCACGCAGACGTCGCCAAGCAGGAGGAGAGGAGTCTCGTCCCCCTCCCGTGGGGGAGGAAGAGAGGATGAGACTGGGGCGGGGGTGGAGGCTTCAGCCGCCCCCGAGGATACGGCCACGCCGCGGGGTGGTGAGTGGACCCTCGCCCGGGGTCGTCGCCGGGGCCCGCCCCCACCGCCGCGCTCTGTCGAACGGACCCCGTTCACGTCTCCGGAGATCCGTCGACCCCCGCCCAGGGAGACTGCAGTCATGGCGGCTCTGCGCCGCGGTCGGGAGGAGCGGCTTGAGCAGGACGCCAGACTAGGGCGGAGGATGGCCCAGGCTCTTGAGGAGCGTCGAGCGTCCTCTGTCCGTGGAGGTCCTGGTGGGCCGGGGGCGGCCCCGTCACCTCTGATGGGACCTCCCCCTACCCCTCCACCCCCTCCTCCACCTCCGCCCCCTCCACCTCCTCCGCCCCCTCCACCTCCTCCGCCCCCTCCACTTTCTCCCCCACCCCCGCTCCCACCGCCACCACCACCCCCTCCACCCCCTCCACTTCCTCCACTCCCTCCACCCCATTCACAGCGTCCTTCTGGTGCCCCTCCGGTGCCCGCCTCGGGCGAGGGGTCGGGACCCCGACCCCCGCCATGCACACCACCATCGGAGCCGAGACCGGCGGGGCCGCCGCCCGCCCCGGGCCGCCCCACGAAGCGCACACTTCCGTGGGAGTTATCTCCGTCAAACGATGGTAGCCCCCGCTCGCGGCTGAAGTTTCAACCGGGAGCTACGGGCCGGCCTAGGTCGGCCGATGGACGGCTCCGCGAGGGCCATCCAAAGGTAGCCTTTGGCGGTGGCCCGGGCCCCGGTGGCGAGGAGCATTTTTAAGTCCCCGCCTTTTTTTAACTCAAGTCAAAGTCGCCAGTTTTAGACACCTTTCGCTTACCCCAAGCGCTCAAAACTACAGCAATAACACGTTTTATCCTGCAGTGGAACTGCAGAGGCTTGCGTTCTAGCACTCCAGAACTGCAAGCACTAATCCGCTCTCAGCGACCTTTGGTTGCTTGCATCCAAGAAACCAAACTCAGATCTGAGTCCAGGTTCCCCATGAAAGGATTTTCGGTTTTTCGCAGGGACCTTGCTACTGAAACCGTCGCGCACGGAGGTGTTATGGTTCTGGTCCATAACGCCGTGCCTGCGAGATGTATTGATTTAAGCTCGCCCCTTCAGGCGGTAGCGGTCCGCATTCATCTAGGCCAGCGTGACATCACTGTGTGCTCACTTTACTGTCCCCCTGGCGCAGCTCTTCCTCTTCTGGAACTACGCCGGCTAATTGCCGAGCTCCCTCCACCTGTGATGCTTCTGGGTGATTTTAACTCTCACCACTCTGCATGGGGATGTGATTCTGTGTGTACACGCGGTCGACTTTTAGCGTCCTTGATAGACGAGGAGGGCCTTTGTGTTTTAAACACTGGTGCTGCTACCCATTTCACCATGCCGTCGGGACATTCATCAGTTCTAGATCTCAGCCTTGTCAGTCCACACCTTGTGCCGCTTTTTACGTGGCGAGTGGACGCGGACTCTTTTGGTAGTGACCATTTCCCCATATGGCTTGAACTGCGTGAGCGGCCCTCGGTTGGCTGCCGGCCACCGAGATGGAACCTGCGGAGGGCAGACTGGGAGAAATTTCAAACGTGCTTGGAGGATGCTCTCTCATCTGACCCTACAGATGATCTGTCAGTAACCGATTTCACCTCCTTACTCATTGAAGCAGCCAAGGCATCCATTCCTCGTACATCGGGGGCGCCTTCTCGCCGGCCGGTCCCATGGTGGTCCGATGCGTGTCGAGACGCCATCAGAGCGCGGAAACGAGCGCTGCGCGCTTTCAGGCATAACTGCACCACCGCAAACATGATCGCGTTTAGAAAAGCCAGAGCGTTCGCTAGGTGGACGGTCAAGAAAGCTAAACACGAATCCTGGGTGGAATACATCAGCCAGCTTAACAGATTCACGCCAATCTCCGAGGTTTGGTCCCGTATAAAACGTATATCAGGTCGTTTCTCCTCATCCCCTCTTCCTGTTCTGAGTGTGTTTGGCAGAAATGTGTTGAACCCAGCTGATGTAGCGTACGAAATAGGCCGTGCGTTACATGACCGCTGTGTCGGTGACTGTTCTGACCCCGACTTCGCCCGCCATCGTGCTCGGTGCGAATCGACTGGCGTCAATTTTAACACATCACAACATTTTAGCTACAATGATCCCTTTACTATGGAAGAGTTAAAGTCCGCTATAGGTGGCCTGAAGTGTGTCGCAGAAGGCCCTGATCTTGTACACAATGAGATGCTTCGGCGTCTCCCGTCACCGGGACTTGAAGCATTGCTCCATCTTTTCAATGCGCTCTGGGAAAGAGGGCTGTATCCCGAAACATGGCGGACGGCCATCATTATCCCGGTGCTGAAGGCTGGTAAAAGCGGGCTTGATCCGCTTCACTACCGCCCTATTGCGTTGACATCTGCCCTGGGCAAGCTGCTTGAGCGAGTTGTAAACGCGCGTCTCGTCTGGTTTCTGGAGGAACAAGGTGTTTTATCTAACTCGCAGTGCGGTTTCAGAAAGTATCGGAGCACAGTAGATCACATTTTAGCCCTTGATACCGAGGTTCGTTGCGCATTTAGGCGGAAGCGACACATTGGTGCATTGTTTTTCGACATTGAGGCTGCGTATGATACCACTTGGCGTTTCGGTATTTTACAAAAGCTTTTCAAGTACGGTATACGCGGTACAATGGGCCATTTCCTCGCCAGCTTTTTATCTAACCGGTCTTTCAGAGTCCGTGTCGGTGGCAACCTCTCAGAGCAGTTCCCCCAGGTCAACGGTGTCCCCCAAGGAGGAGTCCTAAGTGTTGTGCTGTTCGGGGTAATGATTAACGATATTGCCGATCACCTGCCCCCTTCCATTGGCCGTGCCCTTTTTGTGGATGACTTCTCTATCTGGGCCAGTGGTGCAACCACACGTATAGTAGAGAGACAGCTCCAGTTGGCAATTAAAAGATTAGAAAACTGGAGTGCTGTTAACGGACTACGATTCTCGACAGCCAAAACTGTAGGTGTCCACTTTTGCCGTTTTCGCCGTAATTGCCCTGACTTCTCTGTCAGGCTAAGGGGTGCAGTGATCCCTGTGAAGTCGGAGGTGAAGTTTCTTGGGATGGTAATAGACAGCCGTCTTACCTACCGCACTCACCTGAAAGAGCTCCGCGACCGATGTTTTCGAGCTATGAATGTTTTGAAATGTGTTGCGCGTACCTGCTATGGGGCGGATCGTAAGACACTGCTCTTGCTTTATCGTGCTCTTGTCCGTTCTAGACTTGACTACGGCTGTTTTATATACGATAACGCCACGGAGACCTCGAAACGTATTCTGGACTCTGTGCACCATACTGCTCTTCGTATTGCCACTGGTGCGTTCCGGACCACCCCAGTAGCCAGCCTCCTTGTAGAGGCCCACGAGCCACCTCTTGCCTTGCGTCGCCAGCTACTGGGCATGAGATATACCATAAAACTCCGCCAGTTGCCTTCCCACCCTGCCTATGATGCAGTTTTCTCACGTGCCAACCTGGCGCTTTTCAGAACCGGAGAAGGTGCACGTACTGTCCGCTACCCCCCTTTCTGCTCTCGTATGCAATCGCTGCTCTCGGAAGCTCAAATTAAACTTCGGGGGGTCATGCGTAAGGAGTGGCCATCTGTCCCACCGTGGAGACAAGTCCCGCCAAAGGTGGACCTTTCCCTCACCGATGTGAGAAAAGGCGACATCCCTCCAGCTGTTTTAAAGGCTCGTGCGCTGGAACATATTTCAAGGTACTCTGACTACATAGCCTGTTATACTGACGGCTCAAAGACTGATGACGGTGCCGGGTGTGCTTTCGTCTGCGGCGACGCTGTGCGGTGTTTTACCTTACCTAAACATGCATCCGTTTTTTCCTGCGAATTGGTCGCTATCCTCAAACTCCTGTGTTTTATCGAGATTAATCCCGCTCGGTCATATGTTATTCTTTCTGACTCATTGAGTGGTCTCCAGTCCTTGTCACAATTCTACCCTTCTGACCCCCTCGCACAGGAGATTCTTCTTCGTGTGACAGCCCTCGACCGAGAGGGTACGTCGGTGTCTTTTTGCTGGATCCCTAGCCACGTCGGTATTCACGGCAACGAACGGGCGGACCGAGCTGCGAACCATGCTGCGCAGTATCTGTGCTCCCGCCGATTCCCTCTACCCGCCAGGGACTTTGTACCGGCGGTGGGCTCTTTCCTCCTCGGAAAGTGGCAGGAGGCCTGGAGCCAATCCCACGGTAACAAACTTTTACGTATCAAGCCAGGTTTAGCTACCTGGTTGTCGGCCTCACGCAGATCGCGACGCGAGGAGGTGGTCCTCTGCCGGCTTCGTACCGGGCACACTTATGGCACCCATGGGTTCCTTATCGGCGTTGGCTCCAGGCCTATTTGTACCAGATGTGGTGACCGACTTTCGGTCCGACACGTCTTGGTCGAGTGCCCGAGACTGGACGCTGAGCGATTGCGGTTTTTTGGATTGCGTGGCCCCCAGCTCTCTTTGAGAACACTTCTCCGCGACGACTCCCCTTTTCTCGATTCCGTTCGCCTCTTTTCGTTCATCACGGCCTCCGGGCTTCAGGTGATTTTTAACCCCCGACTTTGAGGAAGATTGGTTAGATATGGGCGCCATATAGCCTCGTTGCTGGTGCGCCCTAAAACACCAAATCATCATCATCATCATCTCTTCTCAATGTGACGCATCGCTACATGAGGCCATGCTCATCGTTGAACTTTGTCTGGTAGCTCGCCCTTCCCAGACTCCCAAAGGCTGAGTCTTTCCCTCCGCTTCCCCACCAGAGCGGCACCCAGGAGCACTACCGCCGGAGTGCGGTTCGGCCGCGCTGCTCGGCGCCCTACGCCTGGGACATGCCGCCATGCCAGCCTCAGAGCCGCCCCACGCTGACCGTGGTGGCACCCGGCGGACAGGCCGACACGTTCGACCTCAACCAGCTCAACCAGCGCAAGACCCTACACTACGACAACTTCATGTTCATCGCCTTCTCCGGCACTTTCGGAGGGTGGGTGGCGCACAGTCTCAGAGGGAATGGTGAACAATTGAGTTGTGTGAGAGCATATCCTTAAAAAAGATAAAATGCAAAATATCAGTTGTGGTGAATGTTCCCAATGTATGAAAATATGACCATGTCTTTCGTTTCGTGACCAAGTGAATCCACATACCATTCTTACGGTTTGGAATTTTTCCCATGCTTGACCAGCCTCAGTGCCCGCTGACCCGTCCCTTGTACACCCTCAGTCCGTCGGGCGCGGCGTTCGACCCTCAGAACGTCGAGTGTCGTCAGCTGGTTCTGGACGTGGCGGACGGAGTGGTGGTGCTGCGCAGAAAGGTCAGGTTTCAGTGCTTAAGTATTACTGTCAGGGGGCGTGGACTTCAACTTTGGTTGGTGAGGACTACCCTGAGTTCTGTATTCAAGAGGAGCGATGGGCTGGGAGACTCGCAGTCACTTCATGAGTTGAAAGTTGAAGCTGGTGCTCTCAAGACTGGAGGGACGTACTGAAAAAAAGTTTGAATTGTGAGGAATTCAATGAGACTTGATTATTATAACCATCATGTGAATTTGTATTCCCGCATGGCCCGCTCTCTAACGAAATAATCGTTGTTGGTTAGCTGCTGTAGCGTTCGGTGACGCTTTTTATGGCAGTTGGGTGTCGAAACGCCAATTTGTTTCTCTCACTGGTCGTGACACACTGTCGTGCTGTCACCAGGAGCCCGGTGTGCGGTCCCAGCTGTGGCGTCACCTGCCCACCGGTCATCTGGTGCACGAGGGTAGCAGCCCTCCCCGGGACCTCCGTCATCCGGAGAGCACCGACCGGCTGATGGTGAGCGGACGGAGCACTGACACGTTTTGCTTCGAATTGACATAAATATTATATCGCTCTCCTTGAAACAGCTGCAATTTTGTTCGGCTGCAGCTGTTGTTGGTCGCTAAACCTGCCAGGCATTGTTTCAACTGAGGTGTTCTAGCATTGGGGAAGTGCTTGAATCCTTTTCTGTCGCGGCCTCTCGGTTTTGGCACGGTATTGTTCGACTTTTTCGATCTGGCTCCACCTAATCTTCGCTTACTCGTCTTGCAATTATCAGCTGTCTAGTGTAAAGCCTTGTCGGTACCTATTATAAGTTGTTGCGACCTGCTGTGATCGTGATGTGACCTCGCTCCGTTATCTTTAGGTGCTGGACATCGCCACGCCTGGTATCCAGCCATACGAGTGTGTTCCGCTGCGGCTGAGGCGTCTGGATGCGCGCCGGCAGTTCACGCAGCGCTGGCAGTTCACTGCCGACGGCCGGCTCTGCTGTCAGCACCCCAACCTGTTTGTGCAGGCCCAGGACGGCTTCAGCGGTCTGTGCAGAGGTGAGAGGGAGGGAAGGATTTGAGCGGACTGGGAATATGTGGGTTAGATCGGAGACTGGTCTGGTCAGAACAGCTGCTGGTGCCAACTTTAATACACATTGCACATGGCCACGTGCAGCCCCGAATCATACTAAGTTCACTATCACACATTCTTCAGTTATTCAAATTACAATGTGCTGTCGATGTCGAACAGGCTACTTTTTGCCCACGCCCCTGTCCAGTCCGCTGTGTAATCCGAGTTATGTGCGTTTTATGTTACTTTATTCATTCAGTAAATGTCGTTTCCGTTCCCTATTTGTTCTCAGCGGGAGGCGGCGGATTAAGATGGCAGGCCTGTGCGTATAATCTGTCTGTATGCATGCTGTCGCCTCGTGTGCGTGCTGTAACAGTGTGGCCGGTGTGGTGTGTGGTGTGTTCCTGTGGTCTGTAGCTAATCCCTAGTGTTTTCCCCTGTACTTCGCTCTAAAATTATCGTCAGCAATCCATTTAGAATGGCTTGCTGTGAACAACGCGACTCGCAGGAAGGGAATAATGAACTCCGCAATCTGATAATTTGATCTTTTTTAGCTCCGTTGTGTACCAAACTAATTGGTACAGGCAGGCAGTCTTCGGTGGTGAATGAAATAGACTTGCATTTGAAATTAGATGCATGCTTGGTCATCTTCACTCATACATGGTACTTAAAATAGCCGCTTAGTCCTAGGAATGATTTTACAGGTTTGATCAGTAACATACCTTGATCTGTGTCATCAATTTACTTTTTAACATCGTAAAACTAATGAGGCCTCCTGATTAGCCACCCTATCGAGTATCTGCACACCACTCCTGTCTGTACGATTCACTCTGCTCCCATCCCGCCTATCTAACCGCCCCCTTCGTCGGCAGGGAAGCACGCTGTGCTCGGCCCGGTCTCTATCCTGCCGCCGGGCAGCCCCATACCACCCGAGCAGGCCGTCCAGCCGCAGATGCAGTGGCCCGGCTCCGGGGAGCTCACTGTGAGGGTAGTGACGGACGGACCGACGCGCGTGCTGCAGGTCACAGACGCCAAACCCACCGGCAAGGTGAGGGGAGGGAGGAGGGGAGTGGGGAGATGCGGGGGAGGGACGGACCGACGCGCGTGCTGCAGGTCACGGACGCCAAACCCAGCGGCTAGGTAGGGGTGGTGCTGTGCTTTGGGGGGGGGGGGGAGAGTCGGCAGAGGGGATGGATGCAGGAATAGTGGGGTGTGGCATGGTGAGGACTGGGGAGGTGCCAACAGTGCGTAGATACACTTATTGGCTGTAAATGTAGTTACATGTCCGCCATCGGATAGGTCAAAGATGTATCTCGCCTTCACTCCCATCCATATTCTCTCCACACGGCCTAACCCCCTGCCCCTCTCCTTCATCAGCCGACGTTCGCGCGTCTGGACCGCGACTGGCTGGTGGTGGGTGAGAGCAGCGGCTCGCGCCTGGTGGCCGCAGCCGGGTCCACCGAGGAGCGGCCGGCCGCCGGGCAGACGGAGCTCACCGTCAAACTGCACCTACCGGCAGGTCGGTCACCGCGCGGAGTGGGGGTTTAGGGGGGGGGACTGTAAGACAGGGTGGTGGACGGGGTATCTGATCAAGTTTGCTTGACTACGAAGTCTGATGGCGATTTAGACACTGATCTCACTTGTGTGATTTGTTTTGCCGCTTTATCTTTTTTTATAATGTGTTCGTCTTTGATGAGCTTGGCGTCATATACTGGTGTTGAGCTGCTGTTCAATAGAAACGTGTACTTTCATGTCAACTCATGCCGCCACCTCATCGCAATATTTCCCCCTTCCCCCAGGTGTCGGCGTCAGCCTGGTGTCAGCCACCCCGCCGGCCGAGCTGCTGTACCTGTACCTGGGTGATATCGCGGCAGAGTGCCGGCGCACCGCGTCGCGCCTCTCCCTGGACGGTAGCGTGCGTCACGTTCAGGCCGACTGTCAGCTCATAGACACCCAGGCGCCCTGTGTGCTGCATGTGACGCCCGGAGTGGCTACGGATGATAGGCGACACCTGCCAGCTGTCTGTTTTGCCGTACAGAGTGTACCCAGCGCCTGCGAACGATGGAGGATCCTGGAGGTGAGTGGGACCTCTAAAAGGGAGTTGAACGGTGATCTTTGGGGGTTGTTTCGAAATGAAAAACAACGCATAATTTTGATCGCTAAATTCAAAGATTTTTGGGAAGCACAGCGACCGTGTGGATATGTAATGAATTTGATTGCTGTAACTGGGCGTTCAATCGCTGGAGTTAACGACAGTTTTCCATAACTTTTGTCCGGCAAGTATTTGACAGAATCCTCTGACGTTTGTTCCTCTATTATTTGTCTGACCGGCACCCGACGTTCAATGACCTTTGTTCGTCTGTTCGTCCGTCCAGCACCTGGTGGTGTCGGTAAAGGACCTGACCCTGACGCTGGAGGAGCGGCTGCTCTACCACCTGCTCCACTTCATCGGATACAAGGACGACGCGTGAGTATCCATTCCGTATGCGACGGTTTAAGGACGTTTTACGAGTTATCGTTTATCCATGTCGGCTACAGAATGCCCAAAAACGCACTCCGGTACTCAAGGTCTGCAGGGAATATAAAGAATACGTTTAAACTTGGGAAATTTCAACGCATACTTATGTGTTTGATTTTGTGTTCCATCACCTAGTCAATTATTATCCGTTTATTCGAGTGTTCTTCATGCGATGCCTAGACCGAATGGAATGACCGGCTGTCTGAAGCTGTCGACGAGACTCACAAGAGATGACTTAGAATGTGAGATCTGATAGGGTAAAGTGTGAACGCATTGCCTGTTTAAAATAGACAGTTGTTTTTGTGTTAGTGCCGGGAAGGAGTCATGATGTGAGCAAAAACTGTTCTCTGGCGCTGGTCCAACCGCCGGCCGCCCGGTAACAGATGACTGGGGGACAAAAACGCCTGGCAGTGGGGAGAGCTGGCGCTTCCGCCAGTCGGTCTGTGAAGTGGTACTGAAGTCGGAAATTCGTATCGAAACCTAATCTGAACGATAGACAAGCTGAACCACGGGCTTGTAATAACCCTTAGCTTGCTTCTGAAAGTTCGGAGATAATTTTTGACCCCTGATTAATTATAAGTGACTTATTAATTCCGCTGAGGCAGAACATATGAGATGGCCCCTGTTCCTGTGTGACAGCTGTGACATAGCCCCAAGGCCCGAGCCTTCTGACAGTTTTCTTAGATGACCCCCTGACCCTGTGACAGCTCTGTGATGACCGCTGACGCCTTATGACAGGTCGGAGGTGAACCAGCTGGAGGAGTCTGACCACGAGACGCAGCGGGCCCTGAAGGCGGCCACATCGTCTCAGAACACGCGCTACTACTGCCGCCTGCTGCAGCTCGCCCTAAAAAAGGTGCGCCCGGCGCTATGTGGGGAGGGACATGACTGGGCTCACAACGACCGTCTCACAGGCTAAATGCTATTTTAGCTACAAATTACGCTACCAGTATAACGCCTTTTGGGGCGACTAACGGAGCGAGCGAGAGGGTGGGCCTTGCACGTGCGAAATTGCGAGGGGGTACCTCCAACTGACTTGTGCACGGCACCCTACTCACCGGTCTCTAGCGATGTGCCAAATTTGGGCACAATCGGCCCAGCCGTTCTCGAGATCTGGAAGCGGCACCCTGCACGTGCGCACGTGCAAAATGGGTCCCAACTGACTTGCGCACGGCACCCTACTAACCGGTCCCTAACTGTGTACCAAATTTGAGCGCAATCGGTGGAGCCGTTCTCGAGATCTGGAAACGACCCCTGCACGTGCGCACGTGCAGCAGCGCCCCAACTCTGGCACATGGATATGCAGTGCCTAGTGGGTGCCTACCTACATGCCAACTTTCAGCGCAATCGGCCAAGTAGTTACCGAGATATTGCAACAATTACAAAACGGACACCTCTTCGTTTTGCACGTGGCACGTGCATAAGGGGTCACCCACATGCATCGGGAATAGTCCAACACTTGGTAGAAGGAATGAAGCTACCCTACAAAAATTGCCGCGTGTAAATCGGTCAAGTGGTTGCTGAGATATAAGCCTCGCAAAAGCGTGACCACGGCCGGCCGCTCATACTCAGAAATTTCCGTTAATCTAAGGAAAGACTACGCTCGCTTCGCTCGCTCCGTAACAATTTATGTACGATATAGCTAAAATGCTGTATTTAGTTTCCCGTATCAATGCTGCGGTTAATAACGAATATATTCTGATCAGCACATGCATTGCGTCTTCTGTCCGGTGGCTCAGCTTCATTTGTTGATGTTGGTATATTTTCAGCGCATCTATCATGCGGCAGCTGACAATTTAAATGCGCTGCTTTTGCCACCATCGCCACAATCCTCAACGGACACGTTCACTGATCTTGCCAGTAAGTACAGCACGGATTTAACCCCCTCCCCCGTGACCCGTTCCCCAGGTGCGTCTGAGCGTCCTGACCTCGGCCCGGCTGCGCCCCGAGCTGGCGGCCGTGCGAGCCAAGTTCGGCCGGCGACTGGTCCAGTTCGAGGGAGCTCACGTCGAGCTGGATCCGTTCGTGCGACATCACCCGTTCGAGACGGCCGCCAAACTTACTGACTCCGTGCTCGAACACTACAAGGAGGTGAGACAGTGATGGGGTCATGACACGTCCGGCCGTATGCTTGTCGAATGGGCCACGCATCCAAGCGTTCGTTTTTTTTTTAGTGGTGAACTTAGCTTTGTCGATTTTTACAGACAACTGCCCAGTCCAGTTCCTACAACCACGATTTTCACAAGTAAATATTCGCGCGAAACTTTAAGCGTGCAAACTTTTCTCACGAAGTCCTCATCACTCGCCGTCTCCGCTAACGCTCCACCACCCTGTGTGCGCCTCAGGAGCTGAAGTCTCAGGCGGCCATCATCCTGGGCTCCACTGACTTCCTGGGCAACCCGCTCGGCCTGCTGAGTGACGTCACGGAGGGCGTGTCCGGTCTGGTGCGCGAGGGAGACGTGGGCGCGCTGGTGAAAAACGTCACCCACGGCGTGGCCAACTCTACCGCCAAGGTCACAGGTCAGTGGACACTGGCCAGGGACATCTCAAAGGTTACGGTTATGTGGCATGGGTCATAATTATATTAGTGTTCAAGGTTACAGGGCCGTATCCAAAGTCGCAGGCCAATGGCGAGCGCCATCAGCTCTGCCCCGTGTCCAACTTGTCTTGCCCAGTGAAAAGGTCAACCGAAAGTGCCGTTTTCTGGACAAGAGCACTTATTCCAGCGTCTGGCCCATAACTGTCCTGATGCGTGTGAATGTGAATCTCTGCTAACCTCTCTCGCCCTCTCCCCAGGCTCCCTATCGGACGCCGTCGGCTGGGTGACCATGGACGAAAAGCACGACGACAGCCGGCGCCGCATCCTGGACAACCCCGGCACGGACGACCACCTGATGACCGGCCTGCGCGGCTTCGGGCTGGGACTGTGGGGCGGCGCCTCCTCGCTGGTCGTTCAGCCCATCCAGGGCGCCTCCGCCGAGGGAGTCTGGGTAAGTGGCGCCGACTGGCGCGTCTGGTGGAACAGTGGCGGATGCCGTCCATTTTTGGTGAACTCGTGGGTATTAATGAGTTTTTTTTTTCAGGCGTTCGTGCTGTTTTCCCTTCATCATGCCTGATTCCATTTTTTTATGAATCTCCGTTTTACTTATGCTTTCGTCGTTAGGTGACCATTATTTACCCCGCGCCCCGCGGAGACTGTGTTGCTACGTCAGTCTTCTAACCGTCCTGTTGTCCGCAGGGATTTTTCTCCGGCATCGGCAAAGGTCTGGTGGGCACGGTCACCAAGCCGGCGGTGGGCTTTCTGGACCTGGCCACCGGCGCCGCCAAGGCCGTCAAAGACACCAGCAGCGGGTGAGTTAGCAGCTTGTATTTTATCTGGCCGTTGATTAATGCAACATAAATTCGGCAGTGCAATCAAATATCGTCAGTGTGTTAAAGGTATGTTGTCACTGTTGACAGTTCAGTTATATGCTTTGATATGCTGTACGATATAATATTGAGAAGACACACTAGACACTACCACTCATATGCCGTTAGTGCTTTGGTTTTGCACCAAATATTTCGCCCCATGGAACCTCGAAGTCGCTTGGGGCTAGCTTTCTCCCATTCTCGATGAGCTGGCCAAATACGCTGGATTTTGATGAAGAAGCTGGTGGAGCTACTTCTGCGTCTACGGCTGAGTCCGACTCTTCTGCCGGGCCAGACGCGCGTCCTGCGACACACCCAACGTGATGGGGACCAGCTTCAGGAGGGGCTGTGGCGAGGATAGCGGCGGAGTTTCCCCGGATGATTGCTATCGAGACTCTTTGTAGAAGCCAGGACACTTCTCTGGGGTCCTTAGTCGCCGCAGAAATCCGACCGCCGATATCCCGAAGCAGCTTTGACCCTGCTTCTCCGACTACGCCGGTAGTCTCCACTGCTACTGGAGTGAAGATGTAGCGGTCTGCAAGACTGGCGTAGCGCATGCGCTTCAGGTTCTCGGCGGCGGCTGCAGCTGCGCCGGGATCCACTGCACACTTCACCACGTGTGACTCAGCAAACGTGTCAACGCATGTGGCGTCCCATGTGAGGCTTCGACCGGCACTGAAGGGGAACGTTGTCAGTCCGTCGGGGCGCCTTCCATCTCCTCTGTCTAGCCCCACAGGTTCTAAGACCGATGGTACGCCAGCGCTTGCCAGTGCTCGTTTAATGACGTCATTTAGGGCTGCGTGCCGTGGGAAGCGACCGGCGCTCTTCTTGCATGATAGGCCGTGGTGTCCCAGCCTGTCCACAGGGCATCCACATAGCTTGCATTGGTGGGGCTCACAGATGGGCAGGCCTAGTCGGAGGGCTACCGCTATACGAATGGTCTCGTCATCAATGTACAGTCCCAGGCTGGGGATTGGAGGTGCTTGCAGCCAGGTTGCAGTATGCGGCATACAAGCAGCACCGAGACGAGCGCGATGTATCTGATTGGCTCCGGCGATCAGGCGGTTAGCGGTGACAGTTGACGCGATGTCGTCCCAGGTCTTTTGCAGGCTGGCCGCCGGGCGTTCTGGAACAGTCTCGATGCCAGTGGCAGCCATGAACTGCTCCGTGGCTGGTTGCAGTGCCGCTGGCTCAGGGCCCGTGAAGGTTGAAGGGCAGATAGATAAGACCAGCGGTGCTGCAGCGGTGAGAGACGACAAGTAGCAGGGCAGAGCGAGAGCGTGCACGGAGCGCACGCCGAGCCCGCCATGCCTCTGGGGCAGTGCAGCCTGCTCCCAGGCCTCGTCTGTCAGTGCCACGTTACCAACTTCCTGGAGCGTGAGACGAACTGTGCTGTCGATTCGGGATAGCTCTGCAGGCTCCCGATAGGCTGGCGATGAACGTAGGAGATATTGCACTCGCGGGGCAGCTACGTACTTCGATAAGAAGAACAGAGCTGTGTGTCGATCGAGGAGGCGGAGTCAACTGCACAGCAGTTTGATAGTCGTGTGGGCTGATCTGACAGAGTCGCCAAGCCCAGCCTCGTGTAGCGGTGAGCCGAGCAGTGTGAGCTGTTCAGGAGGGGGTGGTTTTGATGCCGGCGAGGACTGACGAGATGGTGCTGATGACGCTCTGGCCTTCGGCTGGAGTGCCACCGATGGTGGTTAGCTCGCACTTTGATTTGTTTAGTTCTAGGCCGAGCTTTGGAAGTTCGGCACATAGGGTTCTAAGGTCTTCCTTCACTGTTTCCACTGGTCCTGCAATTGTGGCATCATCCAAGTACCAAAGAGTTATAGTTATAAACTGGGTGAGTTATAAACCCGGGTCGTGATTGTGGTTATAGTGCCAGCAATATTACTAAGGTGTGTGGAAATTGATGTGATCGGTGGGGTTGTCAAAGGTTGGGTGATGACAGATGCCACGATGTGGCAAAGATTCATAAGGTCTTGTGGGAATCCCGAATCTGCTGAGATCTGCCCGAGCCCGTCTCTCTCCCCCCCCCCCCCCCGCTCTCGCAACCGCGAGTTTGTCTGTTCATCCACTCCACGTTCGCTGACATCTGCGTTTCCCTCTGCCCCAGCTCGGACCGTCAGGCTCCGCCGCGGGTCCGTCCGATCCGCGTGGTGCAGGGTGCCGGCGGCCTGCTGCCCCGCTTCAGCGGACGGGACGCAGATGGACAGGAGCTGCTGAATACAGTCACCGACCGGCATCCGGACGAAAGGTGCGTGTGTGGACGTTTACACCATTATCCTTACATTGTACAGCAGATCTACAGTAAAAACACACCGGCACCTCGGTACGGCACGACGTGCCGGAAGTTCAAACGGAATGGGAGCTGTTGATGTGCCATATTATGTTACCGCCTTTGACGATTTGGATCATGAAAGTTATGGATTTACCCAGATTTAGGGTTTCTTTATTTGAATGAAGGAACGAAATTTCTTGCATGTTCGGTTTGTTGCTCGTACTGGCTATATCAGCTTTTTGGTGACATTTTAAAATGTTGTTCTACCAGGGGCCGTAATTAATTGTGCCTCATCCATAACTCGCATCTTCTCGACCAGATTCGTGGCGTACGAGGTGCTGTGTCCCGGCGAGCAGCGTGCCACCCCCACCTCCGACCGGGACACCCTGTACCCGGAGCTGCTCAGTTACGGCCGCGGCGACCTGCGCGTGCTCATATCGACAGAGATGGTGCGCGTGCTGTCACACAGCAGTCCCGGCGCCTACACACTCAACTACACCGTCCACTTTAGGTGAGAAGCGCTCTGTGGGGTGGGGAGGATGGGAAAGGATGCTGGCGACGGATGACGACGATGATACATTTGTGTGTTCAATTTGAGATTTCCGAATGCTTAAAGGGCGCTTTACAGTATCTCGGACTGAGACTGTACCTCAATGCAACGAGTGTTGTGAAAATGATACGCCTTTTTTGCGTCACGACTACGTTAGGTCGTGTCCCTCCATTCCCCACAGCTCCGACCGTCAGGCTCCGTCGCAGGTCCGTCCCATCCGCGTGGTGCGGGGGGGGGGAGGGGCGGCAAACCACCATTTTGCGTTTGTGGTTTGCTTTGTTTTCTTGCAGCTAAAACAGCCGTTCCCTACATCAGACTGCGATGGACTATTATTTTTCAGATATTCAGTGAGCGTCGCACCCTGTTACTCAGGCCCTCTGTGGCTGACCGTTGCTCGCCTTTACAGTGAGCTGGACGAGTGTCGTCCGTCGATAGAGCGGGACCCGTATGGCACGCACATCTACAAGGTAGTGCTTACCGTCAGCGGAGGCGGCGGGTCCGGCCGAAAACCGGCCTTCGTCTGCCAAAACAACAACGTCGCGTTCAAGGTGGGTCTGCTGGCTGCTTAGGGACGCGTGGCAGTGAGAACTTATGCGGATTGCGGTTAGTTTGATTGAAGGATGCATGGTTCGTGTCAGTGTATGCAAAATATGCATGCAGTAATGTACTTTTTGTGGTCAACAAAAAAAAAGAACGTCACAACTAGGCTGGCGATCTCGTCAGCTGAAATATCGTTTTCGTGTCTATGCGTTGAACTAAAGTTCTGTTTGCGCAGTTCTAGAGCGTATGTTTTATAACCTGCCTGATTTGAAAAGGTTTAAAGGCCGCTTTATTGACCCTTCACTGGATCAATTCCTGTCATTGACCGTCTGCTAACTATTCGCTACAGATTACCGAGCTGATCAATTTCGGTAAGAGCTGTTACGAGGAGTTGAAGCACACTGTGCCGATCTCGGAGGCGCCGGCTCCGTACGAGTGAGATGTCAGTCTCACACCGGTGAGCCGCTGATCCTGTACGGATGAGATACTCGTCCCGCACGAATGATTAGTCAGTCTCGCACGAGTGAGGACGCCGTTCGATCGCGGGTGGTTGGTCGGAAGACTGCCGCTGTGTCTTAGGCTGCCGTTATTTCTGTCTTATTTGCTGGTCGATCGTTTAGGGGACGAGATAGCCGCGTGCCTTGTGGGGACTGTTAGTGCCTGAATGTGGACGGGATGGTGGGACGAGATAGTCGTGATCTGCAGCTGTGCGATGGCTACCAACGCCTCACATCGGGCATCCGTTATATTTGTTGCAATTATTTGGGGCATGTGATCGAACAAACACGGGATTGTAGGCATTGTATGCGCTGGGAAGCACAACTCGTAACTGCAAATACTGTACCGGCTGTGTATTCTTTACGGGATCGATCGCACACCATTCGCCGTGCCGTGTGTGCCAGTACCATGGACAGTGCCGTGTTCATCCGTCGAGAAAATGTGATGACCGTTAGCGTACCTGCAATACGATGCAATGAGGCTGAGACCTAGAATGGCGGTTTGTGTGATCAGAATTTAGAACGTGTGCTGTGCGTATGCGAGAGGTGACGAGATGGCCCGGGCCGCAATTACTGCAGGGAAACGCCGTGGCCAGTGGCTTCCTAGTTGACTAATGTGCACCAGCTTGCATATCACCGCCTCGCACTGTTGCGTTCTGTAGCTGGGGTCGGGGTTTTGTAGCCAAAGAGTCTATCGTCGAAGTGTGCTGTTAGTGACGGTCAATCCACGAGTGTCCGAGTGATCCACAATTATATGCGCTTCGTAGTGTCTTTGTTCGATGATCATGACCAAGATAAGAAATAATACATTATGCACCAGTGCTCGTTTGTCATCTATCTGTAACGTTGACCGTTGCCTCCCGCCTTCTTGAAACGATTGCGGATTGCGGAAGCCAGAACGCCTCACTGAACAAAGCGCAAGTCGAAGCTGGCAGAACCCCTCTGAGCTCGCCCGTCGTTCGGTGTTAATCACCGGCCCCGCCGATCAACAACTGTTAGTGGCGGCATTGATACAGAATCGTCGTCGATGTTTCATTTATACATCACTCTCAGCCTCATATCTCGATTGGAACTCGGAGCATGCAGTAATGGATAAAGTACAAGGATGCGATACCAGCACACAAAGATGCATACATAGTATGGACATTTGGACACACGCATGGACAAAGAAGTATAAAATTGAGACCATCACGAGCCATCACAAGCAGATATCACAGATATAACAAGATCTATTTCACATTCCCATCCCATTTCGAGCGCAGTTTATCGTTCTTCCCCTCATTAAATTATCAGTTCCCTCACACATGGTCCCTGACACCGCACTAGTCGTAACTGGCCTGTAAAGCCGGCAGCACCAGGGGGTGGCTATCCGGGTCAATAGCGGCGACAGTAACGGGTAGCTATCCAGTTCAAACGGTGGCCGCTGTTATGGTATCAGTAGCGGCTGTCCGATCAGACAGCTGTAACAACTGCGGCGGCAGAGGTAGCGGTAGTGACATTCGCCCGCGGTCGGGGCAGAGCTGGCAGTGACAGCATACCGCCGTGTATCGCGCCCACCCTCCTCTGAACGGTCTCTGTGAGCCGCTGCAGCGCCTCCAGCCACTGAGGTGGCCCGTCAGCCGTCAGTCGCCGTCCCATCAGCACCAGTAGACCGCGGGCTGCCTCCAGTAGACGGGCGTCCACCAGTGCCGACAGATAGACCGCCAGCGCAGCCTCGTCCTCTCGCTCCGGGCGCGGGCCGGACCCCAGCCACTCGACGACCAGTCTGCGGATACAGCTGAGGTCTGCCGTGCCACAGAAGGTAGGGACCGGCGGCAGGGGCGGCCGCTCCACTGGTTGGTCGACGCCGCCCACCAGCCGCGCCGCCTCCTCAGCAGAGTATACCACTGCAGAGGTCTGCGCGGGCTGCTGAGGCGGCGGAGGAGGAGCTGTAGTGACGCTGGCCGCTGCGGGCGGTTTACCTCGCGCTGCCGTGGCGGCTGTCCTCCCAGCCTGCAGGCCCAGGCCACGCACCTCTGACGGTGGCACGTGTAGCGCAGCCAGCAGAGCGGTCACCTCGCGGCGCAGAGTCTCCAGCCGGTCGGTGGGTGTCGCTAGACGGCCAGACCTGCTCAGAGTATCGCACACGCCGTGCCCCATGAACTTTGCCGTCTCTGTCGGCGCGCCCGCTGCGCGAACCATCACCTTCACAGTCACGGAGTCCGCCAGGAACGCTGCGGCCGTCATCCGCGACTGCAGCTCGGCACACAGCTCGTTCACGAAGGAGGTCATCTCTGCGGCGCCGCCGAACCGTATGCCGTAGTTGACCTCGGCCGAGACGCTGCGCCGCGGCGCGTGAGGCGTCACCGCCCGCGTGTCGATACCGCGGCAGAACTCGTGCAGCTGCCGGCCGGTGCGCGGTCCCAGGTGGCGCTGCAGCTGCGCCAGCTCCAGCCGCTGCAGCTGCCGGCAGCTGTTGGCTCCCAGCCGGTGCAGCTGCTCGGCGGTGGTCCGGCCCACCCCCGGCAGGTCGCGGACGCGCTGGTCCAACATGAACTCGGCGGCGCGGCCGGCCGGTACGTGAAACTGGCCGTCGGGCTTGGCTCGGCTGGTGGCCAGGCGGGCCAGGAGGATGTTCGGCCCCAGCCCGACCGACGCCGGGCAGCCCGTCTCCCGGCGCACCGCGTGTCGGATGTACTCGGCCAGTCGCAGCGGGCTCACACCGGTCTGCCGCAGAAGCTCCGAACAGTCCGCAAATAGCTCATCGCAGCTCACAGCCTGCACACGCCGCGTCAGGCCACATACGGTATCGTACATCGCCAGGGCCACCTCGCGGTACGCCGCAAAGTCGTACGGGATCGTCTGCAAGTCGGGACACAGCTTCAGTGCCGCGCCCATGAACATGCCGTTCTTGACGCCGGCGGCTCGTGCTTCGTAACTGCAAGAGGCGATTTCGGCCATGGAGCCGTGTAGACCGCCGGCCATCCAGGAGGGCTCCTTGCCTCCGGCACCGCTGCCACCACCGCCTTCACCAGCACTCTTCCCACTGCGGCGAGCTCGGTATGCATCTGCCTCTGCAGCACGATCCTCCCCGGGCCTGACCGCTGGCTCAGCGCCCCCGCGAGAGTGGGTGACGGCCACCGGCCGGCCGCGCAACTCCGGCCGCGACCGGAGCCCCACCGAGACGAAGAAACAGTCCATGTCGACGTGGGCGATCACTGTGGCGTCCCCGGCCGTCAGGGGATCCTCGCCGGCCGGTTCCCGCTCCATGTCTTCCTCATCATCGCCGTCCCGTTCGGTGGTCTGGCCCGAGCTCTGGTCCCGCTGGCGACTCCACTCCAGCAGACGTGCCCGCTCTGGGTAGCCATCGTCAGGCGCGTCCTGCAGCCGCGCGACGTAATCCCGGAACAGCGCCTTCATCTCGGAGATGTGGTGCAGCCGTGACTTCTGGTAGAACTCCTGCAGGAAGTTGGGCTGGCCGGCCCGCTTCACCGGACTACGGTCGGTCGGCGGTGCAGGAGCTGAGTTGGCCGCCGATGGAACTGCCGTTGATGGGCCCGCCGCTTCGATTGCTTCTGCTGAATCGTCACACTCGTCACCGTTATCAGCAATGGGTTCAGGATCACTCTTCTGACCAACTTCATCATCATCGCTGGACGAATCAGGAGGGAACGACTCACAGTCTTCGTCATCATCATCATAGTCAGGCTCCGCACCGGCTCCGATTCCTGCGACCTCTGAAGAGACATGAGCTCCCCCGTCAGCCTTGCTGGTGGAAGCAGCCCCCATACAGGAGAGCAGCGGGTTCTCGGGCGGCAGCAGCAGGTACTGTCGGTAGTCGAGCAGACGTCCGGCGCTCAGACTCTCCGTGATCCACTCCGGACGGACCACCAGTTTGCGCTGGTGCTGCTTCAGCTTGGCGTGCGGCAGGTTCGAGGCGATGATGTGGGTGGTGGCGCGCTCGCCCCGGCTCCGGTAGTAATGGTGATATGTGCCACCGTTATGGTGCATCAGCTGCTTCAGCTCCGCCGCTGGCGGCTCCGTCAGTCCATTCACAAAAATGGAGATGTTCTTGAAGATGCCTTCTTTATTTTTATCTGGCATGTTGTCAAACTGGTTCTCCAGCTTTGATTTCTTGGCTTCCATGTAGCCACCCCAGGCTTCAAATCCTGTTTCACCATAGCGGCGTTTTCCACAGCCTCTTCCAGCCATTGTGCCAATTGTAGCTATCTGCAGGTAGGAAATGTAGAGTTAAAATGGTACAGTATGTTGAGCGCAGATTATTGCTTGCTACAGCAAGTATATGTAGAAAACGATATCCAATTTGATGAGCAACATAGCTAGTTTAGTTGATAAACATTGCTTTTGGTAATGACACTACAAAGTAAAAGGTCCCTGGCAATGCTCTTTTTAGACAAGTTGGACAAGATCTTGTGGGTGTGGACTGGTGCTTAGCCAGTTTGGTGCTTGGTGAAAGCTGGTGCAGAGTACAGTCCAGTTAGTACCTATAGGCTAGTGTTGCCAGCTGGCTTCAAGGCTTTTTGGATCAGAATGAGATAGGTAAACTGCTCCCATCCAGATTGAGATCATAATGAGTCATGAGATACTTTAATTGATGGCCCTCATGTATAAATATTTACTATGAAACTGCACATACTTTTTGATTGAAAAAGATGGCAGAAAATCTGGAGTCCTACAACATTGGGACAGAACACCTGAAGCCCAAGCTACACACATGTGATCCTCCAGAAAATTATGTGCGTGACCTGTGTATTGTCAGGTTTTGCAGAAAATCAGTATGCAGATTAAGCTCAGCTAAAAGGATAAATACACTTAGTGCCTAGTGGGCTGCGCTGGGCGACACTGCAAGTCGCACACAGCTGCATATTCATGGGAAATCCTGGATGCTCAGTCCAGGAAATACCAGAGTCAGGATTTTCTGTACTAATATAAAATTCAAATGTCGAACTCTTTTACAGAATCTGTTTTTTTTTTGCATGAGATGAGTTATTGACGTACTTGTTGGCACATAAGGTGAATCCAAGTGATATATTTATTAATTATTAGTTTCAATTTACATGTTTTATTGCCAATCATATTGCAGTGCATTGCAGCACAATTATTTAAATATGTCATGAGGTAAGTGGAATAACACATGGCAAAAATATACGCTTATTGGCTATTGCGGTCGCTAGCTGTCATGCAGTCAGCACTCCAGCATGCAGTTCTCGGAAATTTTGGAAAGCTGCAGAGGGATAACAATCCCACAAGCACAGGTCTGCAGAAAATCCACACATTTTGTACTTCTTAGCAAATAAATGCTACTCGTTCACTTCCCTACCTCAACCTAACTTGAACCCCATGGAGGATGAAGTATTAATCCATGCTTGAGCTATGTACAATATTTACTTTGGAGAATTACTATATTTTGTCACTCTTGCGGCATGTCTGAGTGAACACGGAAAGAGATGCAAATCATTTACATTTTATCCGAAAACACGTGAATGTTCCTATGGATATGTTATGTTCTTCTTTCAAAACACATGATAAATTATTTAGAGTCAATAACACAGCAAGTTAGCTAAAAATTAAGGTAATAAAAAACAAGTTCTCCAACACCTGCAAAGCTAACATCTCTTTTTGCCGGCCGGCCTCTCGACCTTCCTGAAGGTGACCCGAGGAGGTGAGGGCGCGTGTCTCGTATATCCATGCTAAAATGTGATTTATTTGTGCATTCAGCAGGCATTGACCGTCATGTGCCCAGATTTTGAAATACTTTCGAAACCCTGAAGCCCGCTACTAGTTCGAGCATTCTTCATTGTCGTTAGAAAATGTTTTTTGCCCGTGAAACTGTGGGCGGGACCCGGCGCTAGTTTTGGAGGAAGGGGCTGTCGTTTTCGGCCTCGTTTCTAGCGTAGAGGGGTGACCTTCGAGAGATTTCCTCAGCACCAGATCCCTTGATTCCCTCTCACACCCGGAGTAGCAGTGAGGGAGGCAGGTGTCCATTGTGGCCTCCTATTTGAAGTACAAGTGGGTGCTTACATTTGCTTTGTGGTGCATCGCTATTTGACATTTGTCATCTTGGCCTTAGTGATTTAATATTTTGGTGAATTGTTCAACTTTCCTGGTAAAAGTATACATTGAGTCCGAGTGACTTTTAAAAGATAAAGTTTTCATATTCTTACATTATTTGACATCCTGAATCCAAAAATGTTACTTATATGTCTTGGAAATAAAAGAAAAAACATAATCAAACCTGACCTAACCTTACCTATTTACCTACAACCTACCAACCTACAAACCTACAACCTAAAACCTACAAACAGGGGCGCGGGAACTACTTTCCGACTGGGGGGGCACACCATAATAGAGATCAACCTAGGGTACCCCCAAATCTAGTTTTCTCACCGGTTTTAGGCCACTTATTTTTCACCCCTCGGCTTTTTCAACAAAAAAAGAAAACATTTGCAAAAAAAAGTGTGGTATTCCGTCTCAAAGCTGTGGGGGCACCGCCCCCACGGCCCCAGAGTTGGGGGGGCAAGCTGCCCCCACTGCCCCCCGGCTCCCGCGCCTATGCCTACAAACCTACCAACCTAAAACCTACAAACCTACAACCTATCCTAACCTAAAACCTAAACTTTTTGCTGTTACATATTTGTATCAACAGCGTCACAATTGTCCACTCGGACTTAATATATACTAATACCACTTTGTGTGATTGCCTAATGCAGTCCAGGTGTCCCTCATTTGAGCCTAGATATCATTTTCACTTCTTGAATTATGTGAGCTTATATTCATGTAATTATGCATAGTGATTGTAGGTGCTCTATTTTGATTTGCCAATTGCTCTTTGAAGATAGGTACGGTTCTCCAGGGTATTAGTCGTTGGTCGCTCGGCGAGCGGGAGGGCAACCAGTTCCGCCCCTGTATCGCGTGACCCCTTGCTCCGCCCAGTTACGCACGAGCGTACTCCACGCCGCGTAGTAGCGTGGGGAGGGGAGGGTTAGAATGGTGGCATGTGTAGAGGCTAGAACCGGTTTCCACCGCCATGCCACCGCCCAGCGACATGGAGCGGGGTCAGTGACCAGGGCGCAGGGAAAGGTCAGAGGTCAGCTTTAACGTAGAGCTTTGTGTCTCCCTCCCCTCCGCGTGTAACGACCGCACGACAGCGGCCGGCCGCCGATCAGGCTTGACATGTCAAGGCTCGGGGTTACATGAGCAGAGTTAATACGCATTACAAACGGACTACAATGGTGAGCGAATAGGAAAATCCGTTCCTGATACGCATTTACTTGCTCATGTAACCCCGGTAAAGGTCACCCGCAGTCAACGGGCTCAGAGGGTTGGTCGAGTGCGAGTCCGTGGCTGACGACAGTCTTGACCATGTGCTATGGTGCGGGCCGATACACTAGCGTGGGTAATAAGTTTGTGTTCAGTGCATATGACTGCTGGGGCGTGTCCTCTTAATATGATGCTTTGTAACGTGTATGATACGCTTAAAACCTCGCTGGCAGTGGCCGAGAGGAGAGGGAGGAGGAGGCGGTTGCCGCCTCCACATGTTTATTTTTGTTGATAGCTGCGAGAGCTGAAATTTGGCAAGCCTGACATTTGATTCAAGCTGAATTTTTATGACAGCAGCTGTATTTTCACCCTCGCCCATATTGGTGTTTTGCCAGCGTCTATCGTAAAGAGGGGGAGGAGGGTCCGTTGGACCCCTTTGCCGTTCAGCCCCTAATCGAGCTAGAGCTTCGCGGAAAAAGAGCGTGTTGCCCGTGACGAGAGGAGGCCGATGATACCCAATTTTAACCCTCGCCGGCACAGGGGGGGGGGGGGTTGATGAGGTTTTTCGCGAATAACTCGCGTAAAAAGCGGCCGATCGCGACGAAACTTTCAGTACCCTCGCATTGATCAATTTTACACCTACCCTGAAAATTTTTTGACCCTGACCCAAATGACCTTTGACCTGTGACCTCTTTTCCGAGACCATGTTTGGCCGGAATCGCGATTCGGCGTATGCCAGCTCGCATTAGACGCGCGTTTGCAAGCTTTTCGTGGTTTCAAACGTTCAAACATGTGATTTGATGTTGCTCCCATACATAAGGGTGGGTTTCAAGGTCAGCTGAAGGTCAGGTTAGGTCATTGACCTTTGGTGACCTCGGGTGACCTCGGTTCATTTTTTCGAGTTTTACATGCTTCGAGGCTAGTTTTTGGAGCTGAATTCGAATTTAGCAACCATTTGAACATTTACGAAGTAGTTTTGGTGCCTTCGTAACATGTTACGAAGCTGTCAGAGGCGGTTGACACTAGTGACGTCAGTTACGGAAAATCGGAATACCGATACCAAACCAAATACCAACCAAACCTGTGGAAAAATACCGAAACCAAACCAACTTGGGAACATAAGGGAAATACCAACTTTTCACCGATTTCTTAGCCTCTTATACATAAGTGAGGGTTCATGATCCCAACAAAATACCAAACACATTAGGATTGAAATACCAAATACCAAGTTGGTATCGGTTTGGTATCGGTATACCAAAAAGTCGGTATCCGATTGACATCTCTAGTTGACACGTATTACGAATACCCGTCACAACCCCTACCGGTTGACCTGACCTGACCTGACCCGACCTGGTCTAAATGCTTAAAGACATCATCTCTGATCAAAACTAATACGATATTCGTGATCAGCACCCCGGAAAACCACATAGCAGCCACACTTTACGACTTTCTAACAGGTCCCGATTTTCCCGGTTTTTGGGTCATTGACCTGACCTGGAAGGTCACCCGATGACCTAGGACCTTAAAATTGGGTATCATCGGCTTCCTCTCGTGACGGGCAACACGCTCGTTTTTTTCGCGAAGCTCTAGCTCGATCAGGGGCCAAACGCGAGGGGGGGGGTTGTGCCGTCGAAGGACGCAAAATGGCCTGTGCCGGCGAGGGTTAAGGTCCTAGGTCATTGGTTGACAGGTCAATATAACTCAAAAGTCGGGGAATCGGGACCTGTTAGAGCCTCGTAAAGTGAAGCTGTTATAGGGTTTTGCGGGGTGCTGATCACGAAATTCAAGTTAGTTTTGATCACAGATGATGTTTTCGTGCATTTAGGCCAGGTCGGGTCAGGTCAGGTCAGGTCACATGTTACGAGTGAACCAAAACTACTTCTTAAATGTTCAAACGGCTTCTAAATTCGAAATCAACTCCAAAATCTACCCTAGAAACATGTAGAACTCAAAAGAGTGAACAAAGGTCATCAAAGGTCAGTGACCTGACTGATCTTCACGTGACCTTGATACCCACTAGAATCCATGCGATCAACATCCTTTCACATGTTTGATCGCTTAAAGCCACAAAAAGACAATAAAACGCGTTCTACTCGAAATACGCCAAAACGCGATTCCGGCCAAACATGGTCTCGGAAAACAGGTCACAAGTCAAAGGTCTTTTGAGTCAGGGTCATGCAAATTATAGGGTAGGCGTAATATTGAATAGCTCGAGGGCACTGAAAGTTTCGCCGCAATCAGCCGCTTTTTGCGCGAGTTATTTGCGAAAAACTGAGGGTAGGAGGTCTGTTCGACACCCTCCTACAAGTGCGAAGGTTAAGGTCAGGCCGTTGACCAATGGCGTCAAAAGTGAACCTCTGTAAGGCCCCAAAATGTCGCGACGTCGCAGCACCCTTCGTGCCAGGGGACCTTTCAACGGAGAATGAAGTTTATATGATCTAGTACTATCTCCCAGAGGCCTCACAACTTGTATGTAGCTATCTCGTATTTTTCTTAAGAGTCACCTGAAGTCAGGTCGGTCACGCAACCTCACGATTATTAATCAATTGGGAAATATGAAAGCTGTTATTTTGGCGCCGGGAGCCATCTAAAGCTGTCTCAAGCGCATGAATTCGCGATTTTATACAATTTTTGCAAGCCCCAGCATTCACTTTTCCATTCTTAAAGTTAGGCGACTTCATTTATGACGTCACTAAGGTCACAAGAGATTTCACCAAAAAGTCCCGATCAAATTGAGCTAGCGAGTCGGGAAGCCACAAGTGGACTTGTAATCGAAGAAGCCGCATCGAAGAAGCGATATGATCTCCTTGAGTCAGCCTCGTGGCCTGAGTGGCTCTGCCCTGACATGACCTGAGGTAAACACCTTAAATTGACCTCAACAAAAACAAAGCGTAAACTATTCGACGCGTTTGAGCATGCAAAACTCTTGGCTCTGTAACCACTTAAGGTGAAGTTGTTTACCAAAAACCGATCCCGCGACTTGGAGCACTTATACTGACCTCAGAGTTTATCGGTGGACCTGAGACATTCAACTCGGGTACCAGTTGCTGCATTTCATACGACGCACGCGCTCAGTTTTATCCGCAAGGCGCTAGCTCAATTAGGGGCAAAAAGACGGAGAGGGGTCGTAATCGCCCCCCCCCCCCTCGGCCGGGGTATATGCAGAAAACCCAAAATTCCGTTGAAGGTTAAGCACTGAAGTGATATATTATGATGCGAGAAGGTATAGGTAAAAACAAGTATGCACACGAGCGGATGTGAATTAAACTGTGTTTGAGGTATGCCTTTCTTATTATACATTCGATTTGCTTTAGTTATTGGTAAGAACAGATACAACCAAGAAGAGCGCCCCTGAAGAAAAGATGGCGCACCGGACGGGTGCGATTTTAAGGTCCTAGGTCAGTCGGGGACCTCTAAGTTTGGATCAAGCGCTGCATGTTAGGGACGTTAAAACTTAATAAAAAAATGGGAGCAAACAAGCATCCCGATTTTGTCAGCATCGTCATGCTTTGTCACGACACTCATCCACTCCCTCGGCCGAAATATTAGTTCCTTTTTGTATGAGTTCTGGCATAATCCCGCACATTATGCTGCATGTTGTTTGCCATGAAAAAACATGTTCAGCTACGTTCTACGCAGTACGCACTAACCTAACCACCATCCCATCATCCACCACTAGCCACCATCCTGTTCTGTGATCCGTTCCACCCCACACGAATCAGCCGAGATACTAGTCAATCGGTCTAGCGCTATCCTCCCCTCCCTTCCTGACTGCACAGCACTAAAACCCAGAGCCGAGACTTCCCGAGCGCGACCTCTGACCCCACGCGGTCCGAAGGGTCGGCC